TAATAAAGCCAGCGAACAAGTGAGGCAGCAATCAACGCATCAAGCAACTTGGCCCAGGACAGACCGAACTGACGACAATGGCGTCATTAAATAATACAGGCAGCACGGCGAAAGGATACTCGTGTCCTGACAATGCCAGTGAAGTGTGCGTGTATGTGTGTCTCTGTGTGTTCGTGTGTGTGTCTGTGTGTAGTAGTTAAACACAAGCACACACTGTAAGACGAGGAGGTCTTTAAGGACTGCACTTCAGGACTCGACTGACGGATATCTCACAGAGGTGGAAAGAAATATTCTTTAGAAATGCACGCATTGATTTTTTCAAAGCGTTCACTCTCGAGTTTTCTGTGGATTTTCTATGCCATGATTTTGCGAGTATTTGCTCTTACTGAATCGGAATTATTATTTTTGTGGTATTTTTTTCGGTTCTTTCATTATCCAAGGTATAATCTTTCTGCATTTTCTTGTTTTTGTATACCGATTTGCCAGAGATATTTGGTTTTTCTTGATAAATCCCCTTGAAATGCCAGCATGCCGCACCTGTCTGCGAAAAACCAATGTGTGCTGAAATAACCGAGTACAAAGTGGTGAGGAAAAGGAAGGGAAAACCGTGTGGAAAAGCTTGAGGAAAGGTGGTGGCTGAAGCTGGGCGGTGACGTTTTGCCAGCAACCACGCCCACACGCACGACTTGTCAGTCAAGTGACGGTGAAATGCTTGTCTCTGCCCTGGCCCCAAACCTCCGAGCCATTGTCCTTTGGGCCCAGGACAATATTCGCGGCAGGTTGGAGGCGGGAAAACCAGAGGGAAGGGGCTTTGGGAGCCACACAGAGAGATGACAATTTAAGAGGACAGTTTTCGCGAGCGTGTCCTTGGTCCAAAGTCTGCATTCAGCCGTCAACCTTGACACTTGACTGTTGCTGAAGTTTGAGCTTCAATTGGGGCAGAAGGAAGTTGCAAGTTGGCGGGTATTAAGGCCTGACAAATGATACGCTTGCCTCGTGGAAGTTGCGCAGCTCTGCTTTCTAATACTTTCTCCGCAGCGGAGTGCAGACGCATCCTTTGGTTTTTGCCTTTTTGCTTTTTCTGTTCTGTATCTCCGTAGGCAGCTTAAAAGTTCCACTGACAACTGTCGCCATAATTCACTTTCACAGGACAACGGAGAAACCCTTACCGCTCAACCAGAACCAGAAACAGAACGAGAAGGAGAAGGAGAAACTGAACCAGAAATAGAGGGAAAACTAGAGGGAAAACTTGAAAACGACACTTGGCCAAACAAGTCGCTGGGAAAGCGTCCGGAGAGGCCGGCCATAAAACTTGCCCCGTCCTCAGTCTTTGGCCATTTGTTATTAGGAGAACCGCCGCAATTGTTGCCATTTGCAAGCGCTTCAATCACGGACAGGCCGAAGAAAACCTCGCCACAAAGCACCTGCTGCCTTGGGCTAGAAAAACCAAAAACAAAAAAAAAACAAGAAAGGCAAAAAAAAAAAAGCAAACATTAGAGAAAAAGAAAAGTGCTGAAAGAAAGGCACAAATCATCTGCAGGGACAGCAGGGAAAAGTCGCTGAATGGAGTGGCAAGAAAAGCCAGTCGGCTGGATTGTAACTCAACTTTGGCATTCGATGGCAATTATTCTGTCATTCGTTTCTTTTGCTGACCGCCAAAGGAATGGCACTCCTGGGACCAGGAAACCGCGAGTCCCCTTTTGTATTTCAGTCGAGATGGTAATAAAAAGATAGGCAAGCAGCACAATTAGCTATTCAGCCGAAAAGTCAAAATATAATAAGCTGAAAAAAGGTTCTTAATTGTAAAATTCCAAACAATCCTAAGCTTTAACCTAAGAAAGTATTTTAAAATTTATTTTTCATAATATGTATACAATTTGTCCATAAAAATTGTAAAGCTCAATAAATTATTTTTGTATATTTCATTTTAATGAAGCTCAATAAATAATAAGTGCATATTTCATTTAAATGAATTGTAGTTTATATATTTACCATATCTAACCATCGATATTTGAATGCCATACCTAATTAATACCTGCAAACAAGCCGTGAGCTGAAGGACACTCAATCAAATCGGAAGAGTAAATAACCTATTGCCTTATTGACCCCTAATTGATGCTCAAAGCATGGGAAAATCTATAACCATTAATGAGTGTGGGGTGTACCATAAGGGCGTGATTTTAACAGGCCGTCAATCCGAACGAGGAGTGCATTTCAAATCGCTTAAATAATTAATTTGTTTCCGGCACACCGCAAATTAGGGGAATTTAATTAATGTTTAACACGCCACAATCATAACTAATTTAACGACTAATTCTAGGGCAGTAATCGGATGATAAAGCAACTAAATTGGTAAACGATTGGGCGTGTCAACTATGCCCACTAAAGGATCAACATTTTCCAGCCTTTCGTGTGGAATTTGGTTGCCTTTTTAATTGAGTATGTCTGCTTTTCGGTTGGCCAATTAGATTAATTGCCCATGAGTTTTTCTGAAATGAGCTGTGAACACAGTTGTCCTTAATTAATTGCTTGCATGTCAAATGCCCAACACAAAACCGACACTGGACCATCAGAAATTTAAGTTGAAATACTAGAGAAAAGGAAAGTATAAACCGAAAATGGCTTTTAATAAAAGCCAACTTCAACCTTCGAGTGGAATTAGGGAATTTCACTACTAATTCCCAGTGCATAATTAATAATTTTCAAAGGTGCGCCAGGCAACGAGAATCATTTAAGCCGATTTGAAGGGCTTTAAAAAACGCAGTGTAAGTATGTCCTTTCATTACTCAATCTCAAAATTTAATTTAAATAGAGGCGCAAAATAAGTAGAAGCAAAGGCTCACAGAAATTCTATTTATTCCGCATATCATTGCTATTTAAATATTCAGCATTTGCATTTCGGTTTGCCAAATTAAATTTTAATTAAATTTGCGTGGCTTGTGTCAATGATCAAATGCATTAAAGTCTTAGCCGAAACAATAATTAAATAGAATAAACACACAAACAGCACACATGCACTGAAAATAGAATTACCCATTTTTAAGTATTCTACCTGAAATTAAGATATTTGATCAAAAAGCATAACATATTTAATCTCTCTAAGTGCCTTGCTATTCTGAATTTAACATGAGCTTCAAAGTTATATAAAGTATTCTGGCTCACAAATTTATTTTTAGTGCACACAAGTGAATGAATACAAGCCGAGCTCCATTGTAATTATAATGCTGAATGGGGGATTATGTAGTTGTCTCGGAAACTATGCAAGCTCATTTGCCGATTGACCAATAAGGATAAGGTAACAAGCCGCAAGTGGTTCGAAAAAAGAGTGGGTAGGAATCCCATTCAAAGGAATCTCAATGAAATTTGAGCCGAAACACGTGTCGGTTGTCGTAGGTTTTCAAGTCATATTTTTATACGCTTTTCTCGTGCTTCCCTTTCCTTATTTACATAAAACTCGTTGTTTGGAATTCCGCGACTGGGATATCTGTAAAGTTTTACGAAAAAATAAAAAAAAGGCACAAAGTAAACGGCGAATAAGTGGAATCAAAACAACTGCCAACTGAGCCTAACTATCTGCTGCCTTAGCTTTTTTTTTTTTAGCAACAAGCAAGCTGCTTATTTTCTATTTTGTTAGTAATCGAAAAAGGACACACTTGAAAAAATTTGGATTAAAGGTTTACCATTTTTTTTAACAGGTATTAAATCATCAGATTAAAAACTAGTTGCAACATCAAAGAAAAATCCCATGCCTTTGGAAATAACAAAATGACATTCGGCAAACAGGGTTTAATAAAGACATAACTCAGACCGCAAATTTACTTGCGGTTTTTGCCTTTGCCTGGCTCATTCCCAAATCCCTCCTGGGTGCCAAACCCTTTTGCACAAATTTCTCACACTGTATGCAAATAAGCTACTGAAACAGTCGGTGACAGGACGGCATCCTTGGGAGCACGGGTCAATGGGAAACTGCAGGCATCAGCAGGAGGCCGGGAAAATTTGCATTCATAAAGCAGAGGCGCCCAGTTGGCCCATTTGTATGCAAAGTTAAGTATTAATGGGCGGATAGGCGGCGGGGTAAGTGAAAGTAAACACCGGCTAAGAGCGTGCAGGTAAATGCCCAAAATTAAAACAATGACCTGAAACAGAAGCTCGGGATTTCAGCTGCTGAGTGTTCCTGGATGGCAATTAACTTGAATGAAGCGACTAATAAGTTGGTTGCCCCGCGAATCCCCGCGAATTTTGGTAGTCTGTCGGGGAAATGTGCTGACATAAAAGAAGCATAATTTCTTCATTTGGCCAAATGGACTCGAGTTAATTGGTACCCGGAATTTTCCAGCCAAACAAAGGAGTTAAATTAATTTGGCCGAATGAAAGGCGCTCTTTGGCCAAGTTCCGAGTCAAAGTCAATGTGGAAATACAATTTCACACAAGGCCAGGCAAAGTACACACGGCGTATGAACGATTTCGGTGGGCCTCCTTTAGCATTTTTCCATACGGACTTCTCCGGCCTCCGCCTAATTAATTGACTAGCGAGCCCACTTCACCCACTCTTTTCGACTCGCAGTGAATTTTCCCAGTAGAAAATAATGAAATTTATTATTTACTTTTACTTGAGCTGCGTCCTCGTCTGGCATTAAATCCTCTGCCAGTCAACCTATATTTTCCATAGTTTTTTCGTCTCACCGATAAAAATATTTTGTTTTTATTTGTCTTCTTATTTACAGAATTTTTCGCTATTGGCTTTCGCTGATCCACTACGTATGTCCGTGTTTTTAAGTTCTTAAAGGTTTCATAAAAACAACCAGAACCCGTAACAAAAAATTCTGTGGAAATCCAAACTATTTTCATAATTTTTTTGAACAATACACTTTCAACCTGGAATTTCGTTTACAATATGCATACAAATTTTTATTGTTTTTCTTAGTTTTGGTAGTTCTTTTTTTAATGGCATGAAAAAGGAATGATGAAAAAAAACTGTGAAACCTGTAACCCCTACATACCTTAAAAGTGTACTCCAAATTTAACTTATATTAATTCTATATATTTAAATTTGATCCGTTGAAATATGATTTCAATAAAGGGATAGTGATTTTTCACAAAATGATTTTTAAAAAATTCTTGCTGCCATTCTGACAGGCTTGTCGTAAACTCTTTGAACACTTCACTGAACTCGCGATCTCTGGTCCGATGGGATCGAGATATATTTAAGTATATATTTCTGGAAATATCTCGATTGAAACACAACCACGCCGCGACGCGTTGCAGAACGAACTGCGAACCGCTTATCGAAATCGCAACTTCAGCCTTAAAGTCGGCTTTAAATGCTCGGAAACTCACCACGCCGCGAAAACGAACCCCAAGCGCCGAGGGTTCCGACCCGAAGCATCCATGTGGGTCTGTGGACCAGCAGCTGAGCGCCGGGAGAAAGTGAAAGCCGACACAGTGGCCGCTATTGAGGCAGGTTAGTGCCCGCTTTCTCGCTCTTTTTGACTCTTTTGAATTGGCGGCGCCTTCCAGCGATGTTTCTGATTAGACTGGAAGCGGCGGCTTCGCTCCTGATAAGCGAAATTCTGGGAAACTGAAAGTAAACTGTTGCATGCAGCTATAAAAATGAGTTTATAAAAGTTTCGTTGTTATAAAAGTTTTCTTTGAAGCCTGTGATTTCAATAGACAAACTCATGAGCATTCTAATGCTTTTCATATATTTAAAATTATTTCCAACCAATCAAAATACAATAATTTGAAAAATGAACATCTCCAAAATAGATCGACCTATTTTCGTTCATCCGTTTAACCGTTAATCTGTTCAACCGCCCACCGGTCCATCCATCCGTTCATTCGTTCATCCGTTCATATGTCCATCTGTCCATCTGTCGATCCGTCCATCCGTTAATCTGTCCATCCGTCAACCCGTTCATCCATTCGTCAAGTCAATCAAGTCCATCTGTTCGTCTGTCCAAGTCCTTAAGGTCCGTAAAGCCCGTTCAGTCTGTCAATCATGTGCAAATATCGCAATGTACACAATTTTAAATCTATTGAGTTTGAATCTGAAATATTGTTTACTAAGCCATAGATCAAATTTTCTAACCCCTTAAACTTTTTTTATTTAAGTCTTTCAATTTATTAAAACAAAGTATAAATTTCGATTTAATTTAAGTCCTTTTATATCGCGATGTTTCTCTCACCGCATCCTGGACATGCGCAGCCAAAAGGACTCTCCCTACTCAGCTGTTCGGCAATGTCCGGCCTTCCAGTGTGGTGAGTTCGCACTCGGAAAGCGCTGATAAGAATCACTGATAAGAATGCATTACGGATGCAGCTGCATCCGCCCCAAAGCAACACGTACCGCGTCTCTCATAAGCGGGGTGCGATTGCATAAGTGTTTCATCATAACGGTTTGCGGTGGCCGCGGATGGAGGTTGGTTTTTTGAATGGGTGGGTTGGCAGTGGAAGGGGTGGAGAGGGGGAAAGGGGGTAAGAGGGGGAAAGAGCGGGTAATTGGGGGTAAGAGGGGGTAACCGCAAAATGCGCAACGCTGCAGACGCAATTAATGCGCACCGTTTTACAATTAGCGACCTGGCCCAATTATGCAGTTCCCAGTCGCCACCCCGTCGCCACCCCGTCGCCACCCCCATTCAACCCCCTCCCAAATTACCGCTCTGAGCCTCCGCCGTGAATCTTGCTCGTTGTTTTTTTTTTTGGTTTTTTTTTTTTTTGTGTGTCTCTGGGAACGACTGTTAATAGGAAATTCATGGCCACCGTGACCGGTCGCCGGCTGGCGTAGTTTTTCGCCTTGGCGGGGCACGTGGATGAGTTGGTTTTTTCGGTGAATGGGGCTGCCTTTTAATTATGATAATTACATTGTTGTCGTTCTCATTCGCTGACAGTTGCTGGGGCGCGATCTCTGGCTCTGGAAAAAAGTGGTCCCCTAATTATTCCCCATTTCGTGGGACCTAATGTCGTGTGCGAGCACATCCTGGTCCATAATGGGGATAAACAAATTATGCTTTTAGTCTGCGAAGGGGGGTTCGCTATAAATTCAAAATTAGGTTTCTCAATCATAAACTGGTCAAAAAAAGAATGAGCACTTTTTTGAAATAATTAAATTAGTTTTTTCTTTTTAATTTTAAAATCTGACAAAAAATATTAACGTAGCAAGTTGTATAGCAAGTTGTTAAAAGCTTGATGCTGAACACTAGACAACACTTTCATCCGCCGAGAAACTTGCGGCATTCGCCGTAATTGGGTTATGGCATCCACAATCCGCACATGAGAGCATTTTCGGAGCGGGGCGAGGGGCAGGATGCTGCATACAACAAATGGGGCAGACTGTGTGACAACGTCGCTGTGCAAAAATGCAACAATTAAGACCTTAGATTGTCCCCGAACGGCAAGCTGCGATGCATCTAAATGCGCATATATGCGATGGCTGTTAGCCGTGGCTGTTTCCCCACTTTCCCCCGATTTTCCGACCGGAGTCCGGATTTTGTATTTTGTGTTTGGCCCGTTGCCATTTCGACGGGCATGCAACAATTTATGGGCCTGTCAACAATATGGCAACATGTTTTTTGCCCGCCTGCGTCTGGACATGCTAATTGCATGCACCATGTGGAAATATCAAGTAAGTCCCGGGCCTGTTCCACCAGCGTTGAAATTTTTACGAAGCGAATAATTTAATGCGCCATAAATTCGCATGTACGCTTGTAAAATTGACAGCGAGTGCGCCATAAATTCTGTAGCATACTTTTTAGCGCAAAATTTGAGCGACAAAAACCGCTGACAAAAGCAGCGACAATGGAATAGAGCCAAAATGTGGGTACAGATTTATGTGTGCCGGTTTTATTAATTATAAAAGCAGCCACACAGTTGCCAGATTCGCCAAAGTGCTCACCTGAAACTATGACATGCATAATTCCGCATTTCATTTGCCATTGTTCAAATCAGCATGGAGTGCAAATTGTTGAACAACAAAGTCGATCCCCAAATTCGAAAAACTTTTTGCATTTTACCTCTCAAATGGTATTCATTTTTTGTCATTTATACCAACTACCAGGTAATGTGTATTGTGTTTCAGAAAGGGTGGCACAAGGTGGAACTTATAACATTTTGAAAAAGGTAATCATGTTCATCCATTAAAGCAAAATAATTGGGCATGAAAACTTTCTGGAATTTACCATTTAATACTTTATTTCTGATTTGTTTAAGGAACGAAGCGAATTAAAAAACTTTTAACTAAACAGCAGATCCTTTTAAGAATATCGAGAAATTATAAAATTGCATTATAATCATATTTATATTTATTTAAATACAAATCGAAGTAGATTTAAATTTGCACAATAATAAAAAAATCGTTCGGACTTTATTTTGAATATCCAATTGATGTCTATTGGCAAGTGAGTCCTCCTTCTCTCACTCGTGGTACTTAATTGAATTGCCAGGACCCATTTGATGCTTGAATGGGAAGCCTCAATTTATCGGCAGGTGGCCGCAATAATTCCTAATTGTTGTGGCCACGCAAGCTTAATTACATAATTGGGCAATCGCACCAATAGAAGTAACACCGAAGACTATTTAAGTGAAGCGGCGACCGATTTTAAAGAAATAAACCAAAGGAACATGACAGAGGTCTCAGTCGACAGTCTGGAGTTTTTCAAGAGCCACTGGACAGCCTGGCGAGTCCTGGGAGTGGCTCACTTTCGAATCGAGTCCTGGCGGAACTTGTACATCACTTACAGTATCCTGATGAATGTGTTCGTGACCTTGGGCTACCCTTTTCATCTGGGAATGTCGCTGTTCCAAAACCGCACTCTCACCGAAGACATCCTCAACTTGACCACATTTGCGACCTGCACCGCCTGTTCGGTTAAGTGTTTGCTCTACGCCTACAATATCAGGGATGTGGTTGAAATGGAGAGACTTCTGAGGCTTCTGGATGAACGCGTCGTGGGTCCGGAACAACGTGGCATCTACGGTCAGGTGAGGGTGCAGCTCCGGAATGTCCTTTACATCTTCATCGGAATCTACATGCCGTGCGCCTTGTTCGCCGAGCTGTCCTTTCTGTTCAAGGAGGAGCGGGGTTTGATGTACCCCGCCTGGTTCCCCTTCGATTGGCTGCATTCCACCAGGAACTACTATATAGCTAACTTATATCAGATCGGCGGCATCACCTTTCAACTGCTGCAAAACTATGTGAGCGATTGCTTCCCAGCGGTGGTTTTGTGTCTGGTTTCCTCGCACATCAAAATGCTCTACAATCGATTCGAGCAAGTTGGCCTGGATCCCAATAAAGATGCGGAAAAGCAGCTGGAGGATTGTATCACCGATCACAAACATTTGCTAGAGTAAGTGAACATATTAAGTTAATGGATTTATTTTAATCTCTTTTGTTATTACAGACTTTTCCGACGCATTGAGGGCTTCATTTCGCTGCCCATGTTTATTCAATTCACGGTGACTGCCTTGAATGTCTGTATTGGCATTGCCGCCTTGGTGTTTTTTGTTACCGAGCCCATGGCCCGAATGTACTTCATCTTTTACTCCTTGGCCATGCCCCTGCAGATCTTCCCGTCCTGCTATTTTGGCACCGACAACGAATACTGGTTCGGACGGCTTCACTACGCGGCCTTCAGTTGCAATTGGCCCACTCAAAGCAAGAGCTTTAAGCGGAAAATGATGTTGTTCGTCGAGCAGTCCTTGAAGAAGAGCACTGCTGTGGCTGGTGGCATGATGAGAATCCACCTGGACACGTTCTTTTCCACCCTGAAAGGTGCCTACTCCCTGTTTACCATAATTATACGCATGAGAAAGTAGATTGAGTGCATTTAAATAACCAATTATTTTCTAGACGAATTAAACCTTCTGGTGTTTTTCAAAAATATAAGAAGAAAAAATCGTTTGCTTTCATTATATTCGCTTTACTGACTTTATTAAAACTATCTTGTTTACCTTGCGGACATTTACATTGGATCTAAATATTTATATTAAAACTTTAGCCGAATACAATTTATTTTCATATTTTATTTATTTATTTCATTCATTTGTTTTTCTTTCTAAATAAAAGATTTGTTTTTTATTTCAGTTATGAGCTAGTGCAATGGCCTCTTCCCTCAGGACTTAATCAATGGCATTTACAGCCGGAAGCCATTATCCGTGTTTGCATACAAAATGGCGGCCGGGCAACTTCCGTCGCAGCTAACAAAACGGAAGCAACGGAAATGGACTAACCTGAAAGATATAAATAGCAAAAGAGCATAATAGAGGACGATAATTTCGAGTGATTGTGTGCCGTTGTCGATTTTTCTCGTATTCTTCTATGCGCCAATTTATTAAGTATACGCCACGTGTGTTAAACTGAACGTTGGCTAATTGAATCACTCAGCGAAATTTGCATAAGACAGTTAACGAACAAATCAATTGCTTAACCAGGATAACAGGACTTGAGCCGAATGCCATTCGCTGCTTATTTATTTGCACAGGCGATAAGACATTAAAAGACGTTGCCTTTCATTCGAATCCGATTCCCGGACTCCCCGGATCTCCCCGGTTCCGGAATCGCCACCGGAGTCGCAGCCGGAGTCCGTAATGCGCTTAAGTCGGGACAAAGTCCGTGTTGGATCTGCAAAAGTGAACATTGTAAAACGGAAGCCCGAAAAGGGACCAACTGGCTAAAATTTATTGCTGGCAAAAACTAAAGAGCATCCTGGGATTGCTGCGTGTGTGTGTGGGTGTGTGAGTGCGTTTGTGTGGGTGTTACTCTCTGTGTTCCAATCGATTTGATGACCCTGTACCCGGACATCCAAAGTTGATTTGAATTTATTACGGAACACATTTACTCCTGCTTGCCGCCTAATTCCCCAAGCCGAGCACGTACCGTAGGTCCTGCAGCTCCATCTCCTAGGTTCCCAGTCCTCCTAACCAGGACATGCTTAATTTTTAATCAAAACAAACAACAACTCAAACTGCTTAAGCCCTGCTGTTTAAGTTTTCCGCACTGGATCCTTGTTCAGTTAGCAGACTCAGCTGTTTGTTATCAGCCGGAAATTGTATTTGGTCACTTGGCTCATTTCGTCAGTACCTCGTCATCGTCCTCGTCATCGTCGTCGCCATCGCCATCCTCATCGCCATCATCATTTCCCGTGCTCAACGCTTCCCTTTATTCAAGCGGAGTCTGCAAGCTGGGCGAGCGGTTACTTGGAAATTCCATTGCACTTGGGGAAGATGATTTAACTTAGTTGGCCAGACTTGAGCACTGGGAAAAATGAAGTTCTCAAGAGAAGGGATTAAATTAAAATATAAAAGAGTAATTTATTTTCAAAGTAACCTCATGAGTTAAATACAATCATTGGTTTCTATTAACAAAATAAAACAACAAGCCAAATAAACTTTAATACATTAATGATTTCTATTTTAATAGTGCATTAACACTCCTACTAATGAGTTTCCATTATAACATTTAACAACTTGTTGATTAGCTTTGTTAAGGTTTTTGCCTTCCGTACTTCTTTAGCTAAGTACTTAGCTTTTCTTTCAGTGCACGACACTCAGCTGGAGTGGCTCATTGGCCACTTGCCCCGACCGAAGTAAATTTGTTGCTAAGCTGAATGTTAATACGGTTGCAACAGCGAGTGGCTGTTGGCTCCGTTGCTGTGACAGCCACAAGCAGCCAAAGGCTTTTGCCGAGACTAAGGATCCACATGCTGATGAGGACTGCTCCGGCTCCGCACTTGAGCATCAAGTGGTTACACACGTGAGCCACTCGAACCGCTCGACGGCACAGGAACCACAAAACCCAACAGGTGCGGCCGAATAAATTCCCACTAACTGGAGTTAGGTCGCCCGACTTTATATTTAATTACCAACTATCGTTTGGCCGGGGGCGGGGGAAATGTAACCAACTGAAACCGAATCCCAACAGCCAGCATCCTTGACTGCAAATTAATAGTTTCCGCATTCGAGTGAGCAGACCAAGAAGTTTTAAATTCTCCGAAGTAAATCAAAAGAAAAATGGCTTGAACTGTGGCGGCGAAAGTTTTGCCAATGGCCCAAGTTGGCCAAACAACCACATGCGACCGAAGGATGGGCAAAAAGGACATCTGCAGCTCGGTGTACTCAAGTAAATTACAAGCTTTCCAAGTCTTGGCATATTTAACCACAGCTATGTTGGCTCAAGTTTTACTTCACACTTGAAAAAGGAGTGGAAAATTTCCACAGGCAAAGTAACCAAATAACCTTTCTAATTATTCATTCAGGTTATTTAAGTAAGAAGTCAAAACATTTAAATAACTTAATGCTGTAGCTTTTTTGGAATATGTTTGATAAATATATTTACAAAAATATATTTTCCATAAATGTTTAATGGTTACTTAAACAACTAAATTAAGAAGATTTCTAATTTGAGTTTATTTTATCACAGCACAAATATTATGATGGCAATATTTAATTATATTTGTTTTGTTTATAGTATGACTTTGTTGGGTATTTCTTTTTCGAGTGCACCAAAAACATGGATGGTGGCTGGAACAGGATCCATATGGTCCCATATAAAGAGGGAAATTTTACAACCGGCATAAGAAAGTCACTTAACGTGGGCAATGGCACATTAAGTGAGCGATGAGGGGGCGATGCGGTGAGTGAAAGTTAATTTTGGCGGGGAAATGTGAGCCGGGGTAAATGTGCAAAGGCAGTGGCCTAGTGGATTTGCAAAATTTGAGGATGCGGATGCGGATGCGGATGAGGATATTTACTGGAGTGGGCAGGGAAGCGTCAGTAAAAACATTTTGGCTAAACTATGCCATTAACATACAAAACTTTCACAGCAGCCGGGCTGCCAGTAACTCTATCCCTCTCTTTCTGTGGCACTAGCCCCCTCTCTTTCTCGGCGGAGCACGTAAATACTTGCCCAAAACTTGCACGAATTAACAACAAAAAGTTCGTCCTTCTTGTGTGACGGAAAACTTGGCTAAAATAACACAAGACTGCCGCTGGCAAGTGACAATAACACAACACAGCAACTATTTGGTAAGTGCGACAGAGATAGCTTCACTTGGAGTAAAAGGGATGGCAGCAGGAGTTATATAGGGTTATTTGGTTTCGGGAAAGGATTCTTTGGGCGGCCAGTGCCAAATGTCAAACAATTTGCGGTCTCCCAAGTTGAAGGATTCCGTCTCCCTCTGAACTTCTCCCCCAAACTCACAGCCATATTTCCCGTTTTAAGCCACGGCCCAAAAGGCCTTTGGCCAAAGTATTTATAGCTCAAAACTTTACGACGAGCAGGCCCATAAAAAGCAAAGCTCCTCCGCCCAGCATAATTGACGCTAAAGAGTGTTTGGCGTCCGATGTGGATTGCAGTCCAACTATAACTCATTACGGCTAATGAGCGTTATTTGTGCCCCTTGCGATGAAGCCAAGCCAAGCAACTGAACTCCAGTCGCCGGCGAAAGACGAAAGGTCGAAAATTAGTTTGGCTTCTGACACAAGCCTGTCTGCAAATACGCAAAGAAGAGCGGGCTTTAACTCGGCCGAAGGGATTACGTTTAATTGACAGCGACAACAAGTGACAGCCGCTGTCGACTGCGTGCGAAAGAGACGGGATTACAGGCAGAGAGGGAGATAGAGAGATAGGGCGAACAGTTAGAGCGGAGAAGCTGAATTATGCCCAAATTCAAATTTAAGTGTTTAAGTTTGGGTTCAGCCATAAAGCATTATATTATTGAGGTAAATTTTAAAATTATTTAATGGTCTTGTTTTCATTAATTGATTACTGAAAAACATAGCTAACTACTAACCAATATTGAGTTTTAGCATACTAATTTAAATATTTAGTATTTTGAAATATTTGGTTTTTATATGATTACAAAGTAGGGGTTTTTAAACCGGAAGATCCGTAAGCTTGTGCTAATCCTCGTTAACCACACTCTCCTGCTGCATCAGCTTCCTGGTTTTTCCTGCTAAAGCCTTCAAATAATATTCGACAGCATAAATTTAAATCGAGCCACTGGTCGAGTACCCAAAAGTCAGCATGAGCCCACAAATGCGAGTTAAACGATTGCCATAAATCCCCAGCTGAACGAGCTGGTTACGAGGAGTCCTGCAGTTGCGCTTAATCACAGGTAACACAACACGCTGCCGTTTAAATGCAAATGACGCGACTCTGCGCGGCGGTAATAAACGTGGCCAAAAGGCATTTCGCTCCTTATATGCGGAAAATGTGAGTGGAAACGCGAATAAACAGAAAGAACGTTGGTAACCAAGGCATTACAGAGGAAAAAATAATATAATTAGCTCAGTTATTATATTCACAAATCTTGATTTATTTATAGCACATTTATTTCGATTTTAAATATTAAAAGTATTAAAACATTTTTAAGTTATCTTGCATTATAAGAGAAACATCATTTTAAATATGTTAGTATTTTTTTCAGTGCATCTCAGCTCCTGTTACGGCACGCTCAGTGGGCGCTGGGTTGTTGGGGGCGTGGTCGCGACACGTGCAGGACTAAAATGCTGAAGTTATCGGCGGGCAGGCGGGACAATTGAAAATTTAAATGCCGAATGGCAATGACAATAATGAGCACGATGACGAGTGTTCGGAGGATGGCAACAATTATGCTGATGACGTGTGTACCCCACCCACACCCACACCCAACACCCCAAAATACGCCTAATCCGATTGCTTTCTCTTCTCGAAAAGCAAACAAACATTCGCATAACGTTTTTTACGGCTTTGGTTGACTGATAACGAGTGATTAAATGTTTTTTTAAAAGCGTTTTAATGCGATTTAAAGGTAAATGAGCCGTTTCGTTGCCAAGGTTTTAACTCTTTCTGTGTTTTGCTAGGAATATATCCTAATGATCGAAACATTTGTACTTAACCTGAGGGCTTACTTGGAGAAAGAAAGCTAGAAAAACCGCAAAGACTTATAAATTTTCATGGTGACTCAAATGAAGAGAAATTTCTGTCCACCACAGAGTGATAAAGGTAAGAAAACTTGCAAAATATGCTAACAAAATGCAAACGAACTCACATTGATTCCTTTGCAATTGTATTGACATTTCTAATGGTTTCATTTTTAGAAAAGTTTTCCAGTTGTAAATGGGACCATTTATATGCATATGTGTAAATATTTGTATACAATTTGTGGGAAACATATTTTCAGTTCGGAAGGGCTTTAAAGCTTGGTCTGCTTTTTAAAATGCATACAATTGAAAATAATCTGCTTTGGATGCATTCGTTAACTTAAGAACAAGTATTTTTTCCAGATGCAACATCTTCAAATTGAGGCTTTCAAATTTGGCAGTTGCTTAGGAAAATGTCCTATTAATATTTATTTGTATATTAGATTGTGTCTATTTATATAGTTTTTGTCTTTTTTAAAACATCTAGACACTTCGAAACTAACGATATATACCCGTTGCGACCTTGACATGTTTTGCTTTAGTGACTCGCTCACGTCCGAACAGATAAACATTTGTTAAAATGACATAAAATTACACGAATGTCGGCTGACAAGGGGCAATTTAAAACTAATTTTGCGATCATCAAATGCCACCACAGCCAAGGCAGATGAAATAATTGTGAAGATATAAAGATAAGAGGGGACCAGAGCAATGCCAAAATTTCTAGAAACAACACACCGCAACTGGCGAATAAATTGTAACTTAATTTGTTTTAGTGGAAGATAAATATTAACCTTTGAAGGGTACTTCTATGTCGCACATCTAGACACATTTTGTTTGCACTTCATTTAATGCAATCAATCAGAAATTAATCACACTGATGGACAGAATAATAGAGGGCGGCTTAGTAAAAGTAATCGAATTTGCAGGAATTAGTTAATTGATTCTATTGAGGCCCGGCCAGTTGTGTGTCACTCGGAGCGAGTGATTTTGTTTGCCTCTGGCAAACGCATTTGCCAGAGTAAATGCCCCAATGCCGTAACCCAAAACAAACCCAAGCCCAACTACACGAAACCCAAGACGCAGAGTCTGCTGATGTTTAAGGTCACTGCTGGCTGTGATTAAAAACTGCGTGCTGTAAGGTAAACTTGAAACGTAATGTTCGGGTGTGCACTTGGCGGCATCCACGAGATTGCCACTATTGCAACCGCAGAAACAAAGCAAAAAATACAAAAAAACAGCAATGAAGCACCTGTTTCTCGGCAGAGTGCGAAATCAACTTGAGACTTGCCACAATTTCCGCTTCGTTTTATCGGGTAGAGCGTCAGAATTCAGGGGTATTCTTACTGACTGAGATAATTTGGCTCTCAAAAGACTTAATTTGTGAATTTAAGAAGCAAGTTAAAATACAAGAGTAATTTTTACAGCATTTGAATGCCCACCTATAAAAAAACCATTACATTTAATACATATTACTTGGTTCATATCACGAATTTAATAGAAAATGTGTAACTAAATATAATGCTTTCTATTATAATAAATTTTATACGTTTTCTTTTAATTTTATTTTTTTTAATAAATTGTATAATTGTATTTAAACTAATAATTTTTAAATAAATGTTTAAGAAAGTAAAGTAAAAGAGTAACATCCAGTCGAATTGCCAAACAAAAACATTCCTATTTGCTTTTGTTTGTTTTTTTCTCAGACCACAATATTGGGGATAAAGACGAAGATGAACTTGGAGCTCGGGCTGGAGTGCATTCATTTGAGATAACCTTGCTGATTGCGGCCAGAAAAAGCAGATGGAGAGCGAAATGGGGAGCCCACACACCACTGGCCATAATTGAGATGCCAAAATGGATTCACGTGTGAGCCAGAATGTTCCCCAGCCCCAAATAGAATCCGTCTGCGTGAGCAATTCAGTTGCCGGAATCTTTCGTTTACCCAAACATTTCCGGCGAACCTACTTCCGCAATGGAATCACGTAGGCGTCCGAGACCAATTATTGTCCTCGTCCCAGAAATTTGGTATGCAGGGGATCTGGGTGCGAGTTAAAATCAAATTTGATTTCCAGACTGCCGGATCGTCCGGAATCATTAGCGATTGGTTTTTGTCCAGATGCTTTTGGTTTCGGGTGCGATTCGTCACGCACCGGTGCACATCGAGTGCCAGTGGCCAGCAATTAAAACTGCGGTTCAATAAATATCAATAAATTTCGCCAGCAATTTCCCTAGTTCGCGCATAAATAACAATAGTTCGGTGCGTGCGTTTGGCAGTTGAGTGGAGTTTCTAGACCAGCGAACAGGTCAAATACCGATCGAGTTGACCAGCAATCAAATCAGGTGTGAACCAATTGCAAACAAGGTAAGGTACACGAGTGTATTCACACCCAGATCGGGCTAGACCACGCGGCGTATGAGTGATGCCGGTGACTCATCCGCCCCGTAGGCCAGGTGAAAGTTTTAGTTTTGCATTTGCATTCGCTTTAGCCACAATTGCAGTCTGCGTTTCGCGCTGCATGGCGAATTGATTGCCGCATATGCGGAAAAGAAAGTTCACAACCGGCTGCCAAACTCAAACAACCGGCAATAAATACACCGGCAAAAGACAAACCCACCGTCGGTAATCGCCATCGTACATAATACTGAAGTATTTGCAAAGCAGGGGCAGCTCTAGGCATCCAAACAGCAAACGGCAAACGGCAACTAATCAGTTAGCCACTCAGTCGAGCCTGACTGTTGCCTTTTCGCACCACTCGACAAAGGCAAACAGCAGTGTATTGAGACAAAACCAGCTGAATGATTGAGTTGATTGCCAGATACCCTCGGAGTTAACTGACCCGTCGAGTCTCTTCAAAATTAACTTTTAAAAAGTTTGCCAATCAAGCTAAGGGTTTTCCAAACTTCTGTGTTACTTGTGTTTTACAATGCGTACATAGCACTTTACTGCCTGATTTTGCATATGATTAATATTTTTTTGTATTTTGTAAACATTGGTTTTAATTAAAGGGGCTCTGAGATTTATAAGGGAAACCACATTCATTTAAAAAGAGTATTAAACAGACTAGTGATTCATCAGGGGTATAGTGAACTTTTCAGGTATAAATTACCTCATAAATAACAGAGCTGTCGGGTTTATAGATAAATCTATATTTTAGTTGAGAGCCTATTCAAACAAAATACGTTTTTTAAAGATTTTTCAGAATATTATAAAAGATACCCCACTATTTTTTCTCTGTGTATCCACACCTTGCGAAAGGGTTTCAGCTGCGCACGCGCAGCGCGCACGAAGAACAGCTGAGCTACGTGCTCGGCGGCTTAACTACCCGCTGACCACCTGTCCCCCTCCCCGCCCCCTTTCCCCCCACCCCATTCAACCGCCATTCCTCCACCCTTCCGAGAGCCCAGAGCAAACACGTTAGGCGCCAACGAAGCTGAGAAACTCGCCTGGCAACCCGCTCGCAGCTCAACCCGCTCCGCTCGCCAAAATCTAAAGAAGAAAAAGAAAAAAAAACGAGAAAAAAACAGAAAACAGAAAAAGTAAGAAAATAAAAAACAACGCCGACGAAAAGAAAACAAAACGTGCGACGCTTCGTTGCCGGCTTGAGTTGGCCAGAGCGTCAGAGCCAGGCTTGTAGCTATCGGCCAGCGGCTTGAGGTTTGGGGCTTGTTGTGTGGGGGGACTGGGGCTTGGGGCTTGGGGCTCGAGTGGCGGTAAGAGACTCTTAAGTGCTCAGCTCAGTTCAGTTGCGAATTTCATACAACACGAGACGGTTGCCTCCGAGCGGCGTTCTACTCTCGACTAGCCGATTCCAACGAAACTCCACTTCGATTCCGCAACAGAATTTGGCTAAAAAAAAAAATAAAAAAATAAATACAGTACCGAAAAAAGGAAGTTTCGCGATCAGGCGGAAATTAGTCAAGCAAATAATTGTTCAAGTGTGAGTGCTCGCGAGTGGAAAGTGGCTTGAATTCCTCTAATTGGGAGTGTATCAAAATAAGTGGCCAACATGATTGAGAGGCGCAGTCAACTGGATAAGGTAATGCCACCCAAGACATAAAAACGTTATTGTCTCAGTTCAAAAACAAAAAGTTCTATAAAAATTACTTAAGCTAAGCGTGAACTTTTTACTTTTTGTATGCTTAACCTTTTTGTGTGCGAAATTCAGTAATTGCCTTTCAAAGTTTCACAATTCGCAGATTCCATCAAAACGTGTGAAATTTTTTAATGCGAGTGCAAAAGTTGCAAACTTTAAAGATTCTCATAAACATAATGATGGCAAAATGGGCGACTAGTTCTCACTACAAATACAACTTTAGTTAACTTATTTAAACTACTATTGAGTTTTCTTGAAAATATTTTAGACCAATTTGTACATTTTCTCTTAAACTTGGACAAAACTTCGTTAATTAAGTTTTAAAACTATCCGTGTGAAGCGGCACTTATCGAAAATTCCGTTGTAAAACATTGCAATGGCTAGTCGAAATTCAGCTCCCACTTAACCAACTTAAAATCTATGTAGGTCGAACTAGTTTTATTGGCCATAAAACATGAGGTAACACGAGCAGCCCTTTTGTGTAAGAATCTTTGCTTCGGGGGGAAAATAAAATTATTTTAAGAAGGGTATAAAAACCTTTCAAGATCCGTAAAAGTATTTATGACGCTCTTGCCGTTTGATATATCGTCTTAATGATACAAGACACAGAACATATTTATTTTCCTGATTGCGATCATCGGAGAGGTTTTAGCTGGGGAGGCGAAATCTTTTGCGATTCACATTCTTGCCGGACCTCTCATTCAGGTTTTATTCTGGGTTCAGCAATCTGATTAATCAGCCATGTGCGAGATTTTCTTTTCAGGTTCTAAGCTTCTGGCAGATCGCACGATCTGCGAACCGAGTTCTGAACGCAGTGTTTTTTTTTTCTGTATCTCTGTCTGCTTATCTAAATATTCGCAAAAGTAGAATCTGAATCTGAATCTTTATTCACTAGTGACTCAGTCGCAGCTACGACTCATTTGCATTTGTTTGGCAGTAAAGAACTTTTGCTTTTATTTGGCTGATAGTCTGGTCGATAAAAGAATGTATGAAGCTCTAATTAATTATGTGCGATTCAAATTACGTAAGGCGTTCCGAAGACGAAACGAAAGTAAGCGCTTAATGTCTAATTTATGTACGTTTTCATCGATCGTTTCGGTTACAAAGTATTTTAAGCGCGGAGCGTCACAACCATCTTTAATATTCAGCGGAAACGCGACAGTATTTTTGGCCAACTGATCGACATAAATCTATATTTAGATTTACGTCAGTTAATCTGCGTCACTGCGTATGCCCAGCTGCATTTATATCGCGTTTTAAGTTGGTTCTGAATGAATTCAGATAAGTTTCTTATTCTGGGCCGTGATCCGTGTCACGTAATCTTCGATTAGAAACGATGTATAAATATTCGGGAACCCCAACATCTCTAAGCGGAAGAGTAGATGAAGCTCCATTATTAATGAGTTCCCGAAAACCGTGTGAGCAATTGGCTAATTAGGTGTTTAAAATATACAAATGACCCTAGTTCTCAGCGGGTTGCAAATGATTCAAAAGTATGAAGATACAAACAGAGAAGTGAAAACAACAAGGGTAATTATAAAAATATGAAAAAACTTTGAATGAAACCTTGATTATTGGCACTGATTAATTTGCTTCAGGGAACTTAGTGCAAGAATTATAAAATTCCAATGGAACTCATTTGGAATGGCAGTTAACTAAATACAATGCATTATTTTGTACCTTTGTTTGTGAAAAAAATATATATTGAATTAAAGACAATATTTGTTTATAAAATATTTTAAGTATCAACAAATGTGTGAGCGTGTACACGCTTAATCAGATTATCATGCAAGCTTTAAATTAATTAACGCATTAGCAATAATACACTCAATTAGCACTTTAATAGACTCTTTTCGGTAAATTTAATTAAATCCTAAAAGGATAGGTATTTAAAAACAGCTTGCACTTAAAATTAAAAGCGTATGCTATTCTTTAATTAAAAGTTAAATGAAGAGAACTTTTATTTCTTAAATAATGCAAAATAAAAAGGGTTCCTTTGATAAATCAATTACTTCTTTGCTACTTGCACAAATGCAATTTAAATTCGCCATCTGAGCAAATTAAATAAGCAAACAGTGCCCACTTTTCGCGAGCAATTGGAATAAGGCGAATTAATTAAATTGATTTTATTGGCATCAAGTGTGTGTGGTACTGCTGCGGCTTTATTCGATTGCGATTCCAATGAAAGCGAACGGGTGGGTGCTTTTGGCATTAATTAGCTGCATGATTAACGACGGCACGATGGTTAACTCCCCATCGTTGAACCCGATTTAATTGTAGTTTAACTCTGCCATTGAACCTTGTTCATTTCTCCCAGAGCACTTCGCGTATAATCTCAATTACGGGTTATCTAACAGCAGCCACTCGAAACAATAACAAACTTGGCCCGGTAATTAAATCAAATCCGCCAAGAAGAAGAAAACGTTAGCATAGCAAATAATACATGTGCGAACATAAACAACAACACAATCGAACAACAAACGCTAAAGCCGCTAAACAAATAATCAATGCTGGAAAGCGAAAATATGTAGTTATTGTTATATCTCTAGGAACGTTTATCTGCACGTGTTCGTTTTTCGATATGGGGGCGTACGACGAAGAAGAAGAACAAGTCGAAACGCTAAAAAAATATCAACCGATTCTTTCCGCTAAAGGTCACGTACAAAAACAAAATCAAAGCCCGTCGCCAAAAAAGCAAAAACGCGTTTCAAACAAAAAAAAAAATAAGAAACGTAATGAAATTAAAGCAAAATCCGGCAATCAAGCTTACAAAATGGGTACTGTTTGTTTTTTTTTATGGGCGTGTGTGTAAGTCGGTAACCCCAAGCAAAGTCAAGGCCCTCTCGCTCGCACTCTCTCTCTTTCGCTTACTTTTTCGCTATGCTGATTAGCTTCGTGACCCTGAGCAATGTCAGCCAAAGGCGCACGCAGAGGGGATTTTATTGCAGGAACCTAACTGTACTCAATAAAAACAGCTTCTACAAATAAAAATGTTAACCATTTAGACCCCTTTCTCGGAGCCTCTTAAGCATTAAATTTAACAAAATTATGCCGGGCCCCCAGTTAAGTATTCCTTCCTCCACCACTGACTTTAAAAGTTTACATCCAACTTTAGTTTTCAACACACAAGTGTGACCAGCCATAAAAGAAAGGTGCACAAATCGTTGAACGGCAAATATGATGCTGTTCATTGTTGTCATTGTTTGTTGGTGCTAGAGCCCGTTGTTTGGCCATTCAAATTTTATGCATTGTCAGCGGCCAACAACACAATGGTACAGAAAATTGTTTATGCGGGGGTAAACAGCCGGTTGAACATACAATTCAATTTAACGCTATGCGGCCCGCCCGGCTATTTGGTTTTCTAGTTCAAGTTGAGGGTCAATAGTTGCCATGGCTTGCATTTTAGCCCGGCTTTGGGTGTTTGTTTGCAATTTGTAAAATTGCCGAACAAATATTGATTGGCGAACGAAAAAAGGCAAATCCAAATAGCCGTTTCTTCTTATCAACTATGGCGAAAATCACACAGTTGCTCCCTCCAATCGCCCCACCTTAAATGTTTATATTTAGACAGGGCAAACTATAGAAGGGGAACGAGGTGAGGTGTTCCTAAAGGGCGTAGCCGGTTCAACGTGATTCATCCAGGTTGAATGCATCATCCGTCGGGTTCTCTACAGGCAGAATAATAGGTTAACTTCAAAATTAAAGTTATGGTAGGTCAATCTCGGAATTTAAAAGTATAACAATTTTATTTACTTAAATGTACATCCGTCCTTTGGCACTTTAACGTCCTTTAAGAAAGCGTATTGTACATTTTTAATATCATATCAATTTAATCTTTTTGATTAAATTTTTTTGCTGTGAATATTGTTATATGTTTTATATGCATAATAATTAACTCATTTTTCAAAAGTTTTAAATTAAGTTTCTGTGTCGTTCAAGATTAAAATGCAGTTGCAATGAACAGAAAAAAAGTGATAAAATTTATGCAAGTGCATCGACTTAACTCAGTTTTCCAACGTGGTGGGAAGGCTAAAGCCACAAAAGAGAATTGCAAAATGGAGGGCGGGATGGGAAATAAATTAAACGAGGTTGGAAGTGACAACTACACGTGACTTGCTGTGCGGCAGATCAGTAATTAATGCATAAATAGACTAAGCAAACAATTATACGGATGACTGATTTACAGTCATTCCACAGGGTAAAGGTTCTCCTGCCCTTTGATCGAGAATATTAATTGGCCAATTGAAATCATCAGTTGGTAAGTGATTTGTCTGCCGTCAAATCAATTTGTGTTGGGGTAGATCAAGTTATTAACCAAAACAGGTTTGATCTAACCAATTAAAATCGCGTAAGACGTAAATATTTTGCAAAAAAGTCATAAAGATAAATAGGCCTGTTATTCCATTTCCTAGTAGGTTTAATCAGGTATGATTGATTTCACAGAAATAAATGTTAAATGTTATTGATGAGCCAAACTTTTAACTGATAATTAACCAGAGGACCGAAGTCATGTGTATTAATGTAGATTTATGTAAATGAGCCACAAAAGATATAAATAGATTTTTTTTTTTTGAATTTACTGAACTTGTTTTATGGCTGATTCTACTTTTAGCCAAATCGTTGTCGTGAATTTAAATTTGCATACACTTTTCAAGGGTATTTGGTTGGCTAGACGTAAAATAATAAAGTAAAACAGGAACAAACTTTAATGCCTTAAAATTAAAATGCCAATAAAAATTCTTATAACAAAATTAAGTTTACAGTGTTTGGAAAAAAGCATAAAAACAAATCTCTTGGATTATTTAAAAACTACGAAGGGTATATGAAATTCAACATGACGCAGTTACCTTCGTTTTTTGCTTATTTTAAGATTAGCCAAATTCGGTTTCGTTAATTCAAATATAGCGTATCATTTTCCTTTTCGGCAGCTTTATTTAGGTATTTATTTACGTATATTCATTATATCTGGTTCTGGTGGGTTCAAGGCGGTTCCGGTCGACTCCAGATGCAGTTTCGTTTTTCAGTCAACTTATCATCTGATTAAAGCCATATAAGTTAATGGCTGAAATCGTAGAAGAACGAAACCTGGTCTGGAATCGAAACTCGGTCAGACAGATAAGGTGAGCCACTTGCGGTACTGCTACTTAGTGTTCCACTGACTTAAAAGACCCGATGAGTTTACTGATCCTCTGACTTTTAAGATCCAATGGGCTTAGTGAAATCCATTTAGCAGCTAAGCGATGGAGCAGGTTCACTGAACTGCAGTCACCTACGATTGGCATTGGGAGCAAGCGAGAGACACTCTTTGTGGGTGCAAAGAGTTCGGAGAATATGTGGGTCAGGCCGGCAATTACACTGAAAGTAGGCGGTCCACTTTTCTTAAAACCCGTTTACAGTTACCAGCGACAGATGATAAAAAGCTGAAGAAACGGAAAGAAGCAGAGAAATTTGCGGAGCTTGTTCGCTCACTTTTTCTCTTATTAGCGAAATTTCAGATTGCAAGATTGACTGTAAAGTAACAGTGCTGCACTCTCTTCTAGGTAAATGTTAACATGAATGAATGCTGACAAAAAAGCAGAAAGTAGGTCTTAAACTTTAATTATGAAGACAAAAAAGACAATTTTCCTTTAAATACAACCATTACAAACAAAAAACTGAACCACTGTACTGCCAAAAAGAAAATGATTTTACTCTCTTTTTTACTCTTTAGAACCAGCTATCTTTTACACAGCCATTTTCACTCTTACTGTAACAACGCTGCAACAAGCACGATCTCTGTTACTCTCTTACATTAACAGCAGCTACTCTCATTACAGTGAGAAAGCAATGAGAGAAAGTAAAGCGCTATGTCGGTGCTCGCTGTCTATCTCTCTCACTTTCATTGCACTCTCTTTCCCGCTTACTCACCCAACCGAGTGCAAACTTTTACATTGAGATGCAAAGAGAGGAGATGCGCTGCAAGATCCGCTGCTGTTGCTCTCTTCTTGTAACGGAAGAACGCAGGCTATAAAAGCAGCGCATGCGCCCCGTGTTTTCCTCAATCGCGCACCTGCACTCGAAAAGAACACGTCGGGTGATAAGTTCTTCCAAATTAAGAAAAACCGACTTAAAGTCACTGCAAATATGACGACGCGAACCACAACAACGCAGCGCAGCCTCTACATCACAAACGAGGTGAGTTCCTGCTTCGCCAAAAATAAGTCAAACATCAGCGCTCAAACGGAAAGCGCCGGCATGAAATAATTTATGAAATCGTCCGCCGCGGGCACTTTTAATTCTGATTACGATTCTACTTGTGATTGTGGCTCTGATTCTGATTCTGACGAGAGCCACTCAGAAACTGGCTGCTAATTAGTGCTGCCTCATTAAAGGCAAAACCAAACAAACGAAACTGTTGCTTGGACACTCGAGACCACTCTTACGAAAAGCCAGAAGTCCAGAAACCAAAAAGCAGTGCAAAAACTCGGGTAAACAAATCTGAATGGCAGCGGCTGCCCTGCTGCCTTATAATTGTGAAACAAAAGCCCCATTTACGCCAGGTCAGAGTTTCCGTCCAGAACAAAATATCCAAATTATAATCAATGCAAACAATTAGTACGGGAACAGCTTTTGGGGGAAAACTCGTTCCAAAACACTTTTGCTTTTGCTTTTGCTTTTGCCTCTACTGGCCGATAAAGGCTTACATTTCCAGAACGCTAACACAGTATTGGATTTGAAATGATTAGAATAAATTAGTATTCATTTTCGCGGGCAAACAGCTGCGGGCTCAAAGCTTAAAGAAAGCAACAGTAAAAAGCAAACAAGAAATATTCCGATTTTTGTGTTGCCCGCAGGGCGAAGTAAAAAAGAGACGACGAAAACAGAGGCAGAAATAAAATCAAATGCAAATTATAAAGAAATAATAATAATAATGTGGCTAATTATGAGTGAAATTTCAGGAAATCAAATAAATAGAATGAAGAACAAAAAGAAGAAAAACAACGGTCATTGGCAGTGAAATGAAAAACAGACTTAAAAGCCCTTAAGTGGTGGACAAAAAAAAATTTGAAAACAACAAAAATGAAGAACAAACATTTTGATTCAATAAATTTGAATTATAGCTTAAAAGTCATTTAGCATTATTTTCTCTGTTTTTACATAAACTATTTTTTATCTATAATTGATAGATTATGTGGTACAAGGAAATGCTTTACAATCAGTGTAGCTTTAAACAGTAGTCACTCACTTCTGCGGTTAGCTCATTAGCAAAGTTAAATGAGATTGCGTAACGCCGTCGCCCACTAATATGCAACCGAAACTATAATTAAACTTGTGCGGCGCAAGAAGACGCCAATTGCCACCCTCGCAGACTTGCAACCCATTTTGTTGGCTAAGTAATTAACGTTTATTGGCTGCGGACAAACAAGAAGTTCGTGGACTGCCGCCCGAAGTACACTCTGCTTATTTTCGTAAATTCAATCTTCTTTTCCAGAAAATATATATTCAAACAAACATATGTGGGTCCTGCCATTCGGCCACGCCCCCACCAAATGCGCGCCTCTGTTTGTTCGCCGCGCGTTTAGACTTTTGTTTGTTCGCCCAATATTTGCCCGAAAATTTTGAGTAAGAATAACAAAAAGATTTTTTTGCCCGCCCAAGTCAACAGATTGTTGGTGGCGCACTGAGACGATAGACCCAGAGTTGTGTGTGCATGTGTGCCTATCGATGGCAACAATTACCAGACATCGGGGCGTATGCGTGATATTTCGACGAGCAGTATCACGCATACGCCTTGTATGCAAACGGAAACGGCTTGCACCGCAAATATTTTCGGCCAAGTCGTGTCCACAGACCGTCTGCAGTCCGGTTGACCGTAATTCAACTTGGCCAGCTGCAAACAGATTCAATTTGCATTGCGACATGCAAATGCATTGGCCGGAATAAAATCTCTTTTTCAGGTCAGTCTTCGGACAAATACTTCTTACTCACTCGTTTTGTAACCCTTTTATTAAACGAAATTTGCTAGGTTTTTGTCATGCAAATGGAATCTCACATTCTTTCCCACAATTCACTTAGGATGGGAGTGTATTGGTTGATTGAATGCCTTTCCTTTAAACGGAACAAAGATTCGAGTCCTGCTTTCAACTCTGGCCTGTAATTTAAATTTTTTGCAAATAGTTTTCATATATTTTTAATTGCACACTCGTTACTTAGACTCAAGCTTCGCAATTTGACCAACCATTTCGGTTTAATTTCTGGCATATTCGTTTTGAAATCCTGGTCAACTGTATTTGCATTGTAAATGGCAACAAATATGTGATAATTGTATGGAATATTTTTCGTATTTTCCATACGCTTTTCCCCAGACAACGTAAAATATTCAGAAGGACCATCAATTCCCATTGATATGCGCATGATTATGCTAGCTGAATTTGAAATGGTTTATTCTTCAGCAAAACAAACTTAAATCAAAACACCAGCTCTATTTTTATTTTTCAACTCCAGCGAACAACGAAACCCTTGTTGGAATTTAATATGCTGTCGGCGCTTTTAAAAATTTTCAAGTACAGCGTTAACAGAATCTTTTTTGGCCAACTAGGGTCAGGGCTGAGATTTGTTTAACCATTCGTTTAATTAAGTGGCAGCGTGCGGTTGCATTTGTGTCAGGGCTGCCACAGAATCTCCGGCGACTTGCGGCGCTCAAAAATGTTCGTTTTAATGCTTTTCGAGTAACAATTAGACAACAGCAATTGCTGGGTTAACTGCTGTCCCCTCCGAGACTTCGTCTCCCCTGCCATTCTGTTGGCCAAAGTCATGGAGTGTCATGGCCCGCTGGACTTGGTTTGACCTGCTCTGCACTTGCCTTTTATGTTACCATTTTTGATTGCTGTTTCGACGCAGCCAGACAGCACAATAAACACAGATAGACAGACAGTGGGTCCATCAATGACTTGGATTTATTTTCGTAACTAAATGCGGGCTCACAGTCCGCTGGATTTGAACCTTTCGCCTTGGACGGCTTTCGAAATACTTGGGGCGGGAAAATTCACTCACTGCCAAGTGGAAAAACTCGATGCATCCAGCTGAAAACTGGTTGGCTGGCCTTGGTCTAATCCACATTTCAGAACCTCCAGCCAGCCAGTCAGCCAGGCAGTTCAGCCAGCTCAGCAACAGGCAGCAGATTCTGTCTCGCGCCAAGCGTTTCCAAACTTGATACTCGATTGTTTGGCCAACACTCTTAGCCATGGCTGTTGGCCAGAACGAAAATCTCCAAGCAGCAATGCAGCCTGCAACTTGACTTTGCAATCATACTGTTTTGAACCGCAGCACGCCAAACAAGTGCCGTTCAAGTGCGGATTGCCAAGATCAATGTGTCGACAGCATGAGCTTCAACAATGATGTACGACTGCAGTCCATTTTATACTTCATGCAATTCCTCTAATGATTCTCTTCTATATATCTTGTCTTTCAGATCATCATCACCGCCATGGATCGCTTCGTTTGGTTCGTCCTCCTGGTGGTCATGTCCCATCTGGTCACCGAGTTCACCCGCGTCACCGGATACGCGAGAGGCCAGCGCCACGAGCTGGTGCTGCTGAACGAGGTGAGTAGCGAAACCTGCTCGCAGCTCGTTAAAATATCAACTGACTGCCTAACTGACTAGCTGACACGCAGAAAAAATATCAAAAAAAATAAAGATTCCAGGAACTATGTAGTTTTCCATTTAAAAAAGACTTAGATTGGGGGATTTTTCGAGGCAAAATAATTAAAACTTTGTAGTCCTGACGTCAATAATGTGTTTACTGAAATAATAAAATAAATTTAATTATAATCTCTATACAGTTTTCAGCATTTTCATAAATATTTAAATAATTAAAAATGTTTTCTTTATGAATCAGAATTTATTCAATATTTTTTCTGCGTGCAACTGTAACTGATATTACTTAGCTGACTCTCAATTATCTGTTTACGTAATTTTGACAAGTTATTAAAATTTTGCTGACCTTTTCAGACCCTGCTGGCCCCGATGCCCGTCCAGAACATGGTGCTCTACCCCAGCCAAGAGTACGGTCAGTACCAGCAGCACTCCTCCTCCCCCTCCTCATCCTCCAGCGTCGGTGGATCGATGAGCAGCCTGCAACAAAACGCGGCCATGTGGCTGAGCAGCTTGGCGGCGGGAGTGAGTCCGGGAAACGGAGCAACTGCAGCGGGTTCAGCGGTTCCCGGGAGCAATGCGGCCATCTTGTCCCTGGGCGATAGCCAACCGGCTCACACGGCCGAGAACACTTACCCGGTGTTCAGTTTGCGTCCCCTGATCGACAGCATTTTCGAGGTGAGTTCACGCAGTTTGAGTTTTCCCTGCAGTGAAATCCATGATTTAACAATTTCCATTCGAATTTTCCGCAGATTCCGATTTCGACGCTGCGAGCTGTCAACAATTTGGTGGGTCGACTGACCGGAGGCTATCGCCAGGCTCCGACGGAAGTGTCGCAAAAATCCGTGGCAGCAGGAACGGCGCTGCCTTCCGGCAGACAAGTCCAAAATCCTACCTTAAATGCCCATCCGAGTCCACATCAAATGCGCGAGGAGATGGCGTAATTTAAGGATCCTTAGTCCCACTTTAGTCAGTACTTTTGCGTGAATGTTGTAATTTCTGTCAGTGTTGATTTCGAGTGTGTTTTTCGTGTGCATTTTTACCTTTGTGATATACGTGACCTTGTCGTAAGCTTAGCTTAAGGATATTTATGTCCACCCACAAAAAAGTCCCCAAAAAATAATATTAAACAATAAATGTAATTCCTACAAAGAAAATATTATACATACTTTGTTTTTAAAAGCAATGATCATAAAATAATCGTTTCATTAACTTAAAAACTCAGTCAATAGCAATCAATGGGATTAATATAATTCAACGTTTATTAACAAATAAAGCTATCAGCTTTTTTAAGCAAAATGTTTTTGTGTACATTATACAAATATGACTGAAGTAACTCGTAAATATTTATTTAAACGTTTTCCCTGATGAAGCTGTAAACATTTTTTCACTGGTTGGTCTTGATTTTTTTCTAGAATGTTATGCCGTTTTTACTCAAATGTTATTTTCAAATAAAAAAAGCTTACAGCCGCAAAGAACGCAATTAAATTATGTGCTGCCTATTTTTTATTGGATTAAACAAGAAAAAAGTGCTGCATACTTTTAGAGCTTCCCAACAAATGGTTATTCTTTTTATTTGAGTTTATAAATACGTCAGTAAAAGCAATCGCTTAATTCATTGATGGCTGTGCAATGGAACAGAATTAAAAATATTTTTATGTATATTTGGGGATTCGTACAAATGTTATTTACCATTGACGAGTCAATAAACGCATATCAGGGAATTGACAAAAAGCGCTTCCTCATTGATTGACAATCATAAAAAAAAGGTTATCAAAAGAGCACTGGAACTTCCTGGGTCTCAAAGCTGTAAACAATGCTTTTCCCAAATAAATCCTAAAGTAAACTAATTGATTAAAACCTAATGAGATTTCCATTTAGCGGGACACAAGTTCTCGCGTAATTAATGCGGAAGAAAAGAGATAATGAAAAGGGAACATCAAGTGATTTTCCCAACGAGAAAATCTATCTACTATTTCCCAAGGTAATCATGCGTGTTGTTAGGGACCAGAGCAAACCCAATCGGCAATGAATCGAATTTAATTATATTTTCTTTTTGGACCCTTTTCGATGGCATTTGATTTCGGCCATCGCATTCTAAATTATCCAGCACGTGCGCTTCGGACTTGGCCAAAAAAAAAAAAAAAAAAGAGAGCCAAAGGCAAAAGGCACATTAACGCAGGCGGCTCTGTTTGTCATTTGAATACCTAATGAATAAATCGCTGGGACAAAAGCAGGGAGTCCAATGGCGTTAAATTAGAAATGGATGGGTAGCTAAGTTTAAAATCAGCCAGCCGAGTCAGAGAAACCCCAAAAGAGAGATAAATTTATAATAGAAACTTTTACACAAAAAGAAAAAAAGGAAAAGAAAAAGAAAACGCAAACACAAACCGCCACCATTCAATACTTATTAATTTGCCCGGCTGCAATTGGCAATCCCAATTTGCCTCTAGCTTCGGTGAAGCGTGAACGAAAACAAAACAAAAACCCAATTTATGGCCAAATGCAGCCAATTTCAAACCGCTTTAAAGCCAACAAAAAGTGCAGGACGAAGGGGCGGTAAGCAAAAAACCGGTTGGTCAATATTAGCCGAATCGGATGCACTTTAATCGGGGCGTATGAGTAATACAGTAGTAATCCATTCATTGTTTTGTATTTATGAGCTTAGAATGGAAAATCTAAGTTTAATATATATTTGATTATCTCTGAGGGTTAGTCGATTACGACTATGAACTTTATTGTAATGCAATAAACACAAGAGTGATGATAACATATAAAGTTGTATAATTTGCCGTCAGCTTCCAACTTTTACTTAAACTCTTTATTCTTTTTTTCTGAACCGCAGAACAGACGACTGACCACAAATAAAAAGCAAAGGCAAGTCCGTCATGTCTGAAATGTTACCAAATTCTCACCCAGTTGTTAGGACAGGTGTAGAAAAAGTGCTAATAGGTCGCCGAAACAACGAATACGTATAGTATCTTCCCAAATTCTTGCATCATCATCATGCAGTGTCCAGAGTTCCCTGCACATCAGCTTCAAAGATAATAAATTGAATAAGTAAGAGGAAAGAAGAAGAAGCAGAACTCCTATATAAATAGACGCCTGAATATCAAATTGCGACACAATTCCAGTTTCGCGGGGCATTACAAGCCGCAGACAGTGGACGGCAGACCGCGGATTCCGATTCCCCTCGGCAGAATTCAAGTTTAAGCCCGGCTCAAACCACTCGACCACTCAGTTCCAAGCGAAATCGCGACGCGACAACAACGGACCACGGCTCAAACGAAACAAAATAAAAATAAATAAAAACAACAGCAAAGCATCTAGGAAAGGTACAACAAAGAGCGGAAAGCTAGAGCTTTGTTAATTAATCAGAAGCGTTCGAATTCGCATGTGAAAGCCCCGCAATTATGCTCGGCCGCTCCCCATTAAAGTGCGAGGAAGAATTCTTCGGGACGCGACTCGCATACGAAAGCGATTCTCTGGAATTGATTTCGATTTTGGATTCTGTTTTCTAGGTGCGCAAAATGTTCGTCTTACTGGGAGTTCTCTGCCTGCTGCAGACGGTTAACTTGGTGCCAGCTCAGGTGAGTCCTGCGGATTCCGGTTCCCGAATTTAATTAAAGTACTCACCGACTGACACCTGCCACCGGAGTCAAGTCATAGTTGGCTAAGACCTGCCTTTCTGGCCAAGAGCGATTCGAAAATATTTTAATTACTTTGCTCGCTGGCTGCTTTATACATTATTCGTTTATTCGGTTAGCAAACTCCGGTAAACCCAATTTCGGAGCATTAAAAATTGTAAACGCAGCTGTGAGTCAGACATTCCATCAGTCAGATTAATTTCTCGGTTTCTCGGCTCTAATTGAATTATTCATCAACTTGATTAATAGATCAATCGATGAATTGCATTTCCTGTCGCTTAAGCAGGGAAAGAAATGAGTTAATGTTATACAATGATTTTTTCAATGGAAAAGATATGCCAGATATGCAAAGTTGTCTTTGTCTTTTTTTCAAAACAATACATTTTTAAATAATAGAAACTTTTCCTTTTTATTTTTATTATTTTCTTTTTTTTGTTTGTATGGTCAATTTTACTTTGAGTTGAGTGCTGGCCCCCAGATAATCAAAATCTGCATTAGAACTGCTGGCCATCCGCAGCGCGAAAATCAATGTCATTGTCGATAATTTTATTTTGCGGTTTGAGGCCGCAAATTAACGAAAACGTCGAGAGTGCAACATTCGATTTTGGCGGGAGGGAATGGTGAACTTTGTGCCGGCCCAAAACATTGCACAATGTCCGGTAATGAAGAACTTTAGTGCGCGATTTCGCAACACGACGTGCCTTTAATTGCAGGTCAAGGCGAATGCTCGCTGGGTTTCCTTACCTGACTGCCCGAATGCCCGAATGGCAATTACATGGCACACTCAGCACTCAACACCACTTGCTTATCATTAATCTTGGCTTCACGAGCCGCGACCAACTATTATACATCATTTTAATAACTACTGTTGGTCTAGAGTTTGCCGCCTTAGTGGCTGCCTTGAACTTTGACGACCTGGGCTAACTAATATCAATTTAATTGCATTTTTCACCACCGATTACTCATACGCAGTGTTGCACACAAGTTGCACGAGAGCTAAAGTTTGCTATCGGTAATTCATGGGAACCAAAGCTTAGGTGTCGAAAGGCCATGCAATATTTTGTTTTAAATACATTTCCTCGTTTAAAATTCAAATTTATCTTCCCAATCTGAACTCGGTTTTGTAAGCAAAAAGAAATTTTAAGAGTATGACAAATCTGTTTACGTAGTAATATGCAAAATATTTTTAAAAGAAAAACCGATTATAAATATGAATATTTTCTTTTTGTTGTGTGATATGAATGGGTGAAACATCATTGTAATTTTAAACTAAGACCTCAGGCAGCTTAAGCATGATTTTGTCACACATCTTACCTGAAAACACTTTTGCCGAGATACTATTTTCAATCTTTTCTATCGTTTTCTTTTTATGGGAGTTTTCTTTACAGACTGGCTATGCCTGTTCGTGGCTTGAGGGCTACAAGAAATTAGATTTTAATCAACGCATGCATGAAATTTGCATTTACCACCCAAATAGAAAACCCCAAATAATTTTTTTTGTTTATTTTTCTGTGCGGGTCGTGGGAATTGAAATTAAGAGCGCACGTAAAAAGTCCTGAGAAGGGATTGCGGCCAGCCAATGAAGGTTACAATTCAGGACAGCCATTGCCCAGAAATTCATGCAAATTACTGGCCATTCATTCCAATTCGCAGGTTCAACCGAGAAATCCTTTCAGTTCTCTTTCTTTCTTTTTTGGGGTCATGACCCAAGCTTATGAATTTTGAAAACTCCTGGCGGCAATCTTTAATCTCCCCGTGGGGCATTAAATAAGCTTTACACAATTGTGGAACTTCACCATCAACTTAAATTAGCCAAACACAATTGTGGCACATTACTGTCAACCCAGAAGAGTCATATTGCGATTGTTATCAGGGAAATGTATGTTCTGCAAATACAGTGAATGAAAACACTTTCCGGATGAAAGTTGTGGACATGTAAAACATTTCAATTGTTCCAGGCAAATATTTAACAAAAGCAAACGAAAGTTCTGCCCATTGTTTGGTTAAATAAATCTACCCAATTTTATATATGTACAACTTGTTATAAATTTATAGTTTGCAAAGCGTTAAAATAATTAAATTATTTAGTTTATTATCATCTAATTTGCCAGTTAAAGGAACACAAAAACTTTTTGTTAGTGAACAAAAGAGCGCGATATAACATGCATAAAACAAGGTTTTGTTTTTCAACCAAACTTTTAACTTCTGACATGAGTAGGGATATATGTTCGGAACTGTGAATTGTAGTTATGAGTATTTTTTTTTTATCACTTAAAAATTAAACTGTTAAAAGGAAAACAGAAACCAGAACTTTGACGCCACTTTCAGGGTTTAAATAGTTATTATTAATAACAACTACTTACATAGTTATGTGTGCAATTTCCATAAAATTATTAAAACCCGACAACCTTTAAACGACTTTTAAACTTCAGAGACTCTTGCAACTTTTCGGTTTTAATATGATTTCATTATATTTGTCACAAGTTTTCAGTGTCAGTACAAAAGTTTACAGTCGAAAGAGCAACCAAGTTTTCTTTATAAAAACTCACCTATATATTCTCAAGACTTCACTTTTATCGTGAGTTACGAGAACATATAAACAAGTTGTATAGATTTTAATTAAGATACTTTTAAATATAGGTTAACGTGAGAGTTTTTGAATAGCTAATGCAATTATTTACGTAAGTTCATTCTAAACAAACAGAAGCTTAAGCAGGAATAAAAAAAATTACAAAAGTAAATACTCAACATAAATAATAAAATTGAACATTTCAGTTTAATTTTTTTAATATTGAAGAAGACATTTTAAAGACCTATTATAGTTTCATTTAAAAAATACATTTTCCTCTGTGCTCTTGGTTTGCACAGCTGAAAGTTCCTATCATTATTTTTACACTAATTAATATTTACAACTCCGGAGCTGGAGTGCTTGTTCTCCTAAGATAACAACGATACCCTATATGTCCACTCCATAGATGGATACCTCAAGGTGAGCAGTTTCTGGTTCTGAGTTCTCAGTTTCTGATTCGTTTTTCCTTTGGAGCCTCCGGCAGTGAATTACCACAAATTCCTGACCAATGCCACCTTCTGTGACAATGGCCTCTGCCAGTCCGTCGCTCAGATCCTCAACATGTATACCCGTAATCCGGTAGTTATCACTGGCATTCTGTTGGAGATTCCCAAGGAGATTAAGCAATTTGCACCCCAAGTACTCGATATAAATCTCACCTGTGAGCCGTAGATGAGATCTCCGCCCGGGGACCCCGGCTTTAGGTAAACATCTTCGGTGTACAGCAGGCTGGCATATTTGCCGACATGTCCCCAGGTGACCGAGGCCGCGTCGCCAAGTAACACCTGCCCAGGTGGCACCACCAATTGGAGCAGCAGCAGCGGCGGCAACCACAGCAGCCACATCCGAATCATCAGTGGCAGCCATTCCCATTCCCACTGCCTCGCACTTGTCAACATGACAACATGTGTCTGTCTGTCTTTCTGTTTGTCCGACAGTCTGTCTCTCTGTTTCTCTGTCGATTTTCCCTGCCTTTCCCTGCAAACTTGTGCTGTGATTCTGATTCTGGTTCCGATTCTGGGCCTTCAGCTTTTCCACCTTCTCCTCCTCCTTTTCCTCTAGTCGGCGTGTGAAACTCAAATGAGCTGCCGTCAGGAGGCCAAGTTAAATATTGTCGTTGTGTCTGCCTGGAAAAACTCTTATCGGCGACAGGTGTGCTACACTCTCTCGCTCGCTCTCTTTTGGCCAGGGTCATTTGCAATATTGTCACACTTTTGGTACCCTAACTTCTGGGGAAAAACCCTTAAAATCATAAACAAAAGGAAGCAATAGGACTAAAGAACAAATTAACTATTAAATATTAATTATTAATTATCTATTAACAATTAACTATTAAGCACTTCTGTAGGAAAAAGTTTCACAAACAATATTGTTATGAGTATAACCACAGGGAAATAAAAACCATTACATATTTTAAAATTTGCTTACATATTAGAATTAAAGATAGAGAACTCACAGGCCATTAAACAACTAAATAAACTCCACCACATTTGTTTGTTTGGGTTTGTTGAGCTAGCTGTTACCTGTCACAATTATTGATAACTTCTTTGTAGCTCGCTCGCTGCTCTCATTACCAGCGTTCCACTATCTGTTATCTGGTTAAACAACACTCTCGCTCTCGCTATCATTAAATCGATGTTATTCTTACGGGCTTATCTTTAGTTCGTAACATTTTAATTTTTTTCATTCTTGGATAAACGAACTGTGCAAATATTTATCATCAACATTTCCAAAGCAAGTGAATGTCTGCGCAAGAAAACTTTCGACCTTCAGCGATTTGAGCCGTTGAGAAATTCCGCTTAAATTGATTAACACAGAGCAACACACAATATGTATACAAACTTAGTTAAGCGGGCACAAAGGGTGTTAGCCTATTTTTTTTTTCTTTTTGATTTTCCTGGCCAGGCTAAAGTTGGGCCGCAACTTTACAACTATTAGTGAAACAGGGCGGACAGAACATCTTGCGCCGAAAAGTTTTCAGGAGGCAAAATCCGAAGGTCTTGGCCAACTTTGAATAGCATTAAGTATACGCAACGTGAACAAAACTTTTTGGCTAAACCCTCTCAAATTTCCCCATTGCCATTCCCATCATTACCTTTAGCTGATTACGCTGCGCGATGGCAAGGTGGGCGTGAACTTCGCCGGATTCCACGCGGATGCGGGACTCGGCGGACTCCTCACGGGAAATTCTGCCCACGGCGGACTCAGCGCCTCGGCGGGAACTCCTTGGGGAGCGAGGGCAGCTGCCGGACTCGGTGGCAATCTGGATGGTAAGAGCAAGAGGTTCTTGGCCTAATTGATTCGATTACACACACGGTAAACCTCGTTTTTCTCAACAGGACGAGCCGCTGGCGTTGGTTACGCCGCTGCCCAAGCAAATCCTTCCGTGGGAGCAAGTGCCCTTCTGGGTGGAAGTGCCGGTGAACATGGTTACATTGGTGCCGAGGCCCACAGTCCGGGTCGCAAGGCTATCTCCTCTTCTCAGCACACCGTTCAACCAGCATATCCTGAAGATCCTGCTCCTGCTCTTCCGAATCCTGAAGCTCCGCAGCCAACCGCCAGCAGTCACATCCAGAAGGTCAAGCCGCCGAAGAAGTACACGCTGATCAAACAAAATGTGAGTAACTATAATTGATAATCTTATATGCTTTATTAAATGCGGTTAATATTTAAAAGGTTTAAAACAAGATTTTACCAATATCATATCCATTAATCATAAATAATTGTCAGGTATTGGATATCTTAACTCTATAAATATAAATTGTTTCGGGCATCATTTTCTGTTTCATTCTCCTACAAATCTTTAAAGATACTTTTTACTTAATATCTAAACTTCCATTGAAGAAATCTCTTATTTTGAAGAAATATAAAGCAAACCTTAGACACGTTTTTGCTAATCAAATTCCTTTTAAAATACCGAATTGGGAAGAGCTTTTAAATTTTCTAGGAATATCCATTTAATCTTTATGCTCCCAGAAAAGAAATTAAAAATATCTTACCTTGTTTGCTTTACGTTTACGAGACTTTTTACATCCGTCTGGTAGCTGTCAAAAATTGAAAGCATCTTTAAAAGTGTGGCAATCGAAAACTTCGCAGAATATTTACCAGGTTTCGGAAAGTATTAAAAGTGTTTTGCCTAAAAGTCGTAGCCATTACTTTGAGTCAGAAAGTCCTTAAAAAGATTTTCCAAAACTTTAACGTTGCCTCGTTTCGAGAAAAGTTTTGCCGTAAAATTAGCGGGAAATGGAGGCTGAAATGGCTTTTCAATTGCGCAATTGCTGGCAATAAATCGCCAACTAGTATTTAACTAGGACGTGCGGTTAACTATTGATCAATGCCCTCGTGTCGGCGAGCCAACAACAAGCAATCAATCCACCCATCCGCCAATCCATTGATGTTTTAGCCGGACCGCAGCGAAATCATTGAAAATCATGTTAAAGCGGCCGCAGATGTCGATGCGGTGGATAAACACCCGCCCCCGGCTGCCCCGCCCACTTCGCAATTGATAATTGTCAAGCGACCACGCCTACATGCAAAGCGTCAGCGGCAACGTGTCGTATACGTGATGCAGCAACAGCCGCAGCAGCAGCAGCAACAATAACAACAACAAGAAATTCCGGACGTGGAAGCCCAAAAGGACGAGCCGCATTCATCCGTCGAGGTAACACCAAATGCGGTGTGGACACAGATACAGATACAGATACAAATACAAATACATACACAGATACACAGGGCAGCGGGCCAGCACACAGATACACACAAGCACACGCACTGGCACATTTAAACGTAAACAAATTGTTGGCTTTTTGGTGGCGCCGGATACCAAACTTTCGCTTTGAGGCCGTAATTTTATTTGAAAACATTTGCGGACAATGTGGGCGGATGCGAAAAAAAAGAAGGAGGAGAAGGGACAGTCAGCTGCTGCTACCGTAGCATTATTATTTCTGTGAAATAATTTTAATACAATTTTAATTTATCCCCCCGCTTCCCCTTGCATGTGATGCCTTCTCCCCCCGAAAAGTAATTTCGGTAACTTATGAATATCCCACCATCCACAGGTGCCGCTGAAGAGTAATGCCAAGGTGGTCCACGCCCACAAGGTGAAGACCGTCCAGCGACAGGCCGTGAACAACCGCTTCGTGGCACCTCAGGCCCAAGGACCCGTGGGTCTGGCCCTCGATGTAAGTTTCAACCAGGCAACTTAAGAAAAATATTAATGATTCAAATAAAACGAAAAACAGTTCTTAGCTGACCTTGCTTATAAATAAAACAAATTTATAATAATTCACTAATATATATATTTTTTTAATTTTCTAATAGATTCCCATTGGCATTCTGCGATCCTTGCAACAATCCTTGACCAATCTGGCCAATGGTGGACCGCCACCACCGCCTGCTGCTGCTCAGGACCATGTTCATTAGGCTCAAAATAATACTAGAGATTTAGATTCGCTATTTTTAAGAACCCCTTAAACACACAGAATAAAATAAATAAAGCATTTACGCAGAAAGCAAGGAATTAATACATACAATTAATACAAAAATAAAAATTATAAATAAATCAGTTACGTTTTATTATTTTTTGTGGTAGTATAAAAGCTACGTTTACTAAGATATTTCTCAAATTAAAAACCAGTCAAAGAAACATATTATTTTCTTGTATTTTTGCTCACAGTAGCTCTTAAAACGCTGTAACATAATTAGAAATGTTGACACATGTTGTATGTTATTCCCACTGCTAGTGTAACCGACTTTTGAAATGGAAAATCAGGCCTAAATGGCTTCCGGCTTATACGTCAATTATTACGTTGGCCAAAGCACTCAGCATTTAGCTCTCGGTTGCCAAGTGTTTGCTTGGTGATTGCCTGCCAGTAAAATTCAGCTCTTTTATGGGCGACAAGCACTCCTGGTTGTTTGTAGTTGACTAAAGGGGTCTCCTGCCATTAAATCAAATGCCACAACACAATGCAGGGAAATGAATTGAAACGGCATTCGCATATAGAACCCAACAGTATGTTGCCGCCAGGAGCTGTGAAAATTCGCTGGAAATTCAAGTTAGATGCTGCGGAAAATGCCAAGGCATGGAAGCTGTTTATTTAGGAAAAGTGTGCGAGTGTGCGGGTGTGCGAGTGTGCGAGTGTGCGCGTGTGTTGGAGATCCAGACCTCAGACAAGATACGGCTCACACACACAACACACACACACTCCTACAAGAACAGTGTGAGCGAGCAAAATATTTCACACTCGGCAACCGCAGGCACTTGGGTGCCCCAAATTCGGATGGGGTGCACAAAGTGCGGCTTTCGTGGAAGAGGGGAAGTGGTAACCAACACGTAAATGAATGCACGATACAAACTACAACAACAATGACAACTACAATAATAACAACAACGACAACAACAACAACGACATGCATTGTGTGAATGTGCTTAAATACTCGGGGGGCTTTTATGCTTTTAACCCCTCGAAAAAGTCACGGCTTGCCGGCTGGCCATAAGGGTCAGTTTGTTTAGGGCCCGGCTCACATCCTGCGGCGCTTATAGTGGCGGCTATTTAAATTTCTTAATTAGTGCTCGCCCGAGAATTTATTACCGGTTACTCGCTTTACTAGGCACTCAATGGGTTTCCTCTTTCAGCCTTTAAACTGATTAAATGCCTGCGTTACATTTTTGTGCAACAGGCTTGCAAGGTTTCTTGTACTTTACCTTTACTTATTGCAATTTATGCGAGAGGGGAAAAATAGACAAAAAAAAAACAGAAAGAAACAAGTTATTGTTTGTTAAGTTAAGACAACAAGTTTCTGCCTAAGAATTGTTAGGATTATGCAAAGCAACTTTACAAGAACTGAATTGGTAGATCTTAAAGCCAGCAGGATTAAAAAGCTATTAGAGGCAACAGTTTCTGTTAAGTTTCAAGCTCAAATATATTTTTAAGCCACTTCTAGACATTTCATTGTTTTATTGTATTAATTAAAAGCTCAGTAGCTTAGACACTTTCGTTTTTTGTAAAACAAGTAAATTTACAAGGCTAATTTAACTTTGTGATACCAACATGTACAAATAAATTTTCAAAATCCTGGAGCTGCACCTGAACACCTTGTTTCCCAATTAATGAGATCCGAAATGAGCTTGCCTAGTACCAGCATAAATCTCTCTAATTAAAATTAATAACCTTACTAATTTTTCACCAACCTTAGCCGGGAAACCTCGCTCGTAACTTAAATTTCTTTAAAAGACTACGATGCCCCGAAGATACTTGGCCTATAATTTTATGCATATAGACGTAGTTTTGTTTTTTTTTTACATTTTGGGGCCCAAAATCAACAGGACGTTTTTGTGTGTGTTATTCAGCTGCTCTTTTTTCAAGGAGCCCGAAGGAAAAACAGGACGAAAGCCAAGAGCCCGGGGTCAAAGGCGACGCAACTCGAGCTCGATTTGTGGGTCGCGGTTGCCTCATTAAATTTAACGCACGTGCCGCACAAATTATGTTTGCCCACATATACAATCTTCCGCCGCACACACACACACTCACTGTCCGTCTGGCATACATTTAAACATTTTCCTAATTTAGAGTTTGGTAAAAAAAAGAAATGCCTAAGTGGAGAATTGAAAAGGTTTTTGGTTCTTATTTTGTCTACAATTTACGTGGGCCACAAGAACGAATGAATAGGTAGTAGGTTAAATCATTCAACAAATGTACACACCCACATCGACACACACACAAGCTCAGACTTAAAAATTCACAGGAAAAACCACACACACACTTGTGCTTATTGAGTTGCCTTCTTTAGAGCGCCCAAAGGTAGGCAACATAAAATTTCCGTAATTTGCTGGGAAAATGGCTCTCTAAATTGAGCTGTTGAACTTGCAAAAGAATCGAATTTCCCACACATTTAAATACTGTGAAAAAAGTCACACTTAGCTTAATAAGATAAAGCTAATTAGCATTAATACTAATTAGTTGCCTGCTAAAAAAGATTTATAATAAAGTCACATGCAAATAATTGAAAATGTTTTTTTTTTTGTCTTTAAGCTCAATGAGTGATCCAAAAGTATGGTGATACGGCTTGCTGTCTTTAAAAACATATTTTAAACCTACTCAGCTAAGCATTTAGTTACTTTAAGAAAAAACAAAATCCAGAAGAAAATTGTTGCCGGGACAACGTTGCGTATGCTGCATATTCAACTTGAGCTGCTGACTCCATTGCCAGGTAACTAACTGCGGCACTTATAAATATTCAGTACTTTGGCTTACGCAGATCAAGTGCAAACTGTCAGAGCATAAATATTCATAAATTCAACAGGACCTTGTACATACGTATGTGAGTTTGGGGACAAAAGGGAAAAAAAAGCGCTTCCAAACTTTCGAGTCGCTGCTGTCGCTCTTTATTAAAGTTTTCTTGTACTTAAGCGGGGGCAAATAGCTGTCCGCATTTGCACACGCCAGCAAACAAACAAGCCCACACACACGTCCCAGTACATGGCATCCAAATATGCGCTGTCTGCATTATTAATGAGTCGACTCCATTTAATTGAAGCAATGTGATTGCGGCCATTGCGACAGGTGGCAAAGTGGGCGGCTTTTTTGGGGCGTGCCCCGATCCAAACGTTGCTGAAAACACCTGCCGTGTCTGGGCATATGCAAATTCGGTTTGCCACGTGCTCCGGGCAACGGATTCCTGTTCTCCGGAACCCGGCCTCCCGGCTCTGTTTTCCGTGGCAGTAGCCATGTGGCGACTGCGAGCTACAAAATGTCAACACACACAGTTCGTGGAAGTGATATTCTTTAAATGTGCCTCTACCACGAAATCGTTAAAGAAAACGGAATTTATATTGGGCATCAAGAAAAGAAGTTCAGTTCTAACAGAGCTATTAATAAAAAACTTTTTACCAACTTTGGTAACTTTTCTGAGAATCCATATTTAGAAAATTTTAAAAGAAGGTGGCAAAACATTGATTAAAAATTTGAAAATAAACTAATGATGTTTTAGATGTTTTAATAACAAATTCAGCAAGGTATACCACTCGTAATTCTGATAAAACTTAGCAAAGTTAGGGGCTTAGAAATGCTGGGAACTGGTCCCTTTTTTTTCTTTGAAAATCGATTCTTTGCATTTTACATATTTTATGAAAAAAAGAAATAAATAACCCAAACTAAAGCATTCTCTGGGAACTCTTTATTTTCTTTGGCAACGCAATAAAGGGGAAGCTTTTGCCAAATATACAGCTCAATAAATCGTGTACCCAAAATGCGAATCGTAAACTTCCTCGAGTTTAAGGTAACCGCAAATACTCAGTAACTCTGTCAACAGGTCCTTGTAACAACATTTATTTCCCCCACTTTTACCGACTGCGGTAAGCGAAAAGGTATTTAATTTCCATTGGGTTATTGTATTGATCTTTTCCAAAAGCAACAGATGTAAATTATGAATGGCCTCGCGATAAGCCGCAAGAACAGACCGCAAAATCTCTTTGCAAGCCAAGATACAGATTTAAATTCCAACCAAATAATTTAAGACCAGAGCCACCAAAACGATCAAATTGCAACCATTTGCTATTCCACCTCTGCGAAAAAAAATAAATCCGTAGTTGAGTTACGCTGAAAAACGCGCAGAAATCGTAGGGCAAAAAATATTTCCGCCTTTCGACCTCCACTGTACAGGCCCTTTCGGTTATAAAATCATAAATCCCCGGGGGGGGCAGAAGGAAAGGAGTTGCCAAAAATATGGACTCCGGGCCAGGAAGCGGAAATTATGTTGGCCTGTCTTGGGCTTAACCTTTGTCTTCCCCGCTTTCTGTTGCCGTTCGAGGATTCGCCAGCATGAATGATTGCAGTTTAAACTCACCCGAGTTCACTTTTACACTCTCGCCGAGCTCTTCTTTCGGACGCCGGGCAGCCGCACCTTTTTCCACTTTTAGCCCCGGCCCATTTATGATGCTCCTTTCGGCTGGGCAACATTTTTATAGCTGCAACAGCAGCATAATTAATTTCATTTTACGACGAGGAGAGTTGCAAAAATGCATAAAGTCAATTAACTGAAAAAAGCAGCCGGCAGGAAGGAGCCAGGAGCCAGGAGCAAAGCCCGGGGCAAGGAAGCTCCCGAGGAGCAGCGAAGCGAGCTGATGAGGTTGTAGTGGCTTAACTGAGCATGCCGTAAATAAATCAACGGGTCAAGTCGGCGTGGGCATAAATTCCTGCTTCTTCGGCCAGAAAAGTCTATTATGCGAATGATAACTTTTATTCAAGGGCTTATTCTTGAGTTGAATCTTCCTTTCCGAGCAAGTAAAATCCAATTGCAATGAATTGTTACCTGATAAGCTGAAGATTTACTAAGGCAAATAATTCGTTTTTAAATTATTATAATTACGGGTACTGGGGATTTACGCAAATAAGTATTTAAACTTTACCTTAACGAAGATTAACCAAATATACAGCTTACGATAAATATATTTATCTGCTGGATATACACAAATCGAGAGTTAAGATAGCTTCATTTACATTTATACGGTAAATACAAGTATTTATTTTTTATATTTACTATTGACTTTACCAAGATTAAAGTACCTTTTCAAAAACCGTTGCAACAAACAGCGTTGCCACCCTCGAAAAGCAAAACCGTGCAGATGGTCACCCTAACAGCTGATTCGTTAAGAACAACAAAAACATTTCGCGGCCGGCTTTTCTTTTTGCATATATTTACCCAATTTACTTGGCTAAACACCTCTATGAACAAAAGGGAACCAACCAACTGACCTGCCACATCCTTCGGCTTTTGCATGAAATGAGCCAACACGCAGCGGTCGACAGAAAGCGGTAAACAAGGAAAATGTGAGTTGTTGGTGGGGGTGGAAAAGCACAGGAAAACGCGGCAATGTTCAAATCGCTTCGGATTTTCCACTCCATTCGAGTGGCAGCCGAGCAGCAGAAAGGACACGCGCCGCGCAACGTTGGGAAATCAAAAGCGAGGACCCAAACAAACCATAAATCTCAGTCCCTAGCAGACCGAAGTAACTTCAAGTTGTGTTTGCAATTTCAGCACCAGCACCATGGATGATTTTGCCAGCATAAAGCCGCACAGCTCGGTGGTCAAGTTGGCCTCCTGCCTGGAGAAGATCTACGCAAAGGTAGTGGAGAGCCGGGAGAAGCAGGTGCCCGAGCACCAGATCAAGGAAATCGAGTTCCTCAAGTCGCAGTGCAAGCACGACCACATGCAACTCAGCTTGATGAGCTGTCAAACACTGGTGCGCCTGGTGGACGAGGGCGTCTTGGAGGCCAACGGAGTGCAGAACAGCTTACTTTCCATGCTGGCTAATGCGGGGTGAGGACAACTGCATGGCTATCTGGCCAGAGAACCCGCCCACGACCCACATACATATGTAGCTCAATTCCGCAGAGGCGCACCTCTGAACTTCCGGAGGGCAGCAGGCAGGAGGAGCAGCTAGAGGAGCCACGCAAGGTGAACTATCGTGCTGGACTATCAGCCTAAGTGGAGCGCAGCGATTCCAATTGCGAAATTGCCCACAAAGGTGCATAAATTACCGACACAGATTGAAACTCACAGTGGATTCTCCCCACTGCACTGCCACTTAATTAACGCGCCATTTAACGCTTGCCATCGAGTGCTACCAACATTGTTGACCCTCCTTCCGTCCGACGACGCACGCAATCCCTCGCATTTCCGCTGGACGCGTGTCCCAAATTAATTGCCCAGCACTTGGCACGTCATGTAACAAATGTGCAAATGAACTATGACTCCGAGTTAATCCAAAATCCCAGTTGTTTGGCATTGACGCGGTTTCCGCTTGGCCGCAATCCGCAGTCGTCAATCTTGCGGATCAACAGCGATTATGCCTGGGGCGCCGTAAAAACTATTAGCCATTTCCCGCCACGCAACGCTACACCCACATATCATATCCTGCAGCCTTGGCTGGCGAATGTTTGAGGTATGCAAAGCAACTGAAAAGTCTGGCATTGAACTTGAAATGTTTGCGGAGCGTCGAAGGACGAACAAGCGGTCATGTAATACCGGAATTAACCTTGATAAGCCAGCCAAGTCGAGCTGCAAGTGCAGGCAAAAAGGATTGCATATTAATTGGCCTGCAATTAGAGGCCAAACCTAGTAGTCCGGCTGGCCACAGCGTGAATCGTAATTACCTCGCCAAACGCAAAGCGATTTACTCCACCTTCGCCGTAAAAAGAGCTCCACTCCTTGACTGCCGATTGCAGTTGCTACTCCGGAAGTGTCCGCTAAACGGCTTTTTAAGTCGTTCCACCTTAATGATGACTTACATTATATACGTCTGCCAAATGTCAATCATTGTTGACGTTTTCCAGGATTTAATTTAAATGCCTTCTATAATTAAATGTTGCCTCTTTTTCAGACCAATGCATTTTGCCATAATCACGGAGAGCATTTTGGGCTTGCAGCTTCTAAGCTTGAAGCGCAAAACTTCTTTACTCAAGGACCAGGAGACCTACCAGTGCTCTTATGGCCTGAAAACGCAACAGCATCCGCTTATCTCGCTGCTTCAGCACTCGAGTGCCAATATGCATGATGTGAGCAACAAGATCATTGGCATTTGCCAGCACCACGATAAAGGGTGAGTGCTTCACTATAATCATTATCCAGTTAAATTTATTTCTTAAGTTCTTTTCTAGCATTCGAGACTATAGCATAGAGTACCTAAGACCGGTTTTTCTGTACGTGCTCTGCAATCCCCAAACTCTGCACGATGTAAAACCCATTTGGACTTGCCTGCTGAATTTGAGTGGCAAACAACCGGAGGCACGTGCTCTGATGCAGGAACTGCTGGCATGGAGCAAGTTCAACAACGCTAGCACCTGCTTGTGCACCAGCATCCTGGTCATTGAGGCCATCGATCACTTTCTGCAGCGAGAGGATTACGCCCAGTCCATCGACTTGGGAATTTATCAAGCCTGTCTTATCAAACAGCTGGCCAATTATGGCATCGATCCGCGTCCTAGCTTGCAATGCCTTCTTCGAGTGCTCCATGCCACGAGGGAACACACAAAGGATCATTACCATGTGCTCTTGGTGCTTCTTTCGGAGGTTTTGCACGTTCTGTCGCCCTTCTACCTGGCAGATCTGCTGCGCATCATCGTTTTTGTGGTGGTGCAGGAGCGCTGTGGCCATGAATACATTCTGAACATGTGTCTGGACGGTATTATTCAGTGGATGTCTCAGACTGCATTCATACCCGCAGAAGGCTTGGCTTTGGCCCACCAAATAGTCCAAAGGGTGCTCGATACCGAAAGGTCAGAACAGGAAGGGGAAATAATCACCACCAGTCAGTTGAAGCCCGCTCATATGCGGAATTATCACCCGGACATAGCAATTGCCTTTGACTTGGCCACGTTGGTGGAATCCTTTGACGCCTCCGACAACCAGGATGTATTCGCTTTTGTCGACGCCCTGAATGTCAAGGCGAACACGGCCTTCTGCCAGCGCCTGCATCTCTTTCTGCGTGCGCTATTTTTATCTAAGAAGCCACCAGTAGATTGTTGGTTTAAGATCTACGAGGTCATCTTGCAGATCGTCAAGGTTAACGAGGGCATAGCCTATGATTTTCTCATGACATACATCTTTAAGCTGGCCCACGAAAGTAATCCGGAGTTGCAGCTGGAACTGCTCAGAGGATTGGCCAGCTTTGCTGTGTCCAAGGTGGGTTTTAACTACTCTACTTTTAGATTTGTTTAATTTATTTTAATTAAACATTTTCAAGGACAATGTACCCATGATACTCAACACCATAAGGAATCTTTCCACCGAAAATGGCACATTTTGCGTGGACTTATATCTCCGACTTTGGCGAGTGGAGACGCGTACTTATCCTTTTCTGATGAAGCAGATTGCCCAACCTCTTCCGGACAACGACAAGCGCTGGGAGCTGCAGATCGCCCGCACTCATGCCATGCGGGAAATTTGCCAGGAAAAGTAGTTTGAGTTGCTATTACCAAATGAATTCTTTAATCCATTCCAACTCTATTTGCAGACCGACTTTACATGGTTCGGAGCTTTTGCCGCATCTTAGCAACACCCTCAACAATTCCTTTGATGAGGCGGGTGACCTGGCTACTTCCTTGGCCTTGGATGCCATATACGCTTTGTGTGATAGTCACACCGTCAACATAGCTTCCACTTGGCAGGCATTGGGAAGCAAATTCCGGAACGAGCAGCGGCCGCAGACGCTTAAGTCGCTTTATAAGCTCTTTGGATTGGTGCCACTGCTGCAGACACCAACATTGGAGTACGAAAAGCTGGCGGATGATGCTCTGGAGCAGCTGTGGCAGGCTATAAGCAGACCCGGCACAGATGCCGCTCAGGTGCGGAATGCCCTGGCTGCCCTTAAAAACTACGAACCGGGGATCACTTTGAACCTACGACACATTCCAGCCCAATTTCGCTTCGAAATCGTTGGAGGAGGAGTGGGAGTCGGTGTTCCCGGTGGTCGGGAAGTAATGGATCTGCAACAGGAGGCGGTGCCCGGTGAAGTATGGGTGCAGCTGCTGCAGAAGATTCGTCCGGAGTGTGGAGATGCTGCAGCTGATTTGATTTCACACCATATAAGCAGTGAGATTGGAGGCTTCCGGAGCGGAGTCTACCGACTACCAGAAGGCAAGCCTGAGCCTCGAAAGCTGGTCGGTTTGTTTGCCTCAAGCCCACTGCGAGCAGTCACCAATTATCTCGTAAGCCAAGCGCGCTTTGGAGACTACGTTCCAGAACCGTACGCTGTAACATTCGCCCTGCGGTCGTTGTCCAAAAAATTCCCCAAACCCATTCCGCCACTGGACTGGAGCTGCCTCACGAGCTTCTTCCACCTGTCATTCGATGCGCGGAAATATTGTATCATGATAGCCAAGAACCAGGCCGTAAATTCCGGTACCGCCAAACGTCTTCTAGAGAACTTCCTCGTAGACTTTGAGCCCAACTGCTTCGAGGAGGATCTTTTGTTGCTGTTCTCATTGCTGCCAGAGATTGCCAACAGTGTGAGCCTGCAGATCCTGAAAAACTTTGCCGAGAAGGTGGCCGTTTACTGCTTCAAGGAGTCGCAATTGAATGACTTTGCTGAAGGTGGGTTATAAATTTGAAACCATCTTTAATTTTAAATTTGAATTTGAATGGTTCTTGCAGGATGTTTGTTTGAGAAATTTCTGGAAAGCGTAAAGTATATCTTCACTGGCAAATGCGATATACCAGAAGTACTTGATGTTTTTACGCTGATTGTGGAGCGCTACATGGACTCGATGAATTTGGATTCAAGGCTTTTCGAGCGCTACACCGAAGTGGTTGCTACATTGCATCCGAATGCCATTGATGGCCTCACGACGCCAGCAAACTGGTGGGAGACGCCGGTGGGCAAGCTGAAAAAGGCCACGATTATCCGGTGCTATTTGGTACTGTACAACGAGAAACTACCAAATCCTTTGAAGTGGCTTACTCCCATTGTTGATGCCTATGAGAAACGCGAGGAGGAAAGGTCTTTCTTCTATCGCCATTTGTCAGCCACTCTTTATGCCTTTGGCAGCGATGAGCATTCCAGCAATTGGATAGGTGAGATGTTCCTGGAGATCCAGATGCTGCTGGCCGAGGTCTCCAACAAGGAGAAGGTAAATAGGGCCTTGTACCTGCTGGACACCTTCATTCTGGCCGTTGATGTGCTCTCTGGTTGTGCGGTACTGCTGGGCAGCGTGGATGTGGTGGCCACTAATGACAAGCAGCGACTGTCGCTTTTTCCCGAAAGCTTGCAGTACTTATGCGATCATATTTTCTGGAAGGATCAGGAGGCAAAGGTTCGGATTCAACCATTAGTTACATACAACTTATTTTAACTTCTTATGTCAACCCTTTTAGATCTATGAATTCTTATTCAATCTGTACAAGCACATAGCCTTGCCGTCTTCCTATGCCGATGTCTTCAGGGAGGCCATTATTTGCTCCCGAAACAAGCCATATTTTGATAACAAGGGAGTCTGGACCAAATACGTAGGAATGCGTAAATGAACACGACGACGAACACTCACCGCATTTAAACTCTCTGCCCACGCCTAAAGTGCACTTCAATGGTTAAATTCAACCGCCTACCGTCAATGTTAGTCAATTTTTGATAGCAAGCGCGTTCTTTGTTATTTGTACGAGTTTAAACTTTAACGTACATTAAATGTATTTTTGCGCACAACATTTGAATTTGCAAAGGGTTGCCAGGTGGTCGAAAATTGTGGAAAGTAATAACTGTCGAGAGCCGATAACTTGGGGGGGGGTGGTTACTATCGACTTGAACACACCCCTAGTTTCCACAATCGCTTGCAGAATTATTATTTATTCCGGAATAACTAAAAAAATGCAAATGAAATAGAAAACTCGAGTGCAATTCACCGAAATTAACGACGCTCATTTATGTGAGCTTGTGAACCGGTTGGCAAATTACTGCTAAGTGATTCGGGAACGCGTGTTTCTACGTGAGGCAACAGGAAAATCCAATCAAAACGTAAACAATGGATGAAATAAAGCTGGCCAAGGTTAGTTATCAACTTAATCAAGGCGATAGGGTTTAGAAAAGTGAGGGTCATTATACGGCGACTACTGCGGAGCACCTGGATGCCGTGAAAAGGGTTGTGAGTCATCCGTGTAAGGTGTTCACAGTTCGAAAATCGATGGGATGGTCACCTGTGTCGTGGGAAAAGGACCGGCTACCACACCCCCTTTGCCCGCGCCCCCATTGCCCTTCCCTAGGGACTTACCTCGCAGATATCATCGAAGGCCCCCGATACCCATCTAATAATATGGCCCCAAAACATGCGCATAGAATCCAAAAGTAAATAAGTTTTGACCCCACTCTCTCCCTGAAAATTCTATTCCACCCACACAAACGAAATGTGAGAGCCAATTTTTTAACCATGAAAAAGTTATTCCTCTAAATCTGCAAAAAATTCCCTCAGCTTCCGAAGAGGGATGTTTACCACACTTGCCCTTTGACGTGGCCTATTTAACGGATATCTTGTTAAGGCTGAAATTTTCTTTAACGATTTCGTATTTATACTCTTTCCTTTAGAAAAAAGTAAACTTTTAACTAAGATTTTTTTATATAACACTTTTTACCAGGTTGTCAGTCATTTAATGGTGTTCCGCAATAAATTTAGTCTAATGATCAAGTCAGAATTATTGGTGGTACTTTCAATTTTCCCATAATTTAATGTAAGCATCCTTAACTGTCGTATTATAAAGTGTTTAAGAAATTTTCGAAAAATATCTTTTGGTATATCTTGGTGCTCATATTGTTTCTTTTCTTTTCTTTTCTTCAAAAAACTAATAAACTTTTACAATAAACAACCGATATTGTTGTCAACTAAACCCCACTCCTTGCAGAGTATTGAAATAAAAAATAACACTCCTCTTTCTCTTTTCTGAAGAAGAGAGAATATCCCTGTTGTCAAATTTCGTCGGCTTCGGGTTCAGTCCGTTAGCTTTTGGGCGGCTTGGCCCTCTCCTGAGAGCCGCAGGCTTTTAACGGATTGAGAAAACGTTGTCCAATTGGGAAACACATTAAACAACATCGAAGATAAGAACCGACGGTGGGGTGATTGGCTAATGCCGAATCCAAGTTTTCGATAACTGTTGCACCTTTGCTTAAGGGTGGAGAAGTTTGAGGGGACACAGTCAACAAAGTTCCCTTTCCCCGAATTGTTTAGCCCATTTTGGCTGACACATATTAAATACCCAAAATAAGTTGAATACCTTAATTAAGTAAGCAAGAAAAATACATGCCGTTCTCTAAGAGTCTGCAGTTAAGAACCTATTAAAAAGCAGCTGAATTCTAAAAGCGGTATTATAACAATGATAAATGAGAAAAAACCGAGATACTTATCAGCAATTATGGTCAATGGGAACTATGTTGCAGGGAAATAACTCTTAACTTAACTCTTAACTCAAGGAAAAGGCTCTCTCAGCCAGAATGCTTTTCGGGCTCAAATCTCCAGTTCAGTCGTACTCATTTTAGGTTTTGCGAACGGACTGACTGACCCGACGAGTCTGCCTCAACCTATTCAAACATGAGCATAGCTAGCTTTTAAGCGCGCGTTTGTGGCCCTTCGAGTTTCGTTCCAACGCTCGACGGGAACACTTCGCGTTCCGCCATCGAAAAACACACATAACACGTATATGTGCAAAAACACACAAAAAGGCACATCCATTTGGAGTGTATATTTTGGGTTTCGCGTTCGTGTGTCAGGCGAAAAGTGAAAGTCTCAAGCAATTTCACCCACACCCACTCCAACTCGTTTCTATTTGATTTGCCCGCAAAGGATTGTTGTTGATTTAAAATCAATAAACCATCCAATAATGGACTTCACCCGATTCATGAACAAGTTCAACGAGATCGAGCGCCAATTGTCCCCCACCTCCGCCCTCCGCCTGAGTTTCGATAATATATCACCGGAGACTGAGGAGCCGCCGGATGGAAACAAGAGGCTTTGGGGCGTGCCCGTGCCGCCCTTTGTCTCCGACAAAGTGGTATCCTGGATCGAGGAGGAGTTCAACGAGGCTCCTGTCTTCTACAATGGCAACAGTGTGCTCAAGAAGGTAAACCCCGCTCCACGCTCCACGCTCCTTTATGCAAATCACGTCGAGAAAATCCTACTAATTTTCCGTTTTACGCATTGCCACCGGCTACGGGCCGGAAAATATGCAAATCACCATCGAGCGCCCGGGCAATATGTTCGGGGTTCCCAAAAGCCCTCGCCTCCCCCCCAGAAAACAATTTCCTATTTGGGTCAGTTTTGGGCGCGTGGAGTGCAGTCCAAGTCCTTGCCTGCCAGCCCAACTGCATCCGGGTGCCATGTGCGTCAGCACACAATCACTCCTTTGGATCCACCCACCCGTTCTGACAGATTGTTGCATTGTCAGCAGGGCACTCGAGTCCGGAGCTCGGGCAATTAATGGGTCGGGTTTTCCATCAAAGTCACAGATGCAATGGCCACCGGGTGGCAAATTGTACTCGTACATCAACTATTTGCCAGCGAGCGAAGCAGCCTGACAACTGTCCTTCGATGATTACAATTGGGTTTTCAACTGCAATTTGTTTAAACTGAGTTTCAGAGAACAATTTAGAAAAGAAATACGCACCACAATTTCGTAGGTCAATTTACATACAGAGATAAGCTGTTTTAAATCATGACTTGACATAATTAAATTAATATTATTGCATTTTTCAGTCACTTAAGCCTTTATATACACATTGATTATAAAGCCATGCATGGTACTCATAAATCAAGTATTCGACACGTTGCCAACAGCTTTAAATGAGCTTCTGCATATACAATCTGAATATAATTAATTGTGTTTAATATACGTGAGTTTCGGGAAGTTGAATTTATTGAGCTTATTCTGTCAGCTTCAAAGTAGCTTTTTAAATTTATTTTTTTTAAAGAAAAACGTTTTAAAATAAATTAAACGATTCAGAAAGCTAGTTAAAAGATAATATTAACGAGCAGAGTATAATTTCACAAAAAGGTTATAGGTTTATGTAACCACAGAACCTATTATTCCACTTTGCCGTAGCTATACAGTTTTCAATTCATTTAAGATAATAACAAATATTTAGTTAATTTCCTCAAATGGCAAATAGTTCCGCAGAAAGCGAAAGCTTTTTGTATCTTATCTTTAATTCACGCTACAATATCACAGCAGCAATAATTTGCATGTTAAATTGAATTGTCTGCCCGCTGGGCGAGAGTAATGAACTCCCACTGGCTAAGTCAGACAATTAACTAACCTTATCTATCCCGACAGTGGACCCGGCTCAAACAAAGGCCTCAATCTAAGTGACATGAAAGGAAATTAGTCCGATGATGAGCAGCTCTCGGGTCTGGCAATATGAAAGTCTCCTGGGCAATAAAAACAGCCGTGGGCCAAACAGCAAAAAGGGAAGCGAAAAGGGGGAAGGGGGAAATCAGTCTGAAGGACCATCAAAGGAATTAATGTCCTGGCGGCCCGGCGATTTTATTTAATGGCTGTATACCAACTAACCACAAGGGCCACGCTCTGCCCATATATTTATTTGATGCTTTAAAGTTAACATACGAGTATCCTGAATGTTTGATGAAGTTTTTGCCACACATCCGAGGATTCGCTGAAAGTTGATTGAAAAACTTTCCTCCTCCTTTCGTGTCAATGCAGTTGATTTTTTATCGTATGTAATGTGGGGGTTTTCACAGAACTATATGGATTCCACTGACGTCAGCGGGGCACAGCTGAAGTAAAGCACCAGAAATTCCGGTGGCGCAAAGAAAATTTAAATCAAATTGTAACCATTTCTTTCTCTCTTGTTTGTTCAGGTGGAAAATGTGCGGATGATAGATCGCTACAATACCAAAAATCCCACGGTGGGCACCCTCTATCTGACGGCCACCCATCTGATTTTCGTGGAGCCCGACAGCAACAAGGAGACCTGGGTAAGTGGCCCCTGCCCCATGCCCCTAATGACATCATCTATTACTCCGCATACCAACTGAAAACCTATATTCCTTGTGTGCTAAGAACTTTTTCAGCTGCGAAGTAGCAAATGCTTATTTGCATGGCCCACAAAACAGTTTAGTGAGTCACCTTTGTGTTTGCGAATAAGTCGCAAGTTCTTGCGAACGTGCTCAACTGGGTTTTTTTTTTCGGTTTAGAGCCGACCTCGCAGCTGTCAAAAAGTTTAAAGCCCCATCAAAAGAACGGGTGATGTGTGAGGCCCGCTGCATTTCCGCTCTTTCACCGAGAATGATTCCGAGGATGAGTGCAGAAAAGTTTCTTTTAACAAGTTGCCCTCCGTGTTTCTGCGCTTTAAGTTTGTTTCATGTTTACCGAAGGAATTTAATTCGCCTTCTGCAATCTGGCACGCACAAAGGAAAGTTTGTGTTGGCGTGTTGCGTATACGCCCCATCGCACACATACAAATTGAATTCGTTCATCTTTTGTGTACATTAATTGCAAAGCTAACACAGGCGAGCATATTTCCTTGTTGCAGCGGGAAAACTCTTTAAAATTATGGTGGGGTGGAAGGGTGGAAAAACAGCTCGGAAAAGCTGTTGCAGCTTAGCAGTACAATGCGATTTGTTAGCCTGCACGCGCGATGCATTCTTTATGCAATTGAAAGGATAACGTGACAAAAGGCGGACTAAATAGTCGAAAAAAAACGCTGGTTTAGCGACGGCTTTCAAAGCAAATCCCCGGCAAGCTTATATCCTTTGACACACCGCCGTTTTAACTGCTCAAATCCCAGCACAAGTAAGTGCCACTAAATGCGTTTAATTATTCCATTCGCGAGAGTTACCCACTGCGTATACGTAACGAGGTTTGGCCCGGAAGCAAGCATGCATTGCATTTTAATTGCCCCGCGAAAATTGTATTAATTATGCACTCCGCGGTGCAAGTTGGCGGATCCGAGTGCCACAAGTGGCCCAGGAGCGAGTGTAGGATCCACAATTCCGGATGAGTCGCACTTGCGACCACCGCAGCACAAAGTGGTTAATTAAAAGTGAAAACACTTAGGAGCCGAGTGGGCGGGCAGTTAAGGGGTGGAAGGAAGACCAGTAAAGATATCGATTTTTTGGTTGCCATTGAAAATTGGTTGCTTAGTTCCTCATAATCCAGCTGCTTCTTCGTCGTGCCGCTTCGCCCCTGAGTTGCTCTGCTTTTTCTTTTACTGCCCGCCACTGTGGCGCATCAATTATTTAGTGGCGAAAGCAGTTCTGGCCAGGCACGTAGTTGGGACGCCCCAAAAAAGGGGGGAGTAAGTAAAGTTCACTTGCGGCTCTGCTGGCGTTGCATAAGCGTAGCCTTGGGCGGAGTCATGGTCATAAGCCGATTTGTTGATTGTTTCACTCACAAAGGAAAATGAATTATAAGCAGCAATCAACTCCCTAGCTAAAAATAGTACAAACATTTAGTTTTATTAACCAAACATATTTTTAACTTTAAATTTTTTGGTTTCTATAAATAAATAAATAAATAAAAATAGTAAATTGTTATAGCAAAATACTTATATTTTCCCGGCGGGTTTTCGTAGATCCTGCACATGCATGTGGCCAGCATTGAGAAGCTGCCCTTAAGCACGACGGGATCGCCGCTTCTCATCCGCTGCAAGACCTTTCTGTCGGTCACATTTGTCATTTCCAAGGACTCCGAGTGTCACGATGTCTACACTTCGCTACTAAAGCTCTTTCAGCCGGGTAAGACCATAAAGGAATGCATATTCGTAAAACTACAATCATTTCCCGTGGGCAGTGTCCATCAACAAATTGTATTGCTTCAACTACCAGCCGAACAAGGATGATTTCCCCAAGAACGCCGGCTGGGACTACTTCAAGCTGGAGGCCGAGTTCAAGCACATGCTGGTGCCCAACGAGGCATGGACTCTCTGCTCGATGAACGAGAAGTACGAGCTGTGCGACACCTATCCGCGTCAGATCTACGTGCCCAAGGAGGCCACCACGCTGATGCTCATCAGCAGCTCGCGATTCCGCTCGAAGGGAAGACTACCAGCGCTTACCTATCTGCACAACAACAAGGTGATTACATTCATTTCATTTTGGTTCTACCTTTCAAGTATAATTCTATTTACCTTAACATTCAGGCCTCCATCTGTCGCTGCAGTCAACCGCTGTCTGGATTCAGTGCCCGCTGTCTGGAAGACGAGCAAATGCTGGAGGCCATACGCAAGACGAACTCCAACACGGACTACATGTATGTGGTGGACACGCGACCGAGGGTGAGTGACGGACTGGAGAGATTCCCCCAGAGTTTACCGCATGCAAATAATCCATTAACGCTGTTTGCAGATTAATGCCATGGCCAACAGAGCCGCCGGCAAGGGATACGAGAACGAGGCCTTCTACGAGAACATCAAATTCCACTTTCTCGGCATCGAGAACATCCACGTTCAGCGCGCCAGTCTGCAAAAAGTGCTGGAGGCCTGCGAGCAGAAGTCGCCCACGATGAGTGCTTTCCTGAGTGCCCTGGAGTCGTCCGGCTGGCTGAAGCACATTCGCTCCATATTGGACACGTCGAGGTGAGAACGCAAATTGCGTATTTATTCAGCAAACCAAAACAAACAGTTTTCTGTTGTCCAGTTAAGCTATAGATAAATAATTTAATGTAACTATTTTTACTGTCCTTTTACTTTAGCTTTATCGCAAACGCAGTGGATAAAGGTGTTTCGGTGGTGGTTCACTGCTCCGACGGTTGGGACCGCACTGCCCAGGTCTGCTCGCTGGCCCAACTCATGCTGAATCCCTACTACCGGACCATTAAAGGCTTCCAGGCGCTGATCGAGAAGGACTGGCTGGCTTTTGGGCACAAGTTCAGCGAGCGTTGCGGTCACATTCAGACCGATGCGCGCGAGGTGTCGCCAATCTTCACACAGTTCCTGGACTGTACCTGGCAGCTGATGTCGCAGCGCAGCGAGTCCTTTGAGTTCAACGAGCGCTTCCTGCTGATACTCCACGATCATGTGCACTCGTGTCAATTCGGCACCTTTGTGGGCAACTGCGAGAAGGATCGGTTAGATCTCAAGCTGGCCGAACGCACTTTCTCGCTTTGGGGCTATATGGCCAACCATTTGAATGAGTATATCAACCCGCTGTACAAACCCAATGTGGACGAGGCAATCAAGGCGAATCTCGCACCGCAGTGCATCAAGTAAGAAACGACATCGTCCATCAAAAACATATTTAATCTTTGAATTTCATAAACAGATTCTGGCGCGGCATGTACAGCCGCTTTGAGAGCGGCATCCATCCGCGGGAACCACTGGGCGACCTGCTGCTCGACAGCAAGGAGCACTGCAACTCGCTGGAGGATCATGTGCAGCATCTAACCAAGCGGATAGCCAGCTTCAAGAACTACATCTCCAAGTCAGCCAAGAAACTGCAAGACGCCACCAGCACCACCGCAAAAGTTAGCAAAGAAGTCTCCAGCAACGAAATCAATGACAACAAGTAAGGATCACTTCCAGACGTATTGCAAACACATCCTTGAATCCTTGCTGCATTGTAGATACAACTATGACAAAAAGCTGAGTGAACTTTCGGCTGCCGATGATGATCATCCGCTGAAGGCCAGCAACATGTCCTTTGCCAACTTGTCACTAAATGCCGAGCAATCCAGTCCCCCGCAGAATTTGCCCGAGGAGATTAGCTCCGTGGCCGTGGACTGGAAGCCCATGCGCAATGTGACCACCTGCTCCTGCTCCACGCCCTTCGATCAGTTCAGCAAAAAGGTGGATATCTTAACAAAATAACATATGTGTAATATAATATTTCTTGTGTTTTTTCGACAGACTCACTGCTGGCGCTGTGGCGACATCTTCTGCGAGCGCTGCATAGACAAGAATGTGGCACTTCCAGGACACGACAGTGGAAAGCCAGTGCCAGTGTGCCGAGGATGCTTTCGACAAATGCAAAAGCAAAGCCCGTAAAGGGAATATAGGCGGGATTAAAGGATGTTGTTAAGTCATATGGGGAGCAGTGAATGTGCGATGAAAACGGAAACTCTATTAAATTAAATTGTATGTATTTATTGTTGCATTTGTAGCCGTAGCTGCTTACAGAAGCTCATTCAAGTTGTTGCAAATGAATATCAAAAAGAGTTAAACCAACGCAATCCACTAGCGATTGGCTTCCCGGCATCGTCCTAGTCTTTAAGTCGGGCACAAAACTGTATTTTGTTGTTAGAATTTAGATCGACTTATTTGCCAACCATCCCCACACAAGAAAAGAGTACAATGTAATGCAAATTATAAATGTAAAACTCAAGTTAGAGCTATTTTGCTTTAGGCAAATACAACGGGGCCCGCTTATGATCCAAAATTATTCATTTCCGAAGGATTTCCGGACTAAGATTGTACAGATATTTGGGCAAAGCCCTCCTTCGTTGCAGCGGTCCCTTGCATAAAGTATATTCCATTAGCGTTAACTTGCAAGACACCCCGAAACTTATGAAAACTATGCAACCTATTTATCGATTTGATCAAAGTGTAATAAAAATTATTTATTCAACAACAGCGAGTTTCCAATGAGTGATCAAAGTTGTTGCATTAGTAGCCGATGTCGGGCTTGATGCGCAGAATAACCGGAACGCTGGTGCAGGGCAGAATGGCCACTTCGGTGACCACGGCACTTACCAGCTCCGGCGGCGTAATGTCATAGTTCAGGTTAAGCGGCATCGGCTTGCCCTTGGCCTCCCAATTGTTTAACTGACACTTGCTTCCGCGCACCAGCTGGTTGGGATCGCTCAGCTCGTTGTAGACGATGGCGTCTGTTTGGAAGCGTTCGCTGAATTTGTGCGTCTCGCAGCACACGAGCACGGGCACATTGTGGGCATTGGCCACCAGTGCCACCTGAGCGGTTCCCGTGCGCGCCATCACATAGCCGTTGGCCAGCAGGGCGTGGGCTCCGAGCAGCACCTTGGTGGCTTCCGCCATTACATAACCCACGGCATTGATCAACACGTAGGTGCAGGGGATTCCGTGCGCGTGCAGTCGGCGCAGCATCTCCTGACCTTCGCATCCGGGTCGGGAATCGACGACAATTACCCGGAAGGCCACCTGTCGCCGCTTGGCCTCCTCGCAGATGAACTGGATCAGGGATGAGCAGGCAAAGGTCAGCAGCACATCGCCATCGGTGATCTTTTCCTGCAGAAAGCCGCTTATCGCCTGGGCTGCCTTGCCGATCTGATTTTCTATGTAAGTATCAATAAAGTGGCCTAGGAGCTCCTTTAGCTGGTTTATAAATGGATTTTATAAATAAGAAAGCTCACTCATTCTTATATATCTAATATATATAAGCTTACCTCCGTTTCAGGAATATCTGCTGGCAGTTGCGTTAGTTGGTTCTTAAATTGTTTGTATGCATTCGACACGGACACAGCCAGCGGTCGGCACTTGTGAAGATGGTCCACGTGATGCTTCACTGCAGCGTCCAGGCTACGACCAAATTCTTTCTTAGCGGGCGTTTCAAAGTCGTGCACCACTTGACGCAGCGCATGTAGGAAGGCAATGCACCGGGCATTGGAACCCACAACTGTGCGCTTAGCATACTGAACACCTAGGCGCGCTATGCTCGGATGCACGAGAGGATCGTTGATGAACTGGCTGTTTTCCTTGGCGCAGACAAGATGATTGAACAGTTTTACCCGGCACTCTCCATTTGAAGAGTTCGCTGCACATTTGCTGGGTGAGCTGGTTGTGGCTGGTTTAGAGGGGGAGACGCTTTCTCGCTTAGACTCCTTAGCGGTCGTGGCAGTGGGAAGAGCCTTGCCAGTTGGCTGTGATTTCTTAGCCTGACCTTGGGCCTTGGCTGCCCTCTGGGCTTCTTGGATAGCCCGTCGCTCCGCTTTGCTGAGTGCTACTTTTTTCTGTGGAAAAGGGGGGAGATGTTAACCCCAAACATATTTTTGATGCAAAGAGCTCTTACCTTTTCCTGGTCCTTTCCTGCGGTTTGACTTGGAGGCTTGGGTACCTCTGGAGCTTTATCCGCCACTTTAAGCTCAGCCACCTGTTGTCTGGTGGCCTCCACTTTGGCTCCAGCGCTCTTTCCAGCCTTTTTAGCCGCTTTCTTGGCTTCGCGTTCAGCCTTGATCTGATCCCGTGACTTTTCCCCCGCCTCCGTGTTTTGACCATTCGGCAAAGTTGGTAAAACTGCTTTTGGAGCTACTGAATCTACCTTCTCCTGGGCTTTAGTTGTGGTGGTAGTCGTCAGCTTGGTGGTTATGGTCGTTTGCTCCACCTCGGTGATGATTTTGGTGCCCGAAGTGGCGGCAACGACCGCAGTCGATGACTTGTTTTGGTTCTTGGACTGTTTTGCCAGCTTTTTCGCTTCCCTCTCAGCCATTATTTGCTCACGCGTCTTTTCTGTAGTAACTGCATCCTGAATTCCGGACATTGCACTGGCAGAATCGGTAGTTAAGGTCTTAGGAGTCGTTAGATAGGTATCTTCCAGGCGATTTCGTTTGTTTCGCGGTCGATTGCGTTGTCTTTGCTTCTTGGACTTAGTCTTCCGAGTATGGGCGTCAGTCTTTAGATTAGGAATATATCATTATTTTGTGTTGAAACAAATAATTAAATCACACTAAGTGGATCTAATTTAAAAAATAAACGTAAGACATGCAACATAAGCACTTAATTTTAAGTGTACTTATTTTCAGTGTAGTTGGTACTTAGCAAATGAATTTTTTAGAGTCAAGTTAGTAAGGCTGACTACCTGTGGCAGTTGTTCGCTATTTAAAACCATTTTGCAAGCTTGAAAAAGAGACGAGGAAGTGCGAAAAGAAAAGGATGTAAAAGGTTAAAGGTTTCGGCTCCCTTAGCCGTGTTTTTTAATTCCTATCCGAATGTTAAGAATTTTAGTGAACAAGAAGTAAAGCTGAGTTAACAACTTTCACAATACTTTCACATTTACCTTACTTATTTTATTGTTATTTTAAAAATTGTAAAGTTTTGCTCACGATGGCAAAAATTCTACCAGCTGATAATGCTGAAAGCGAATCGATGGATGTTTCGATAGGCATTAGTAAACACATGGACGGCGTTGCCAGACACTACTACTATTAATCTTTATTCTTTTTCTCCTTTTAGCAAACCCCTGAAAACAAAAAGGCATGGGCCGTGTCCCAGGCCAAGGAGCATGCCGATCACCACTAAATAGAATTAGACTTAATTGGGCTGGACTTTTATTGGAATGTAAAAAAAAAGTAGCATTTATATTCGGTTAAGGCACTCGCAATGCTATCGATAATTCGCCAGTATATTTTGCTTTTGAAAACATTGACTATCGGCATCGTGTTTAGTTAGCTGCTACAAAAACTTCATCTCCACTTTAAAATGGCAAAACCTCCCCCAACAATTCTAAATTTATAAAAAGACATGGCTCAAAAGCTTTTAAATGAATATACATTTTTTAATAAAATATTTATATAAATACTTTAGCATTATTGTTTCGTTAAATTAACCACAAAGTTATATTTATCCGGTTTCAATGGGCAACAAAAGTTTTTTATTCTTTTTTTATTATTAAACTAATAATACAGGTTCTCTTTTAACGGTACGGGAAACTAATAACGGTTGTTTGCTATGCAAATTGAGGTATCGTCGTAGTACTGTCCAGATCTTGAGGTATCATGCGTCATACTGGTAATATCCTCTTGGCCTTGCGCACTACAATTAACAATTTAACTAAGGAAAACAAACAAGCGAACGTTTTAATTTACCTTTTCTGGGGCGGATCTTCCCTAGTTGTGATCGCTGCATCATTCCTTGGGTTGGCAAGCTCCGAGTTGTGAGTTTCCTGGCACTCCGGCTTCTTTGGATATCGCTCATGCATTTTTGGTTTAAAGCTAATCAATTTTTCCATCAACTGTAAATGAAAAGCTAACTGAAATAGGCTTCTCCTTAGTTTGTTGGCAGTTTCCTCATTGAGCGTTTCTTTTAAGTATATTACCATGTTAGGATCCGGATGTTGCAACATCTTAAGGGGAATATTTCCAAATCTTGGCGCCCCAGTAACTAAACTCCCTACGCGTTCAATGTAAACTGATGGCATTAACAACATTTCGGTCTCTCCAGTTCCGACACCTTTGTATTTCCGGTTTCTTTTAAAACTTTTGAAAGAAACGTTAACAAAGTAGAGGTGTTCCGCAAGCTCACCAAGAGAAAAGAAGATTGTCCGAAGCTGTTGGCCGATAATGGATTTTGTCGGAGAACCTTTTCCAAGTTTCCAAGGTTTCTATTCTCGAGCAGAAATGCAGGAGAAGTTTGTTCCTCGATTTACAGCAAGAGCCTAACGGCGGGCCCCCTTCCGCCATTTTGTCGGTACTTTTGTCCGAAGACGAACAGTAAAAAAGTGGCGGAAAGCTTGATTTCTAAGTATTTATTTGTAAAAATAGCAAAAAAGCAACTGGCCATAGCTTTTCTGGGTATTCACTCAGTACTATAAAATCACTCTGAGTCATTTCGCAACCTTTACAGCGCTCAGTAGTAAAATTGGCAGTGCCTGACATGGTAAAATTGTTAAATTTCTTTTGTTTTTAAATTTTCACACAATTGCAGCACTCTTCATCCACAACACATTCTCAACGGTAAAGTTTTTCGCTAGAAAAACATGGCAATGTTCTAAAACGGGTTGCCTCGCGGCAGTAATAATTGCAATTTTAACACATTAATAATTAAAATTTAAGCTTTCCGCCACTTTTTTATTAATGTTTAGGCCCCAAGGTATCCATTAAAAAAAAAAAAAAAATTCCTAGACCATTTTTAGCAAAAGCCGCTAAAGCGCAATTTTACCGCAACTTTTCTCGGATGCAATAACTGTAAAAGGCTTTATAGAACCACCGTGCTCACTCAAAACCACAAAACAAACGAGTGAGCACGGTGGTTTTATGAAGCATTTTACCTTAAAAGTTATGGTAAATCTAAATCTGATCTCTGGATGCCGAATTGTTAAGTGACCTCTCGCTGGATCTGCTCTTGCCCTTTAATTTAGACATCGAAACACGCGGTAAATTATTAACACAACCTATAAAATGACAACTAAAGCTCCGAAAACCGTCAAAAAAAAATGGCGCTCGAAATTTAGAACATTTAAGGTGTGACCGTACGTGAAATAATAAAATATACAATGCTACAATATTGAAGCATTGCGATTGGTACGAATTCGGACCCGCGTAACATAACATGCGGGTCCAAATTTGCAGTACCAATCGCATTCTTAATTGTATATAACAAAAAAAACGGTGCTATATTTTTACTTTCCGCCAACTGATTTCGAAGTTAAGAAGTTAAGCTGATAATGCCGAAAGCAAATCGATGAATGTTTTGATAGGCATTATTCAACACTAGACGGCGTTGCCAGACACTTCCCTCACACATTGCCATTTTTAGTGCTACCCTTACCATACAAGTTGGCATTCCCATAGCTGTCTTTTTTTGTGAGGTTTGTATGTTCGCCTGCCGCTGCTGAAAATTACATAATTTTTGCATAAATCAAACTCTATTTTATTGATTAGCTACGAATTCTTTGACTACCATGGCCGACAAAGCTGCTGCTGAGAAACCCGCTGGACGTCCCATGCGCTATCCCTACACCTTCTCAGCGAAAGTGGCCCAGTTCCCCATTAAGCATTACATCAAGAACCAGTGGATCTGGCGCTATTACTTCATTGCGGCTGTCGCCTGCGTGCCCGTGTTCTACAAAATCAGCAAATTGGGTGCGTTACAGTTCTAATGTTTATTACTACTATTAATCTTTATTTTTTTCTCCTTATAGCAAACTCCCCTGAAAACAAAAAGGCATGGGCCGAGTCCCAGGCCAAGGAGCATGCCGAGCACCACTAAATTGATTTAGTCTTAATTGTTGCATCAACACTTTAGAGCTGCCTGTGTTGGGGTTATCATGCAATCTGCCAATAAATGATTTGAAAACCACGGTGGACTTTTATTGGAATGTAAAAATTAAATTAAAAATTACCAAATATTTCATTTATATTCTGTTAAGACTCTTGCAAGTCCTATAGATAATTCGCCAGTATATTTGTCTTTTGAAAACATTGAATGTCGGCTTCGTGGTCTAGTCAGCCATCACTTTAAAATGGCTTAACTTCTCTCAACAGTTCTACATTAAAAAAAAAAGACATTGCCTTAAAGCCTTTTCAAGGAATATACATTTATTAATATCAATTTTAATAAAACTAAAAATTAAATGTTCAGGAAACAAACAATTATTTATTAACATATTCATAAATACTTTAACATTATTGTTTTGTTGAATTAACCAATTAGTTATACTTATCCGTATTCAATAGCCTACCAAAAATTTTAATCTTTTTTTTTTATAATTTAACTAATAACACAGGTAATCACAATGTAAGATCGTTACTTCTTCTGGAAAGATAAAAAGGAAGACAATTATGAAAAGTTAAACATAATATTGATAAAATGTATTTCATTTCATTTCAACTAAATTGCCTGCTTAATTTGCTCAGGTAGCCCCATACTGCAAGCTCGCACTCCAATATCATAGAATATCTTCATATCATAAACCTTCTTCTTCAATTACCTTGCGAACGGTGATGTTTGTGGAATTTACAAGAGCGTTAAGCTGAGAGGATTCCTGGAGTGTGTTGCCGGCATCAATTTTCTCCGGGGAAGTGATATTGGGGACTGCTGGCTGAGGTGTAGTATTGTCGGAAGGATTACAACGTTCAGCGCCTTCCGACTCTTTAGGCACCACCGCATTCAGAGGCAGCTTCCGGAACTCGTGCCTCACCTGCGGCACCTTTTCGTTTACCAGTTTTATTCGTTTGTTCGGTTCTGCGCTGCTGGTTTTTTGGCGCTTTCCCACAATAACATGACTTTGAGTAGCTGACGTACTTGGGATTACATTGGTATCCAATTCTGGGATCAACTGGTTCTCAATACGGGATCCCTTGTTTTGAGTAGCATCAATATGTTTATCTTGCTCGTTCAAAGTAATTGGTTCTCTCTTGTCAATTGCGTGGCAAAGAAGTTCGATGGGTTCCTGCATAATTGTCTCCACATTTACGGAAGGTGGCTCTTGTGATGACACTAGTGGATCAACTGCAATTTGTGTCAAATGAGAAGCTTGGCTCACTTCTGCCACATTGATAAAAGTGGATACATTAGCCTCAGTGGGCGGACCATTAGGTTCTTCTAAAAATAAGGTAATGAGTGTTCTAGTTGTTAGTAAAGATTTTGGTCATAACCTACGATAAACGGTGATGGTAGGGATGTTTGTTGCAGTATTCCCGCTTTCTGGACAGATATTTTCTGAGAATAAAATACATGTTTATTGAATTGTATTGTTAAAATAAAAATGAACTCACCCGACGAATTTAAAATAGGCATTAGCTCCACTCCTTGGATTTCAGGGTTTTGTATCTCATCCGAGACCTTTGGTACTTGGGGTATCCACCTATCGTGTGTCCAACAAGTGGTATATAGTTTCTGCCTCTCTAGGCATAAAAGCACAATATCGTCTAATATCTGACCGGTACGTTGGGTGTATTCCTGTTCAACGATTTTATCGAAATCCGTATAGGATCCTAGTTCCCAAGGATTCACTATTTTCGGCGACAATTCGTCCAGTTCCACATTTTGCAGCTGAACTCCTTTGCTTTCGAGCAGCATCTTCAAATATGGTAATCGGACACACAAGTTTATTGGCCAGTTACCATGGTTTACGACGTGCTGAAAGCAAAGTTTTAAATCGTCTTCGCTTTCATACAAGCTTTCCCCATCGTGGATATTCGTATAGTCAGAGAATTCTTTAAAAGATAGTTGGTGGAGAATGCGCCAAATGGTTCTTTTGAGGCCCTGGCTGGTGTGGATCAAATACTTCAGATTGTGTTCCTAATTAAGATGAAATAAAGTGAAATTTTCTTGTAAAGTTCCTACCACTCGATAAAAAATGCTTACTTACCGGACTACTTTCAGAAAAAAATAATTCCTTTGCTTTCTCTAGGATTATTTGTTTTTCTGATTTCTGGACTGATTGTAGTTCGAGATTGTTAGTCGTTGAGTTTTTCTCTGAAGTTAATGACAATAGGTGTTCGTTTCTTTTGCTGTTTTCCGACGAACTTCTTGAACAGATCGGCATTTTATTTAAAACAGATTCTTTAGCAACGTCTACCTTTGAATTTTTCTGCTTGTCCTGCTCGGAAGCACTTTTAAGAATTTTTGGGGCAGGTACCTTAAATTCAACTACGCTGATTATTTCAACTTTATTTGAACGTGAATTCAACGGATCCTCATTACTTTTTGTAGGGGTTGCAATTTGTGATTCTCTATACGCATCCATGAATGAGAAATTTTCTTGAGTTGAGCAGTATTCCATAAATTCTTTTACAAGAGTTTCTTTCTCTTGCGGGTTTGTGCTATCAGGACATAAATATGCAAGAAAGTTGTCGGGAATGTATTGCTGTAATCCAATCTTTGTCTTTCTAATAAAATAATGAATAACAATAAAGTTTATAAAATTAGATCAAACTAACATTAATTACTTACGAAGAAAATCAAACTCTATTTTATTGATTAGCTACGAATTCTTTGACTACCATGGCCGACAAAGCTGCTGCTGAGAAACCCGCTGGACGTCCCATGCGCTATCCCTACACCTTCTCAGCGAAAGTGGCCCAGTTCCCCATTAAGCATTACATCAAGAACCAGTGGATCTGGCGCTATTACTTCATTGCGGCTGTCGCCTGCGTGCCCGTGTTCTACAAAATCAGCAAATTGGGTGCGTTACAGTTCTAATGTTTATTACTACTATTAATCTTTATTTTTTTCTCCTTATAGCAAACTCCCCTGAAAACAAAAAGGCATGGGCCGAGTCCCAGGCCAAGGAGCATGCCGAGCACCACTAAATTGATTTAGTCTTAATTGTTGCATCAACACTTTAGAGCTGCCTGTGTTGGGGTTATCATGCAATCTGCCAATAAATGATTTGAAAACCACGGTGGACTTTTATTGGAATGTAAAAATTAAATTAAAAATTACCAAATATTTCATTTATATTCTGTTAAGACTCTTGCAAGTCCTATAGATAATTCGCCAGTATATTTGTCTTTTGAAAACATTGAATGTCGGCTTCGTGGTCTAGTCAGCCATCACTTTAAAATGGCTTAACTTCTCTCAACAGTTCTACATTAAAAAAAAAAGACATTGCCTTAAAGCCTTTTCAAGGAATATACATTTATTAATATCAATTTTAATAAAACTAAAAATTAAATGTTCAGGAAACAAACAATTATTTATTAACATATTCATAAATACTTTAACATTATTGTTTTGTTGAATTAACCAATTAGTTATACTTATCCGTATTCAATAGCCTACCAAAAATTTTAATCTTTTTTTTTATAATTTAACTAATAACACAGGTAATCACAATGTAAGATCGTTACTTCTTCTGGAAAGATAAAAAGGAAGACAATTATGAAAAGTTAAACATAATATTGATAAAATGTATTTCATTTCATTTCAACTAAATTGCCTGCTTAATTTGCTCAGGTAGCCCCATACTGCAAGCTCGCACTCCAATATCATAGAATATCTTCATATCATAAACCTTCTTCTTCAATTACCTTGCGAACGGTGATGTTTGTGGAATTTACAAGAGCGTTAAGCTGAGAGGATTCCTGGAGTGTGTTGCCGGCATCAATTTTCTCCGGGGAAGTGATATTGGGGACTGCTGGCTGAGGTGTAGTATTGTCGGAAGGATTACAACGTTCAGCGCCTTCCGACTCTTTAGGCACCACCGCATTCAGAGGCAGCTTCCGGAACTCGTGCCTCACCTGCGGCACCTTTTCGTTTACCAGTTTTATTCGTTTGTTCGGTTCTGCGCTGCTGGTTTTTTGGCGCTTTCCCACAATAACATGACTTTGAGTAGCTGACGTACTTGGGATTACATTGGTATCCAATTCTGGGATCAACTGGTTCTCAATACGGGATCCCTTGTTTTGAGTAGCATCAATATGTTTATCTTGCTCGTTCAAAGTAATTGGTTCTCTCTTGTCAATTGCGTGGCAAAGAAGTTCGATGGGTTCCTGCATAATTGTCTCCACATTTACGGAAGGTGGCTCTTGTGATGACACTAGTGGATCAACTGCAATTTGTGTCAAATGAGAAGCTTGGCTCACTTCTGCCACATTGATAAAAGTGGATACATTAGCCTCAGTGGGCGGACCATTAGGTTCTTCTAAAAATAAGGTAATGAGTGTTCTAGTTGTTAGTAAAGATTTTGGTCATAACCTACGATAAACGGTGATGGTAGGGATGTTTGTTGCAGTATTCCCGCTTTCTGGACAGATATTTTCTGAGAATAAAATACATGTTTATTGAATTGTATTGTTAAAATAAAAATGAACTCACCCGACGAATTTAAAATAGGCATTAGCTCCACTCCTTGGATTTCAGGGTTTTGTATCTCATCCGAGACCTTTGGTACTTGGGGTATCCACCTATCGTGTGTCCAACAAGTGGTATATAGTTTCTGCCTCTCTAGGCATAAAAGCACAATATCGTCTAATATCTGACCGGTACGTTGGGTGTATTCCTGTTCAACGATTTTATCGAAATCCGTATAGGATCCTAGTTCCCAAGGATTCACTATTTTCGGCGACAATTCGTCCAGTTCCACATTTTGCAGCTGAACTCCTTTGCTTTCGAGCAGCATCTTCAAATATGGTAATCGGACACACAAGTTTATTGGCCAGTTACCATGGTTTACGACGTGCTGAAAGCAAAGTTTTAAATCGTCTTCGCTTTCATACAAGCTTTCCCCATCGTGGATGTTCGTATAGTCAGAGAATTCTTTAAAAGATAGTTGGTGGAGAATGCGCCAAATGGTTCTTTTGAGGCCCTGGCTGGTGTGGATCAAATACTTCAGATTGTGTTCCTAATTAAGATGAAATAAAGTGAAATTTTCTTGTAAAGTTCCTACCACTCGATAAAAAATGCTTACTTACCGGACTACTTTCAGAAAAAAATAATTCCTTTGCTTTCTCTAGGATTATTTGTTTTTCTGATTTCTGGACTGATTGTAGTTCGAGATTGTTAGTCGTTGAGTTTTTCTCTGAAGTTAATGACAATAGGTGTTCGTTTCTTTTGCTGTTTTCCGACGAACTTCTTGAACAGATCGGCATTTTATTTAAAACAGATTCTTTAGCAACGTCTACCTTTGAATTTTTCTGCTTGTCCTGCTCGGAAGCACTTTTAAGAATTTTTGGGGCAGGTACCTTAAATTCAACTACGCTGATTATTTCAACTTTATTTGAACGTGAATTCAACGGATCCTCATTACTTTTTGTAGGGGTTGCAATTTGTGATTCTCTATACGCATCCATGAATGAGAAATTTTCTTGAGTTGAGCAGTATTCCATAAATTCTTTTACAAGAGTTTCTTTCTCTTGCGGGTTTGTGCTATCAGGACATAAATATGCAAGAAAGTTGTCGGGAATGTATTGCTGTAATCCAATCTTTGTCTTTCTAATAAAATAATGAATAACAATAAAGTTTATAAAATTAGATCAAACTAACATTAATTACTTACGAAGATAATTCTACTTTCCGTGCTTCATAAGCCTCGTTCGGACATTGGCTTCCTTTCTTTTCTTGTTTTAAGTCTTGACCTTTTGGCTGTGACTGATTTTGTCTTTCGTTTTTAGCATCAGAAATAAGAACCGCCCATTCTTGTAATTTTTGGGTCAGCTCAAAAGGTGCAGCATCAAAGTTAAATTTGAAACGATTTCTTAAACCCTTTATAACGTAAAAGGAGTGGAAAAATCTGTGAAGAAGGCGAACACATCTGTCTTTATCTGATCGAATCTTGGCTAGCTGCTCTGCATTGTTAGTCTTTCCAAAAGAGTCGTTGACAAGCTGATCCATCAACTCATCGCTGTTAACATAACGCATAAAAGTTCGAAACGATACGGGAAACTGATAAAGTTTGTTTGCTATGCAAATTGAGGTATCGTCGTAATACTGCCCAGATCTTGAGGTATCCTTCGTCTTACAGGTAACATCCTCTTGGCTTTGCGCACTACAATAAACAATTTTACTAAAAAAAACCAAGGGAACGGTTTTATTTACCTTTTTTGGGGTGGAGTAGTGGTCGCAACTTCATTCCTTGGTGTAGCAAGCCCCGAGTTGTGATTTTCCTGGCGGTCCGGTTCCTTTGGACATTGGTCACTCATTTCCCCTGGAAAGCTTAGCAATTTTTCCCTCAACTTGGCGGGGCATGCTTTAAATCGTGGAACAAATTTCTCCCGCATTCCTAGTCCAGAATAGAAGCCTTGGTAATACTCCTCAATACATTCCTCCACAGATTTTTCTTTATATTCATCGCAAAGCAGCATTTGGTTAACAATTTCATTGAGATTGCTAACATGACTTTTAAACATTTTCAAAGAAACAGGAGGCTTATATCTTCCAAGTCGAAATATATTGTGGAAAAAGTTTTTTAATTTTTTTTAAAAGAATATTTTATACAGCTACTTACATCAAATCGTTTTTTAGTAGGCCTTTATCATTTTTAGATATTTCTAAATCTTGGTTGGCTGTCTCTCTATGGGGTTCTTTTAATTCTGACACAATGTTCCGATCTGGATGTTGCAACTTCTTAAGTGGAATGTTTCTAAAGAAAAAAAAAGAAATATGTTTTTTTTAAATTGTTTCCGGTTATTTTTTATACTTACTCTGAATCTTGTGAAGACTCGCTTTCGCGGGACAGCAAATCATGGTTCCTTTCTGGTAATTGAAAAGTTGACTGGGGTAGGCTACTTCTCAGTTCGTTGGCAGTTTTCTCATTTAGGGGTTCTTTTAAGTCTGTTGCCATGTTCCGATCTGGGTCTTGCAACTTCTTAAGTGGAATGTTTCTAAAAAAAAAACTAATATGTTTTTTAAATTGTTTCCGGTTGTTTTTTCATACTTACTCTGAATCTTGTGAGGACTCGCTTTCGCGGGACATCAAATCATGATTCCTTTCAGGTGACTGGGTCAGGCTTTTCCTCAGTTCGTTGGCAGTTTCCGTGCTCGGAAAAGCCAGTAGGCGGTCCTGGAATTTAGTCGCACATGGTCGCAACTGGAATTTGTGCTTGTCGCGAATCTCTGGTGTGAGGTAAAATGCCTTGTAGTAGTCATGTGCACATTCTTCAAGGTCTTTTCCGGCATAATTTTTGTCCAACAGTCTCAGGTCTTCCACAATTTCGTTTAAATTCAGCAAGCTACTCTTAAACTGCTCAAAAGTAACGATGGAACTTTGAAATTGTGAATAATAAAGATTAGAGGAAAATATATGGATCTGTGAAACGCTTTTGTTGCTCACTTGTTGTTATGAGATTTTTTTGCGTCAATATCCGAAACACTTTTGACTGCAATATCATCATAAGGTTTGGCAAATTCTAGTAACTTGGCCAAGGGAGTCGGTGGCAATTCTTTGAAATAGTTCGACTTGCCACGAAATTGTGGTAGTATGTAATAGCGGGTATAGAACTTTTTTAAGGTTCTACGACAAAATTCATCGTCGGCCAATAGCTGCGCACAATCCTCTTTGCTTTTGGTGAGCTTGCGGAACACCTCTATTTTGTTCAAGTTGCTTTCAAAAGTATTAAAGGATACTGGAAATACAAAGGTCCCAGACCTGCCAAGAGGGAAATGTTGTTAATGCCATCAGTTCGAATTAAATGCGACTTACTTGTCTAGTTTAACTATCACATCTTCAGATCTTAGTTTCGGGTTTCCTGGTAAATTATTCGTTTCGCTTTTAGCATTAGCCGAATCTGTGTTAGCTGCGTCGCCCACAACCACTTGTTCTGATATTGGCTGTATGATCTCCTGCGGTTCACCCTCATTTACTATCACCTCAGGGTTAGGAACCTTGAGTAACTTTTCTCGGATGCGGTGAGGACAAGGAGCCACCTCGAAGTGATACTTTTCTCGAATACTTGGATCTCTGTAAAAGGCTTCATAATACCACCGTGCCCACTCGTCGTCGGTTTTGTGGTCTCCATCGACGGATCGTAGGGTGGTTGTGATTTTCGGCAGGTTAGCTATTAGCCTTTTAAATACCTTAAAGGTTACGGGATAAATCTGATCTTCGGATACCGAATTGTTGAGCGACTGCTCGCTGGACCGGCTCTTGCCCTTTAATTCAGACATCAAAACGAGCTTTAAATTATAAACACAGCTTACAAAACGACAACTAAAACCCCGAATGCCGCCAAAATGATACGACGCTAGAAATTCAGAATATTTTAGGTGTGACCGTACATGATATAACAAAAAAATGCACTTTGGCAATACAAAAAAATGGCTGTCGTATTGTAGCAAAACAAATGATAGTTCTTAAAATATATAACATATATCGATAAGAGGTGGTTCAAACATCGCAGCGGTTTCATCTCTAATGTTTGGTGACCGGCTGCTGAAAAAACGCGGAATATTGTTTAAGTTCTTTGTTTTGCTTTTTAAACTAGTGGAGCTTCAACAAACATTACCCCACTAGTAACATACTTGAGCAACATATTGAATAATGACATTTTTCGATGTATTTTGTACCATTTGAATCGGTGTGAGGCGCCGAGAAACGCAACCACGTGAAATCCAGCAACAACAAGTCGGCGGTGCCATGGATTTGTCCGAGTTTTCCGACATCTATATTGATCACCTTTTGGACTCGTCTGCACCGCTCCAAGATGGCCAAGTAACGCCTTACAGGCAGGTTCCACTAACTAGGATTAACGAAAACCGCAGAACCAAGAGAAGCCGGCTGGCCGAGCGGATCGCCCAAAACGACGAGCTAGTCCGACAGGTGAAGCAGCTCCAGTTCGAGAACAAGCAGTTAGCTGACCTAAAAAGCACCGCCCAGGAGGTGACGAGTCTTTACCAGAAGGAGAAGCAACAGAGAATTGAACTAGAGAAACGGTCCGCCGAGATTAGCGAACGTTGCGGAGAATTGGAGAAGGAGCTGGATGCCCAGGTGCTGAATTGTGAGAACCTGCAAGAGGAGCTGCAGCTCAAAGGACTGCCCGTAGATACCAAAGATGTGCTGCCCATTCTAATGCAGTTGGTCCAGCGAAGGGGTGAAGATAGTGGTTTCTTGCGGCGGGAGAACAACATATTAAAGAAGCTAAAGGACCACTGCAGATCATTGGGCATAAGTGTGCCCCCGCCTAAGAGTCCTAGTTCACGGAGCAAACGGAAAATCAGTCAGCTGCACCAATCTACACAAACTGACGAGGAATCCGCAAAGACTAAACCCGTGCTTTGTTCTGTGGCTGTTCAGGTGGAGGATCTAATAGAGACCCGCAACCAGGGTACGCAGCACAAGAACACTACCACAACGCGGGGAACCACCACAGCCTCCTTCATCCGGAAGCACCATGTGGGCACCTGCTTTCCCGAACCCAAACCACTGCCAAATGTCCGGCAAATACTTGATGAAATGCTGTCCTGGCGGAATGATATGGTAATCGAACCGATGAGTCCGCTGAGCGATCCGCAGTCGGAGTTGGATGAAATAACCAGCACAGCGAGTGTGGCCACCTGCACCACTCTGTGTGATATTCACCGGGAGATTGACTTTATATCCGAACGGCCGTCGCAAATCAAGGTGTCGGCCTCACGGCCACCCTCGCGGTCCATGCTGGACAATGTCAAAGAGGAGGCCAGGTCCTCCAGGGAGATGGCCAAGGAGCTGCTCAATTTTCTACCTCAAAACCAAAATTGCCTGGCCAATCTGCCGCCACAGGCCTTCGAGGAGCTGTGGCAGGTCTTTGGCCAAATGGTGCTTGGACTGCTGCAGAGGCGCTCAAACTCATCGCTAGCCACGCCGCCAAGTGTAAGTCAGGCGGATTTTACCAATTGGTTGTATGAGCTCTATGAAGGCACGCAATGGCAGTCGGAACAGATCCAAAATATTGACTCCAGCAAAAGAGGTAAAACACTCAAAACAGTTGTGAGTGAAATAATTCATTCCACTTTTCATTTAGACTTCGCCCTCAGCACAGAGTGCATGGACGTGGGAACGGATCCAATCATTGAGTCGCCCAACATCAGCCACGGGGGGATGTCACACCCATTCGTCTGCCAACGAAACCCAGAGATCGAAAGCGGAAATCTAAAAAGCGCAAAGCGATTGCGATACCAAAACCTATCTCCAAGCGAAACTGTTTGGAGATTTTGCCCATTCCCGACCAAAATAGCCTCGAGGAGAAGCCAATATGTGAGGAATCAAATAGTGAATCAGAAGGACTAGAGCATGAGCAAAAGCCAGAAACGGCAATCCAATTTTTAAGCAATTTGAATACATTTAACATGCCCAACTGTGATAATCTCGATATGGAATTGGATGAAGAAGAACTCTATTTACTACTTTTAACATCCAACGCAAAAAAACAAAAAAATAATGCAGAAATTGGTAGGAACAAGGTTCCAGGAAAGCCTGTAGAAAACGCCGAATTGATACTGAATGGAAAAAATGCTTCAAATGCTTCTTTAAAAGATGCGCAAAATCGAAATTGTATCAAACAGCAACAAACGGAAGTAGAAAGTTTAGATGAGCCACAAATCGAAATAGATGAAAAAGAGAAGATTAACAGCGTGAATTTCAGAGATTCTGAAGACTCTGACACAAGATCAGACCCACCTTTGCCAAGCAGTGAACATGACCCTCAAAAACGCTCAAGAAAAAGTGTTGGGGTAGAAAAAGATTTATTTGTGAAATGTTACTACCCGGATGACCAGAAGGATTCTATTTTACCAAATTCAAAATCGTCTCTATTTGGCAGTGACTCTGATATGGAATCTGACTCGAGCGAAAGGCAAATGGATCTCGAAGTAAGTGATTCGGAGGATGATTTCCAAGCTGGTGAAGAGGAGTCTAGAGCATCTGATGGCAAAGAGCAATCAAAGGAGTTCCTATTCGGGAGTGATTCAGATTTGGACGAAAAAGAGGAGCATATACCAAAAAGCGCTGTTAGTAACACAGCAGACAAGCAAGAAGTGGTTGCCAATGAGATAGATAAAGCCCTTCCAGATGAGTTACAATTGTTTGGATATGAAAATTGTTTTTATGAACAGACTCGTACGAAAAATGAGGAGAATGTTGATCAAGTCCGCAATGCGTCAGAAAGTCTGCATTTACTTGCCGAAAACTCAGAAACTGAAATTTTACTTACCGATAGCCAAATGCCTGAAAAGCAATCAATCTTTATTCAAACCGCACAGTTAAGTGATGAATCCGAGGACGAGCACAGTCTGGTTATCGATGAAGAAATCCCCACCTCGCAACTTCCTTTTGAAATACCTTCACCCCTTCTCGTACCAGCTAAACGAAAAAGGACGAAAAGTGAGATCAGAACACCTTCGCCACCTGAAGAAGTTCGTTTAACTCGTCAAAGAGCCAAACAATTGCTAAATGAACAGAAATCAGTCCCTGAAAATGGGCCTTCACTTGTAGAACAAATAAGAAATCAACTAAGACAAGCATTATCCAAACCGGAGTCTTTAAAAAATAACATTCAGATGGATACTGAATCGGTAGAGCAAATGAAGAAAAAACCAGAAACTGAAGAAATTGAACTGCATCCCATCCAGCAGGCCTATACATTCAGCGAAGAGTCACCAGCCTCTCCTGTTCCCCAGCCAATCGAGGAATGTGTCAACCCACCCATCGAAATACCTCTGGAGCAATCTGCTTGCCCCGGGAAAGATGGCCAACTTAAGTCAATTTTAGAACACGTAGTTCAAGTGGACAAAGGACTCGATAAGCTAAATAAGACGAATAGAAAAACTTTGGGAAAAGCCCAGCCTCAACTTTGTGCTGCAATCGGCAATTATCTTCAAGAGACCATGCAGCTGGAATCGTCCTGCAGCGACCTAGCCATGGAGATCTACAAGGTGACCAAGGATGAGGCGGTGGTCGTTAATGCCATGATAACAGTTATCTGCAAGATTGGAGTCAAGGAGGAGCCAGTGGATCGCTTGCTGAATGCCTTGAAGTATTTTGATTTCACGCAAAGATTTCTTTGCGAACTCGAGGAGCGTCTGTTCCGGAACACCAAGGAGCGGCCAGCTATTGAGGTTGCTCTGAATTATGTAAAGCTCTACCTAAAAGCGGTGGCCCTACAGACGACTCTAAAGGCAGGATACGAAAACCCGGCGAGGCTTCTGCTGGCCAAGATACTGTACCACTTCGACCGGGATATGCCATCGCTGGTAATTGAGGTGATGCGGGAATTCCCCACTGTGATGCCACACCGCGAGCAGCGAGCATACGACAACTCGGATCCCCTGATTACCGTGATAAAGCACCTGCTGATGACCCGAAAGTACGACATGCATGATCCGGAGAGCGCCGATAGGCAGCTGCTATCCAAGTTGCGCTTCGAGTACCACTTTCAACCCTTCGAGCCCACCAAACAACAGGTGCTGGAGAACCTGGTGGGGAAGCTGAAGGCTGGCCGCCTGGAGCAACTGGGCTACGCCTTTGCGCTCTTCTGCCGACGCTCAACGTTCCTGAATGTGCTCGACAGCGTGCTGGGGGAACACCTAATGCCACTCGCCACCAGCTACTGTGACCTCGCCACCCAGGACAAGTCATACGATGACCGACTCGTGGTTGTGCTGCAGTGCATCTCCTTGGTTCTGAAGCCACTGCCTCTGGACACAGATATCTCCGCCTTTGTCGGCCTTTTAAAGCGCCTACTCGTGGCAGTGCCACGACCTGGAGTTCAGATGGCGGCTGCGCAGGCCTGTCTGCGTCTACAAAGATTCGGATTCAAGTACATTTTCGATGTCCTGAAGGACTACAGGCCTAGCTACGAGATGGATTCGCTGACGCGAGCTATGCTTCGATGCTTCGCGGAGCGGCGAAGGCAGTTCCGTTCTGCGGCGACCACTGGAAAGTCCGCAAAAACTTAGGAGATTACCTTGAATAAATTGCAACTATTTATTTTATGTAATTGTATAGAATTTGAATTAAACTAAATGCCAACTGCGCTGCGGATCTTTACAAATTTAATCTTATAACTAAAACACACAAAACGATTGCACTTAGGTTAGATTGGGGATAAGTGGGATTCTGGATCGCAAGCAAATAAATGCCGGAAACATGGAAAGCGTAATCAAAATGTACAAAAGTGCTTAGCATGAATTTGGATAGAAGTAGCTATAGTTAATTAGTGGACTGTACAATAACATTTATCTAGTATGGGGTTAATGGGGGTTTACACACAAATATGTATCAACTGGTTTAACACATCCAATTGCCTGCAGAAACAGCCGGAATCATCCATCCCATCGGCCGGAGGTGAGGTATAAGGTACTTGTGATCTCCTTTCAATCCCTCCGACTTTAATTGCGGTCTGGAAGCGTCGCCGGGCAGGGCTCCCAGTTCCAGTCTCCATCGTAGAGAGCCATGAGTTCATGCTAGATTATTTTGTTTAGCTGCAAATATGAAGTTCGCATTAGTAAAAGATGGCAATAGCTTAATTGGATAGCAGTTTCTACCAGCGATCGTCGCTGATGCTCCTTTTCCAGAGCAACTTGGGTCTGCTGCGGTGAAAACTTGAGCACCGCCGATATCACTTTAACCAGTGTCTCATTGTTTGTGTTGCCAGTCAGGTACTAAAAATAAATATTATACAAATTCATTTAAGTTAAATATTTTAATTGTAAAACAGTGTTTTACCTGGAACATGATATTTTTTAAGTATTCAAACTCCGTGTTTGCTGGAACAGCCTCGCTGTGCTGCATGGATACCTGATAAAAAAAAAACACAGTCAGCAAGGTAATCAATATATTAATTGCATCCGAACCAACCAGTGTTTCATCCAGTTGTCTTGAGAGTCTCGCATTCTGCAGCTTCAACCTTTCGTTGGACTGTTCGAGTATTAGGTAGTTTTCGCATTTTTGCTCCAGGAACAGATTTCTACTTGTCACATCCTGCACCTCGTTCATAATCTCCTTAAGCTTGGCCTCCAATTCAGCCCGCTCTCCGGCAGCGGCCGCCTCCTGGACATTCTTGGGCGCCATGCTGGCAAGAAGTTGCTGGGCCTGAATGCCCGCCCGCAGGGTTTCCAGTTCGTTGATGCGCTCGGCCATCTGCTGGTTGTTCGCCTGCAACTCCTCGATCTCCTGCTGCATGTTGGACTCCGCGCCGTTGCTTTTGTGCTTCAGATCCTCCAGCTCTCGCTGCAGTCGCTCGTTCAGGCTGCGCAAACCATCGGAATCCGACGAGGCCGTGGCCTGCTCCTTGAGACTGGACACCTCCTGGTTGAGGCTTTCAACAGTGGCCTTAAGAGTGCTTTGTTCTTCTTGGGTTTTCGTTAGTTCGCTTTGTTTATCCTGGAGTTGCTGTTGCGCTTGGAGTAGTTCTTTTTGGACAGCGTCACTCTGTTCGGTGACGAAGCTGGCGTGCTCCTTCTGTCGGGTTAACTCGACCGCCTGCTCCTCAATGGCTCTTTTCAGTTCACTCACCTCTGCTGTCGCTGCCGCACTTTGGGTTTCCTTTTCGGACATTTGGACAGCGTGCTGTTCGGCCTTCTCCTGCAGAACGTACAATTCACATTGCAGGGATTTCAGTTTCTCTTTGAGTTCCGCGTCTTCAGCCAACTCCTTTTCCAGTTGTTTGGTGTGCTTGCTAAGATACTCGTTCTCGATTTGAAGCTCATCGAATTTTGCAAGTTTTTCAGAGGCTTCAACCTTGTCCTTTAGCTGGCGATCCCGCAATGCCATGGCTTCTTGCAGCTCCACCACTTGGCGATTCTTCTGGGCAATAGACTCCTTAACTTCCTCTCGTTCCTGGTTGTGCTTGATTTTCAACTGTTCCATTTCCAACTGCAGGGCATCGTTTGCTTCATGGAGACGCTCCACATCGGAGTTGGCGGCACTCCAGCGTGCCTCCAAGGTGGCAATCTGTGAGGCGTAGGATGCACTGGTGGCCTGGATCTTCTCCTGAATGCCTTCTTCCGACTGCCTGTGGGAATCCAGTTGCTCGCGAAGATTGCTGATGGTGGCCTGCAGCTGACTTACGTTTGCGGAATTCTCGGCCTCCAATTCGACGCATCGATCCGCCTGGTCTCTTAACTGCTGCTCCTGCTCCCTCTGCCGTTCTCGTAACTCCAACAATTGCTGTTGCTGTTCCTCCAGATCCCGCTCTAAATTCGCCTTAACCCGCTGCAATTCTCCACTGGCCGCCTCCAAGCAGTCCAAGGTATCCTTGGTCAGCAGCTTGTCCTTTTCGTAGGCATCGCACTTGTCTTGCAGGGTGCGGTAGTCGTGATCCATCAGCTCCTGGGCATTTTGAAGTTTCGAGTGCTCGTCCAGTACCTGTTGCATCTTTAACTGAATCTTTCCAATTTCCTCTTGCTTGGCCTCCAGCTGGGATTCCAAGTGATTCGTCTGCTCCTCCAGCAGACAGTTGCGCTCGGCGAGCTTGGTGTTTTCGCTTTGGATCTCCTCCAGCTTGGCGGAGGTTCGTTCGTCCTGGGCACTGCTGTCCACCTGCTCCTGCTGCAGAGACTCGATGCGGGACTCCAGCTTTCGCTTCTCGCGTTCCAGTTCACTGTGAGAGTCCTGCACCTGCTGCATTTGCGCCTGCATGGTACCGATCTCTTCTAGAATTCCGGTGACGCGTGTCTGCAACTCTTCCTTCTCGTTTTCCACCTGTCGGCAATGACGTTGTTGATCCGCCAGCTCACCTTGCAGTGTTTCTAATCGCGCGTTTTGTTCGCTTGATTTCGTTTGATGGTGTTCATGTTGTTTCTTTATCTTGTTTAACTTGTTGCCACTGGCTTTCAATTCCTTTTCCTTGGCCAGGAGACTGGCCTGGCTATTGGCCAAGTCCTGACTGAGTGCCTCCAACTGGGATTTCAGAGCTGCAACAGTTTCGCTTTCTGAGTTGGCGTGCTGATCCTGTAGGATTTGAATCTCGCGCTGCAGCTGCTCGAGCTTAAGCCTATGCTGTTCCTCCAAAGCAGTTTTCTCGGAGCCTAAGGCGGCTACTGATTCGCGCTCTATTTCCAGGCTCTTTTCCAGTTCAAGGGCATGTTGCTCTCGCTGCGACTGTAGAGTTTTTATCTCTTCTCGCGCACTTTCGAGCTGCGCCTCCCAGTCGTTTTGTTGATGACGCTGAACAATTTCAAGCAGCTGATCGTTTTGCAAACGCAGGTCCTGCAAACTGTTTTCGCTTTCGGTTTTGAGGGCATTCAAATTTTGCTCCAAGGACACAGCTTGCTCTTCCTTTGCCGAGAGTGCGGCCTGAAGGGCGTTTAAACTGAGTTCCGTGGATAGAAGTTTTGCTTGGGCCTCATCCTTAGCCGCTTGCAAATCTTCAAGCTTCTTCTGAACATCTTTAACTAGAGACTCACGTTGTTCGTTGACCTGGCGCAATTTTTGTAGGTTCACATCGTTTTCCTGGGTAATTGTGCTTATGCTCTCCTTCAACTTAGCCAACTGGTCTTCCTTGGCTTCGTGATCTTTCCGAAGAGAGTTTAAAAGTTTTTCTGTCGCCAAGAGCTTTGATTCAGCTTCATCTTTGGCTGCTTGAAGTTGAGTTTGTAGAACTTGAGCTTCATTCGTTTGAGACTCGCTGGCATCTTGATTTTTTCTTAACTTGCTTAAATTAGCTTCGTTATCCTTTTTCAAAACAGCCAGCTGCTCCTCTAGATCATTCAACTGTTTCTGCTTGGCTGTGTGTTCGGTTTTGAGAGATTCCAACAGTTGATCCTTGACCAAAAGCTGCGCCTCGGCTTCCTCTTTGGCTGACTGTAGTTTCTTAAGCTGTTCGTTTGAATCGCTTGCTTGGTTTTCGCGACTTTCGTTCTGTTGTTTAAGTTCCTTTAGTTTTTGCTCGTTGTCCGTTTTAATAGTTTCCAGTTGCTTTTCGAGGGCAGCCACCTGTTGCTCCTTGGCTGCGTAGTTTCCTTTCAGGGAATTCAGCAAGTGCTCCGTGGCTATTAGTTTGGCATCGACTTCCTGCTTCGTAGCCTGAAGTTTTTTAAGCTGCTCCTTAGCTTCGTTGCTGTGGGACTCCCGCTGAGACTCCAACTGCTTCAGCTTCTCCTGAAGCTGTCGCACCTCGGTGTCCTTGTGCTCCAACTCTGTGTGAATGGCCTGCTTCGTCTGGGCCAGAAGCAGAACATTCTCCTCCTCTTGCTTGCGGAGAGCTTCATACTTTTCGGTCACTTCCTTAAGTTGGGTCTCCCGCTCTTTGAGAAGTCGCTGGAGATCGGAGCCATCCTCACCGGAACCACCATTTGCAGACGGTTCCGACTTCCCCGCCGACTCATCAAGGTCGATAAGCTGCTCCGTGTCCAGCAGATGCCCGCTTCGCTCCAGAGCAGCCGTAATGTTCTCCGGATTCTCGCCGAGTAACTTTAGCTTCGTTTGATAAGCCTGCATCTTGCAGCTCATGTCGTCCATCTCAATGCGTAGCGCCTCCTCCAAATGCGCCTTTGCCTGCTGCTCGAGCGTACACTGCTCCCTCAGCTCGCTTATCCGGCGCAGCGCCTTGTCTTGCGTCTCCACCAACACGGACTGTAAAGCGATTTTATCGAAAGCATAAGTATCATAGGCTTATCAGTTGGGCCGATTAGATTGACAAATAGATACCCTCGCCTTGGAGCTGTCGCGCTCCAGTTCCTTGTACTTTTTGGCCAGATCCGTGTAGCGGCAGCGGTACTTGTGATAGCGATCCAGGGACTTCTTATACGCATCATACAGCTGGTCCTTGGTGATCACATCCAGACGAGCCGTCGAGGCGGAGTCGTCGAACTCGCTGCTCGTCTCGTCAAGATCCGATTGCAAGTGGTAGACCTACAATATTTCATATGATTAAGAGATATTTAATGCAGATTTTGAATTGCTCTCTTTTACAGCTGGCGCTTCGTAGGTGGGCAGGCGGAAGGACACATCGCTGGCCATGGACGAGTTAGACAGCTTGCGGGTCCTCGAACCATTCAGGGATTGGGTTGAGCGTCCGCGAAGCGAAGATGCACTTGTGGCCGGCAGTTTTTGGATGCGATAAGGCGAGTTCTGAGGTGTGTCTGTGAGGAAAAAAAAAAACAAATATACATATATGGATCGGTTGGGCTGATAAGAAACGCCAAGTGACTCATGGAATACCCACCCTCCTCCGTGATGCTGAAGAAGTTCTCATTGTTGCTGGTGTTCGTGTCCGAATTGGGTGTTGTGCTCGACGATGAGCTCACGGCGGCCTAGAAAAGAGAAGTAAAAGAAAACAGAGCCGTGAGCAGCTGGTCACTTCACTTGTCTTCCCAGAAATGGGTCACAATAGTACTATTTGCCGACCCCTTCCTAGCCGAACAAATACACAAAACAAATCGTGTCGGTGTGCGTATGTTTTTCTTAATTTGCATTTTTCATCTGCACCCCTTCCACCGACCCAATGCAATACCTGTGCAGCATTCGCAAATTGTTGGAATTTCGACGGCGACGCCTTCACCTCCTCGATCAGCTTGTTTTTCAGGTTGGCAAACATTTTCGGGCCCTTCTGCGCTTTTTTCAACTGGCTGCGCTACCTGGTTTTAGCACTATTTAATTTTTAATTAAAAAACATCTAAATAAATACGTGTCTGCAGTTGCTTCGGTGATGGTCACATTGTCGATATACAAAGAAGTTATCGGTAGCTGAAGACGAAGCTGGTGACGAACGCGCTACAATAAGTTGAAATCCAAAATCATCAAAAACGTAGTAACGAATAACACATATGTATTTACATTTTAAAAATTATTCGTATGCGTTTTCCTAAATTGTGAAAATGTGTACGAATAGAATATATAGATACGAATAGTTCAAAAATCTAACTACTTTAACTACATAACTACATTAATGCTTTTAATAAATCATTTCCATAAAAGAAAGAATAAAAATTTATAAATATATTTATAAATGTGGAAAGTTGATGAAATACTAATTATATTTCCTTAAAAAAGTTTTAGCTAATTATACGTACCTATCCATTCATAAAAATATTTAAACAGCTTCATAGTTACATGGGAGTTCCAGCAGATGGCGTTAACTTGCCATTAAAACGAAAAATCCGTTATGTTTAAATTGTATTTGTTCCTTATCAAAACCGGTCCGTCAATCCCTTATTTTATCGTTTCGTCTCTAGAAAGTTTTATGAATGCCTTCAAGTTTTTTTTAACAACAGTATTATAATTAGTTGTTTACACATTTAGAAGTGAATGAAAGCTGGACAAGTTTGCTAATTAAGCAATGATTTAACATTTTTAGTTGTCGCTTGTGTGTAAAGAATGAATATTCGGAAAGACCCGCCATTTTTAACACCCTAATATTGTTTAAATAAGATGCGGCTTTAAATAATAGTTTTAAATAATTAAAAAGATAAGTGGTTCCTCTTATGTTCCCTTTTTGATTTTAGATGAGTTGAGTTTGAGGTCAATAACCCAACAAACCACTATGGCCCCAAGAACTTTTGCAATCAGCCACATAAAACATACATAAGAATAAAATTAAAACTATAATGACTTAAGAACCTCTTAAAATAAATCATATGCTAAGCATCAACAGGTGTATTACTTTTATTGACCTGTTATAGCACGTGCCAATAAAGTAGTTCCCAGCTACCATATATTACTGTCGGATTTATGTTCATTTAAAGCCTTTAAAATATGGTTATTTTATTGTTGTGGTATTCAAATACATTTAACATTTTTGAGTTATTGGTGGCATAAGGTGTGCACTTGGGGAAATACAAAAGAGAGTGAAATGCATTTAAGTAAATGTCTCGAGTTAACACATCAGCGTTGTCACATTCTCCCAGTGGCCGGCCGCTCACTTGTTCAGGTTGTTGAGGAACTCCTTGTGGCGCTGGATGGCCTCCTCGTGCTCCTTGATCTGCTGGTGGTGGAACTCAGCCTGGTGGATCTGGTCGTTCTTCAGGCGATCCAGCTGCTCCCTTTGCTGCAACGAAGTAAATTAAACATTCACGATTATTCGGTGCAAAAAAAAAAAAAACAATTAAAGAAAGCAAGCCATTAAAAACTAATTACTGGTTAGATATGCCCGCCCCCACTTGAAGCGTCTCATCAATAATAAAGTGCCATTATTAGCTGCCAGTCATATAAGAGGCTTTGGGCCTAAGCCGCCGTTCCAGAGCGTAAACAGTTCCATCTTTGTCAAGGTCCAATATTTGGTTAAAAATTTTAGCACGAACTCGTTCGTATGGGCCCACAAAAATGTAAATATCACCAGGGTGACCAAAAAAAAAAAAACGGGTAGCATAGCACTATAAGTAAGCGCAAAAAATAAAAAGACCGGGGGAAAACCACCTGCCAATGAACCTGAATCAGCTTCTATATACCAGCATTGCTCGCCGTTCTGCCTGCTCATCTTCCGCCGCCCAGAAAATCCAGTTTTCAGTTGATAGTTGGCTTCCGATGTGAAACGACGAAGAAAGTGTTGGTCAAATTGGGGTCACCGTATTAAATTATTGCGCATTTCAGGCCGCATCTGGCCAAATATCAATAGAGCTAACACGCCTAATTGGCAGTCAACAACTATTCAAAGCCAAAGCCGAGCTCCACTCTCTTCAATCTCCGCCAGCGTCTCTCTTCCACTTATCAGGCACCAGAAACCAACCAAGTTGATAAGCAGCTGCTTGTAGTTCGCCCAGAACATTTCCCATCTGACTTTGCTGCGGGATGGATCGCCTGCGGATATTGTTGATCGCCTTCTCGTTGACAGTGGCTCAAGGCTATGGCCTTGGCCCCGGAGGATCTCGACCCGTTCGCACCGTGGAGACACTGACGCAGTGGGGTCAACTGGAGTTCGGCTTTCCCACGGCGCAGGATCGGGAGAACGCCCAGTCGGCCGGCAATCTGGTGCCGGAGAACGGCACCCCCATCGATGTGCAGGCTCAGTACTTGGCCAATGGCAAGATCAGGGTGTTCACCACCATTCCGCGGTTCGTCACGGGAATACCATATACACTGGCCACTGTTTCCGAGACGCAGGCCAGGAATGGTCCTCTGCTGCAGCCGTATCCCAACTACTCCTGGCACAATGGCAACGGGGAGAACTGCGACAAGATCACCTCCGCCTTCAGAGTTGCTGTAAGTTTTTAGTCACCAAGGATTGAACGTGCTCTTACTAAGGTTTATGCTCCTCCAGATCACCGAGTGCAACCAGATGTGGGTGATCGATTCGGGCATAATTGGCACCACTCAGCACTGCCCGCCACAGTTGCTGCAATTTGATCTGAGCACCGATCGCCTTCTGCATCGCTACCGCTTTCCGAACGATACGTACATCCCGAGCGGATCCCTCTTCATTACGCCAAACGTTCTGGTGCAGGATCCTCCGCCCAGAGGCTCTTGCAGTCGCACCATGATCTACGTGGCCGATGTGAGCTATCACGGCTTGGTGGTCTACAACCACCAGACGCAGACTTCCTGGCGAGCGGAGAACCGCTACATGTACCCCGATCCGGATTACGGCCAGCACACCATTGCCGGCGAGAGCTTCTATCTGATGGACGGCATGTTTGCCCTGAACAATGACAAACGCAATCTGTACTTCCATCCGTTGGCCAGTGCCAGTGAGTATGCCGTGCCGTTGAGTGCGCTAAATCGGCAGGAGAACTGGGCCAGTGGACCGGAGGCCTTGCCGGAGGAGTTTAGGTTGTTGGGCAGACGGAGAAGCGAGTGCGCCGCATCCGCCATCGATGGCAGGAACAACGTCTACTGCGTCACCTTCAATCCCATCAAGCTGTTCGTGTGGAACGTGAACACGCCGTACAACTCGCGGAGCTTCGGCAATTTGCCGGCCAAGTCGGATGAGCTGCAGTTTGTCAGCGGCATGAAGGTCGTGCGGACACCCGATGGTCAGGAGGAACTCTGGCTGCTCTCCAATCGCTTCCAGGTGGGATTGATTGATTGAGAATATTGGTTTCTATTTACTGAGTGTTTTGCTCTTTCAGAAAATCTCTGCAGGCACTTTGAAGTCCGACGAAGTGAACTTCCGCATTCTGCGACGCAAGTTGGATGATGTTCAGGGAGGCGTCTTCTTTTCAAACGACGATGATCTATCCAACCGTTTGGTCTTTACTAAGTGATTTTTTAAACAAACTAAATTAATGTATGTAAACAACATTATTTCTGTGAATTGTTTTGAAAAAGTGGCGGATCTGGGAATACCACTGAGTGGGTAGAGGGGTAAAGTTATTATCACCTTATCTAAGAAAGTAAATAATGCAAATGAAGATTTCGTTTGGACTTAGGGATTTACACGAATTTGTAAATATTTTTTCTTCCGTTTCTGCGAAAAGGTAAAATTTAATTTGTTGATGATCGTAAAGTTTTAAAGAATGAGGTTTTTTTTTTAACAATGCAGATACGGTTTCAATATAAGCAAAATAACGTTTAGTTGGAAAACTTTGAATGAGTTAAACTGCCTGAAATCAGAAGCATTTGAAAATTTAGTTTTGATTCCAACATTCATCATTTCAAGCTTTACTGTATGAGCTTTTCATTTTGATTTTTGAATTTCATGCGGCATAAAATACGTGACAAAGTTCGGGGTCACGGTTATCAGCAAATGATTGGACAAATCTTAGTCTCAGGCAACAATCTGTCCCCAAAATATTCCCTTAGGGTTTTATAAGCCCCAGGGGCTTGTGATTAGACCTGATTTTTTGCCATTGACTTAACCTTAACCGTTTCGTTGTTTATCGATTTGTTACCATCCAACGCTTTAAACTGGATTGCAAACTAAACTGTATTTATTGGATAATTGATAGCACTTAATGGGACAATGAACCATTCAATCGGACGAAATGGGTGGCGTGCATAATTAGCCAACACCAACAACTTGTTTCCCGTGGTGGACACCAATGAGCTGCCACGGCTTAACCAGAATTTCAGTGCACAGAGTTTTGTGTGTGCAATTAAACCAGTTACAAACGCCGACCAGCTTAGCTTGCTAAATGGCTGACCGGATTAGAAAGACATGGGCCAGCTGCCCGTCGCGCATGCGCAGTATCCGTTTGGACTTTAAGTGGAGCAGTTGGCGCGAAAGTGAAAGGATTACAGCATGCAGCGTTGGATTGTTTTTGGAGCCTGCTGTTTCTGGTGGCTTGCAGCTTCCGTCCAGGCCTTGGAGAGTATTTTTGCTGCATACAATCTAGAGCTGGAGTTCCCGTCGCCACAGGAAAGGGAACGAGCTCTGAAGGAGGGCCTTTACGATCCCGGCAATGTGATACCCATTGACGTGGATGTGTATTACAAGCGTGAGAGTTCCTTTCGTCTTAACAAAAGCTAGCTTAACATGGTTTCTTTTAGATGGCGATGCCACGCCCTCCATATTTGTTACGATACCGCGTTTCGCCAAGGGTGTTCCATACTCTTTGGCCTACGTCACAAACGAAATGCGTCCGAACGGAACCCTTCTGCAGGCTTATCCCAGCTACGAGTGGCACAAATCTCACGGAGCTGATTGCAATGGCTTGACCTCGGTTTACCGCACTCAGATAGATGAATGCGGACGCATGTGGATTCTGGACAGCGGTGAAATCGACTTCATTCAGCACTGCCCGCCGCAGTTGTACGCCATTGACTTGGAGAGCGGTAAAGTTGTGCACCAGTACAAGATGCCCAAGCGGCTGTACAAAGAGGGCGTAAGTCGATTTGTCACGCCCACCGTGGAGCTGGACCCCCACAATTGCGACGTGGGCTTCGTGTACATGGCCGACTCAATTGGGCATGGCATTGTGGTGTACGACGTGGCAGCCCAGCAGTCGTGGCGCATTGAGAACAAGTTCACGTATCCCCATCCAGATTTCGGCACCTTTACCATAGCCGGTGAGAGCTTCCAGCTGTGGGATGGCACTGTATCCACCACTCTTACGCCGCACGGGTTGGGTGGTCGGCGAATGATGTACTTCCATTCCTTGTCCAGCGAGTGGCAGATCGCCATCCCACTGGATGTGGTCAACAATGGCAGCAACTGGCGGCTGAACGATGTAAGTGCCGCCCTGGATCAGTTCCAGGTGCTGGGAAAGCGAGGAAGCCAGTGCGTGGGAACGGCCATGAGTGAATCGGGTTTTCTGATCTGCGGTTTGGTTCAGCCGGCTAGCATTCTGGCCTGGAACATCCGCTCTGCGTACAGCCACCAGAATCTGGTGATGTTAGTGGAGGATGAGCAGCGCTTGCAGTTTTCCAGCGGTCTAAAGATTGTGCGGAATCACGAGGGCAAGGAGGAGCTCTGGGTCCTGTCTAATCGGCTGCAGAAAGCCTTTGGCTCGGGATTGGATTTCAAGGAGATCAACTTTCGCATACAAAAGTGCGGCGTTCAGGAGTTGCTTAGCGGAAAGCCGTGCATTTAAATCTAGTGCTCAATAAAGCTGATAATGAAATGGAACTGGTGTTTACAATAACTCACCTTCTTGTAGAAGTACTCCTCCTCACGGGCAGCCTCCAATTTGCCGAAGGCACCTCCAGCCTCCCGAATGGAGCCACCACCGCCACCGCCCCGTCCGGCGCCACTGCCAAGGTCGCCGACCTGGCTGCCGCTCATCTTGGCCAGCCTGTGGAGTGGAGAATGGTAAACATGTAGAATCTTCTTTCGGTTTTAATGCCGGCGATGTTACGCAACAGTGAAGTCAGCATAGAACTCACACACACATGCGCGCAAAGTGAAAGCGATTTGGATGGGATCGAAATTGTTTATCTTATCGCGCGTTGAGGAAATGTAAGTCCAAGGCATACATAACACTTTGTACATGGAATATGGTTATTAGGAACTCCGTTAATTTTTAAACCAATTAACAGGTTAGATATTCAGGCTATATATGTACATATAAAGGTAGGTTAAATACACAAGCATAACTTACTGGACTCCAGCAGGGTAAAGGCGAGACGTACGACGTACAACGAACATTCTGCTTGTTTTCTAGGTAAACTGCAAGAAATCATTGAACATAAAAGTAATTAGGTTAACATTTAAATCCAAAATAGAACCGGAGTTTAATGTAAAGCGTTCTCAGATCTGAAAAGCCGAGTGCATTCAACTTTTCAAATACCCCAAGACGCAATAAGGCAAAGATATTTATAGCCGATTCTTTGTTTATTGTTTGCATAAAATATACCCTACATTGCAAAAGAAAATCTGTTGTATATATACGGCTTAATGCCGAAATAATGCGGCCGGCTGAACTTTACTTACCTTTTTTTTTAAGCGACAAAAGTTTTCTGAAGAGTGACCACAGGTATATCCTCGAATATTACCTTCGCGGTAAAGCTCACGATAGCATCGATAAATCGAATATTTTTTCGACCATTAATACTATCGATTAGACCGTCGATATATTTGTTCGGCTCTACTCCCAACCTGGTAACACTGCAGCCGACGCCAACAATTTGGAAAAACATATTAAAACTCTTGGATTCTGTAAAAAAACCTAAGTGTTTGACTCCAAAATGGTCGAGGTAGACGACGGGTCCGAGTTGCTGTTTTTCGACACCTTCTCGCACGAGGAAGTGACGGTAAGACCGCAGACGTCTCCACAGGGAGTCCCCATTGACCCACACTTTTTTTCGTAGGACATTAACTTGGACTTGGTGCAGTTTCCCAAGCCGGTGTTTATCACACAGGTGCGAATCATCCCGCTTGGCGCACGAGTGCAGGCGGATTTTCCGGGCGGAGTTCGCCTGGGGGCCACTAATCCCTCTCAATTCGACCTCGAGTTCTTTGTCAACGACTTGGGAATGCCGGCTGCGTCGGCATTCGAGAATCTTGGTCTACTTCGGTACAACCAGAACGACTGCATCCACCTGGACTGTTCACAGGAAAAGATCGTCACGGACGGATTAGTGCTACGCGGCTGGTACAGCACCATCACCCTTGCCATCTATGGAATTTTTACCAACTCAGTGACAGAGCCCATTGCCAGTCCAACGCTACCCTGTGAGCCTGTTGGCCCGGAAATAAGCAACCTAAGTGGCGAGGTGCTCCTTCAGGAAGAAGCGCTTAAGGATGAATGGCAGGAACCGATGCAGGCCGAAATGCTGACCGCCCACAAGGGCAACGTCAGCGACTACGATCCAGAAGACATGGAGTACGGACCGCCACGGGACCATTACCGTCAGCACTCTGAGGAGCAGGAGCAGCGCGAGATGCGCCGCCTGCGGCGCTCCACGCACTCCACGGATCACTCGCCACCACCGCCCAGGAGGTCGCACACGCACTCTGAGAGTAACGAAAGAGAGTACATCAGATGGTAAGTGGCTAAGGACCTTAAACCGAAATCAATTCACCAAAAACTTTTCCATTCAGCTCCCGCGACAAAGGCTCTAGGGATTGGTCACGTTCGCCGGAATACTCTAGCCATCGCTCGCGTCGCAAGCGCTCGGAGAGATCTCGATCCGATGTGGACGAGCACAAGTGGCCCAGGACCCCACCTGCATCGATTGACTCGCCCACTCGACCGCGTTCTCCAGATACGATGGACTACGAAGATGACGATTCGCGGTCCCACTACAAGATGCAATCCTCGCACTACAGACACTCCTCGGAGTCGCTGCATCGAGGTGATCGTGATCGGGACGACGAAGATCGATCCTGCACGCCGCAGGAGCAGTTCGAGCCCATCCTCAGCGACGACGAGATCATCGGGGACGATGAGGAGGACGATGCAGTGGATGCGGCTGCCATAGCAGAATATGAGCGTGAATTGGAGGCTGCGGCTGCTGCTGCACCTCCAGCCATTGATGCCTTCGAGCCCTGGCAAAAGCCTCTACTGGTCTACGAGGGAGATATGGCTGCCCATTTTAGCAAGGAGCTGGAAACTCTGAAGTTGCTCTTCAAGAAGCTGGTCATGCAAACCCGGTGCGAGAACGTGGCTGCCTTTAGCGAGGAGCATGGCGCCAGTGTGGACGAAAGGGAGCAATTTGTGTACTTAGGAGAGCAACTGAACAATCAACTGGGCTACTTGGCCCAGCACTTTAAAAGAAGAAACTTTGTCCTGCAGCAGTTCTTTGGAAACGATGAAGTTCATCTGCGCCAGGCGGCAAATGTGCTGCAGATTGCTCTGAGCTTTCAGGCGGCTTGCATGCAGCCCCAGCCCGCTTTCAAGATCCGGCACATAAAGCTGGGCGCTCGAATGGCAGAGCTGCTGGGCAGCAGCGAGGATCTCTTCCAGCATTTGTTGAGAGAACACAAATTCGATATGTTCGAGGCCGTTTTCCGGCTGTACCACGAACCTTACATGGCGCTCTCCATTAAGTTGCAGCTCCTGAAAGCCGTATACGCTCTGCTGGACACCAGAATGGGCATCGATCACTTTATGGGCGCGCAGAACAATGGCTACCAAATGATTGTGGAGGCAATCAAGACTGCCAAGCTGACAAGGACAAAGTACGCACTTCAGGCGATCATTAAAAAGCTACATTTGTGGGAAGGCCTGGAGAGTGTACACATTTGGTGTAGACAACTCTTCGTGGACAGGAATCTTATACCCGGTGATAGGGAGCAAATGGAGGACACTGTGATACTATCCCGGCAAATAGAGTTTGCTTTTGAGATGCTGATGGAAGCACTGTTCTCCAGCCAGTTGAGCTACATGCAGCCGCGCCGCTTTCTCCCCGTCTCCAAGAAGTTTGAGGTGGTTACCGATCCCACTGCGCAACGCGCCTTTGCGAATGCCCTGCAATCTTTTCTGAGCCAGAACGCTTTGGCAGAATCTTTGCTGTTGATGTTGGGAAACTGCAAGGAATTGCCCGCCACCACCTATCTCTGCATGTTGGATTTGATGCACACCCTGCTCCGCTCCCACGTCGGCATTGATTACTTTGTGGACGATGCCTTCCCAGTTACCCAAACGATTGTTGCCATTTTGCTGGGTTTGGATGAAGTGCCTGGGAATCCCGAGGAAGTGGAGGAGAAGCCGGAGAAGTCAGAGCCAGAGGAAAAACCTTTGGAAGTCACAAGCGCCATAGTGGAAGCCGGTGGAGAGAAGCCAGTTGTGCCCGCAGCAGATGGCGAGGTAAAGCCTGCTCCTGTCTCGACTCCTGCTCCTACCGCAGCTCCTGCTGCTCAAATGCGACCCAGGCCGATCCTTCGTCCAGTGCTGCCACGCCTTGCCAGATTGGGCATCGAAATGTCGTACAAGGTGCAGACACGTTACCATCTGGACGCTATTGTCTACGCAGCCGCAGCTCCGGAGTACGATGCCGTCAAGTTGGCCACTCATATGCATGCCATTTACTCGCAAACATGCGACCCTGCTGGACGCCAACATACCGTGGAGGTGCTGGGCTTGAATAACAACCTAAAGATCTTCATGGATCTGATCAAGAAGGAGCAGCGACTGCAAACGCAGCGCCAACTAAGCTCTCCAGGTACTAAATACAAGAGTCCGGTGCTTAGTTACGCAGTGGATATGGTGGATGCTTGTGTCCGGTACTGCGAGCAACTGGACTACCTTATCGAACATGGAGGTGTGATATTGGAGCTGGCCAAAAACCACGAGACTTTCGAGCCATCGGTTTCGGCGGTTCTGCAGGAGATGTACGTCTACATGAAACCCCTCGAAGCTATAAATGTATTCGTCTATGACGACATTATGCCGCTAGTGGAGGTGATCGGTCGGTCTTTGGATTACTTGACCACGTTCCCTGGTGATTTGATAATGGCTCTCCGGATTTTGCGCTACCTCTCCATCAGCAAACCTGTGGCAGGTCAGAAGGAGACTCCCGTGACCGAGGAGCTCAAACATCGCTTTGTGGCCCTGCAGTTGTATTCGGCGGATGGTGTCCAGCTTTGTATCCAGATCATGGAGCGATTGTGTGCCTACTTCGAGCAGCCTGGTGCACATGCTCCCGCCTTGATGACCATCCAAGGAGTACACTGCTGCCAGATTATGTTGCCCACCTTGCAGATCCTTCGAGAACTTCTCTCATACGCCATCCTGTGCAGAGATGGCACCTACAAGGACCTCACTGCCATCGATCACCTGGTAAAGGTGTACTATTTGCTGTATTACTACCCCACGCGATGTCAGGCTGTTGCTGAGGTGGAGCAGTGTAAAATGGAGGTGGTCCAGACACTTCTTGCCTATACTCAGCCGAATGAACAAGATGAGGAGTCGCTGCACAAGTCGCTTTGGACGCTGATGATCAGGGAGGTGCTTAAGAATGTCGATGGTCCCGCTCACTTTATACCGGGTAAGGAAATCTTTGAAGAATCTGAAGAAATTTAATACATTTTACATAATTCTTAAACAGGTCTCAAACTTCTGGCGGAGCTGCTACCTCTTCCACTGCCCATGCCCCAACCACTGTGTGACCAACTGCAGCAGCAGCACAAGCAACGTCTGATCACCGAGCGAAAACTTTGGTCCGCCCATCTGCATCCCCAAAGCGGGCAGATTGCTAAGTTGGTGGAGGCTCTTGCTCCGTCCAGTTTTCCGCAGCTCTCAGAGTTGCTGCAGCGAGTCTGCATGCAACTATCGGATCTGGCACCCAATATGACGCTGCTGATCGCCAAGACTATAACGGAGCTGTTGTGCAATGAGTATCAGACGTCGAACTGCATTCCGACCACCAATTTGGAACGTCTGCTCCGTTTTTCCACGCGCTTGTGCGCATTTGCTCCCTTGAAAAGTTCCATGTTGTCCATACTTTCGGGCAAATTCTGGGAACTGTTCCAGTCGCTACTGGCACTCAACGAATTCAATGACGTGGTGTCCAATTGTCAGGAGGCTGTGCATCGTATTCTGGACAGTTTCCTGGACTCTGGAATTTCATTAATTTCGCATAAGAGTACGGCCTCGCCAGCTCTCAATCTCGCTGCAGCTCTTCCTCCCAAGGAATTGATACCGCGTATAATTGATGCCGTGTTTAGCAACTTAACCAGCGTGGAGGTAACACATGGTATTTCCATTCTGGCAGTGCGAAATCTTGTTATTCTTACAGAACATGAGTAAGTATAAGATGATTTTTGTTACCCAATTCCGGTAATTAAATCATAATCTTTCTCCACAGTTATACTTTTTATCATCTGGCTCAATTACTGAAGCAAAAGATCACAGAATTTCAGGCGTGGATGGAGCGCGTTATCCTGCACAATGAGACGGTGGAGTACAATGCCAACATCGAGTCTCTGATCCTGCTGCTGCGTTCTTTAACCCAAATCGAACCACCACCCACCATGTCAGCCATGCCACATCGCACTCTGAAACTGGGCGCCGCTGAACTGGCGCAACTAGTGGAGTTCCAGGACATTGAACTGGCCAAGCCACCGGTGCTGAGTCGCATTCTCACCGTCATGGAGAAGTACAAGGCGGTGGCCAACGAGGCGGCCTTGAGTGATCTTAAGCAACTGATTCTGCTGCAGGCCTCCAAGCAGGAAGTTATCGCCGGAACAAGTACTGAAACGCCCCCTGAGGGTGAGACAGAAGCCAATCCTTCTGCCAGCAGCACCAGTGGACCTCTGACCGTGGAACCCTTTCTTCCCCAGGCTGAGGGCATTGTCACTCAGTACGAGGCGCGTCCGATCTTCACGAGATTCTGTGCCACCGCCGAAAATGCTCAGCTTACGGCTCGCTACTGGCTTGATCCGTTGCCCATCGAACTGATCGAGGACATGAACGAGCCGATCTACGAGCGTATTGCTTGTGATCTTACGGATTTGGCAAATGTTTGCCTGAATCCTGATCTGAATGTGGCCGGAGATAGCAAGCGGGTAATGAACTTATCCGGATCACCGCAATCGAATCGCGAAATGACGCCGACAGCGCCTTGTTTCCGCACACGACGAGTGGAAGTGGAACCAGCCACTGGGCGACCGGAAAAGAAGATGTTCGTTTCGTCAGTGAGGGGTCGTGGCTTTGCTCGACCACCACCATCCAGAGGTGATCTATTCCGGTCACGCCCACCCAACACTTCAAGACCGCCATCTCTACACGTTGACGACTTCCTGGCCTTGGAAACCTGTGGCGCCCAGCCCACAGGACCCACTGGCTACAACAAGATACCATCCATGCTGCGAGGCTCCAGGGTGGGACGCAATCGAGGTTCCCGTATTTCGGCAGCTGCTGCCTTTAGGTGGGTTCCATTATTAGCTTTTTAGTAAGCGATATTTAAGTTTCTTTTTTTTTTTTTAAACAGACAAAAGAAGCTAATGCGCATTGGTTCGCCGTCCAGCTGGGCAGAGTCTTCCGGAGCGTATCGTTCAGGATCAGATTCACATTTCAATAGCAGCGATTCCCACTATTCATCGCCGCACTACAGCGGAAGACCGCGTGGTCGTGGCCTGCGCTCTAGACCATCCTACTTGAGATAGGAGGAAATTTCAGCTCAACAGCCTGGTTCCCAATTCCACTACCAATAGAACCATTTTCAGATTGAAATTGGGTGTTGGAATATAAAACCAGTTCGTTTTTATTTAGCAGTTAAATTCCATTACATAATAACATGTGCAGATTTTGTATTAGTTAACCATGTTTTCACCAAGTTGTATATAAGCTTAAAGTTAATTTTCTGTAATAACACTGTGCAAACGGACATCGTGTGTCTCCATGGGCAGCTCCTCATTGCTGACGATCTGCTCGTTTAGGGCCAGTGCCATCAGCGAGACCTTCTTGTGGGGATATTTTTCGGCGTGCTGCTTCAAAAACTTGTCATAGTAACCCATTCCATGGCCCATGCGAGCTCCACAGCGGGTGAAAGCCACCCCGGGAACAATGAATAAATCGATGCCGTGCCCTGAAAGTTAAAAAAATTATATAATAGTTCATCAGAAGGAAGAGATCCAAAGAAAGTTTTATAACCGACCATTTGTCATGGCGTCCTCACGCGCCTCTTTGAAGTCAGGCTGCTTGATGTTCCACTTGGTCAGTGGAAGGCTCTCGTATTCGTCCATGCCGCGTAGCCTAACCATCTTCATTTTGGTACCCTCGTAGGTTGGCACAAAGACCATCTTCTCCAGGCGAAACATTTCCCTGAGCAGCGCCGTGGTGTCCAATTCAGATGTTGTGCTCAGGTAGATGCTCACCCGCTGCGCCTGACGGAAAACCTCGCTTTGCAGCACCTGGTACGAGAGGAATAGGCTAATATGTGATAACCTTAAGCCCTACAACGAGTTTACCTTGGCCGTGACTGCTTGGGATTGTCGGGCAATGGCCTCAGTGTCTAAACCCTTCAGTGCATCCTTCATGCGCTTTCTGAGCGCCACTTTAAGGGTATTTTGGATCGCTGCTGCCATTCTAACTAGTACTTATCACTTGTGCGAACCGGTGAGAACTGTTTCCATCTGCCTGTCCAGAACGGGCATCTGTAGGTCTCGTCTCATGCGCTCTTATCAGTTACACTGCCCCACTGCTATCAATCGGTGATTCTTCTTTGTTCTCATGTTCGTAAACAAATGGCAGGGGACAAGTCTGTCCCGAGAAATTTTGATTTCCAGTGGCTAGCCCAAAAACCGATCAGCTGATCAGAGATGGAATTACTAACTGGTTTTTTATTTTAAAGAAGCCAACCATTTTTTTAGTCAAATTAGCACAAAAAGCATAAAGTATATTTGTAGTAACTCTTTTAATAAATACAGTTAAGAAAAATTGATCATGTGACAATTAATATCATAAATATTATAATATTTTTCAACACTAACACTTCTTTACTTTTTCGGTGCCTCTGGAGCCTTCGACTCCGTCTTGGTCTTCAAATTCTTTAGTTGCTCCTTTTGCTACACACATACATATATTGAATTTTCAATAAGTATTTGTCAATAGTATTTGCCATTTATTTCGAATTTTCAGGAACTCACCTGCTTGTAGAAGAACTCCTCCTCGCGAGCTGCCTCCATTTTGCCAAAGGAACCTCCTGCCTCCCGAATGGTTCCACCTCCGCCGCCTCCCTTTCCGGCACCACTTCCAAGTTCACCGACCTGTGACATTTTCAAGTGTCTGCAATGCAATGTTGAAATTAGTTCTAGAAATCTTATGCAACTTTGCTCCAGTTTGTGAAACTTACTGAATTTGCTTTGGATACAAACGCTGACTGATTCGACGCAGTGTAAACATGTTTGTCTTTTATAGAAACGGTTTATATAGTATAGTTAAGCTATATATAAGGGGTGATTTGTCGCAGTGATTTCGCCGACTTGTGAAAACAAACTAATGAAAATTAGACAACAGCGTAGCTATAAATACTTGGTGGGGACACCAATAAAATGCTCTTTTGGGGGAAGCAATCATTTCCAAACAAAATAATTTAGTTGGTTATTTATTTAACTTAAAAACCAAATTAAAACAAAATTATTTCTGTAGTGACTTGTATATTATAGAGTCCCCTTTATTTATTGCGCCCCTGCTGTTTTGTACCAAAACGCATTAAAATTGTGTCAACTTGAAATTAAAAAGCCAGTTTTTTTTTGTTTTTAACTTTTAAACTAACAATTTTAATCGCATTGCCGTTTAGATATGGGAATTATGCTGCGCCTCTGAATAAACTGAATAAAATGAGTGAAATTAAACAAAAACAATTAACTATTTTGGGTTTTGCGGATCTGATTTTTGATCCAATACAGTAGCAGTGTTGTCTACGACTTGTGGGTCTTCTTGCGCACGATCGTGTAATACCTTTATATCGTCTGCGGTCTGAAAATCAAGTTCAATGCAATCATTAAAATGCCTAAAGCAAGATTTTTTCCAACAATCATTACCTCATTTAGGAAAAAGGCCTCCTCGAGCACATTCTTGTGTTTGTTCATGCACGATGTGCTGCCCAGGGAGGAGTGATCCAGGGTCTTTTGAAACTCATCCCAATTGGGCATGTAGTCCACGTTCTCCTTTTTGTCCCGCATCTTACACATTAGGCTTTGAGTAAGCGAGATAAAATACTCCTCTTCCTTCAGACCGCCTTGCAACTTGCCAAGTCCCCCGCCCCACAAAAAAACCGTTGGCGGCTTCTTTTCCTGACAATACGATTTCTTGGGGACTAAACCGAGCCTTCGTGGATTTCGGCTTGGGAATTATAAGCACAAAAGGTGTTAGAGAATGCTACTCACATTTGCGATAGACCCAGGCTCAGTCTACGTTGCATTAGTCCTGCGCAAAACATTTTCCCACACGTATAGAAGGAATTCATACGAAACGGTGTCAATTTCTTACAAAGGGGTAGACAAATGTAGTCGAACCCAACGACTGATACTACTAGACTTTGAAAGTATTCGCCCAGGTTACTCCTTGAATTACTTTCAAACTTTACATACTAATTAAACAATTAAGAAAAAAAATCAAATAAAACAAACAAATGTTATCGGAATTAATAATGGATTTTTATTTGAAATGTAAAACTTTGTTAGCAAGGTAAAAATAAGCAGATTTTGTTGTCTTCGTCCCAACGTGCACAATGATGACTTTTTAAGCAAGTTTCTTTCGAATGTCTCGCTGAAGAAAGTCCCAATATGGTTAAAATAACTAGGCAGCAAACTTTTAAGTTCATTGTGAGAGCTTAAGTTTTAGACTAATTTCAGAGCGGCTGCACTTGCAAATAAGAAGGAATTAGATCCCATATCTAATTGATTTTACTAAAATAATTAATTAAGGCAGCGGCACAAGTCCCCGTATCCATAAAAAACACGTACACATAAAACACAAAAAGTAGAAATCCCCTTGAAAATGTATAAGAAAATATGTATTTAACTTTTCCGTCCCCCTAATTAATGGACACAAATGTGATTGTTTTCAAATTTCCGTTGAGTTCAAACATGGCGACGTGGTCCCAAGTTAATTGAGACAGCTAGGACTGTCGACAAATCGAGAATGTATACGTATCGATATACCTATCGGAAATTGAATACATATACTTTTCGCAACATATCGATACAAAGGTATATTTTCGACAACCCTAGTTCCAGCTCTAAAAGAAAATGTTGTGAAAAGAAAAACGCTGCTTTTCCATGATTTGTGGCCAAATCGGAAGTGCTAACTGTGCGGGCGAGATAATGCCGATCGAGTGAGGCTAAGACACTAAACGGGCGGAGCGACTGCGCCGCAATCGCTTCGCTTTGGCAATTGTGTGTGTGTATCATGGACAAGCTACGAAACAACAACAAGGAGAATGCATCCATTGAGTACCCCTACCCACAGCCCTCTCGCCCCCTGGAATCCACCACCGCTGCCTCGTCTACGCCACTGGAGTCCGGCGAGGATGTGGAGAGCAATAAAAGCACGCCCTATTTCACGCCTCTCGAGTTCCTGCAGACGTCCTTTGAGTTCCCCTCGCCCACGGGGGAGGGCGGGGTCCTGGGCATTCCCGAGTCGTCCGCGGAACAGGAGGATCAGGAGTCGGAGGAGCCCTACACCCCCAGGCAGTTCACCATTGCCAGTCCCCACCCAGCTTCTAATGTCCACCATCCACCCAACTCGCAGTCACCCACTTTAAGCCGCAAGTTCAAGAGGCTCTCGTTGTACGACCGACGATCCTGCTCGCCGCACATCACCAGCTCCACTGTTGGAGAGGAGCGGGGCGGAGGGCGCGGCACCGACAAAGAAAACACTATCCCCAAGGGAAGATCGGACGATCATGACCTGGAAAACAGCTTGTATTTGTCGAAAAGTGAACACAATTCACCCACAATCCTGTTCAAGGATGAATCCTCCACGACGCCGGGGCTGGAGGCCAGTCGCCTAAGCTACTCACCCAAACTGTTGTCCTCCATCAATAATCTGAACTTATCTGGTTCGCCTTTAAACATCATCAACTCAGCTGGCTACAAGAATGGCAATTTCTTTCGCTTCCCGGAGATCGATCATGTTGTGCAGGAGGTGCCTATGGATACGGGCAGCTTAGAGGAGGCTCCTCGCCGGGAACGAAGTCCAGCGGTTGTTGAGCCGCCGGAGCAGCAGCAACAGAAGTCGGAGGGCCGAAAGAATCGCAAGAATAAAAACAATCTCACCATTCGTATCACGGACGTGCCCATTAAGAACTCGAGCCAGGCCTCGCCCTTGCCAAAGCCCAAGACTCCGACTATAAAGAGCACCAAGGAGAAGGCCCGCTCGCTGGACTCGGCGGCCAATGAGTCGGAGCTGTCGATCGTGGTGCACAACATAACCGAATCTCACGGTAGCTGCGATGGCATGGAGTCGGGCCAGAGCAAGCCATCGACGAGTGTCATTCATCACCACCATCTCCAACAGCCAACTTCTGGCGTCTACTCAACTTCGCTTTCCTGGCTGGACAGCCACCTCAGTTTGGTCAATCAGCGGCGCACTCCGCGCAGGAAGTCGCCCGGAATCAACACCACAGACTGGCTTACGTACCACCGCAAGCAGAACCCATATCAGGTGCCGCCGCCGCACTGCAGTACCACGGCCCAAAGCTCCCTGGATTCGGACGCTAGTCTGACGCCCAGTTTGGGCGATTCGGAGCTGAAGTCCGCCTGCAGCGTAGACAGCGGTTCCAAGTTTGGAATGGGCGCCACTCTAGCGCCGAGGAGCGCCCACAAGCACAATCAGCTGCTGCACTCGTCCAGCACGAATCTGAAGACGCTGCCCGAATGCCTCACCCTGGTGGAGTTCTCTTCCTCTGGCGGTCCCAAGGATTCGCCCTTCAAGCAAAAGTCCATGGATCTGCCGATGCCGGCGCTGCAGGCCAAGGCCACCGTGTCCACATCTTCGATGAATCTCCTCCAGCGGCGGGGATCCAATCACAGTTTAACGCTCAACCTGCACAGCTCGTGCGGCAACCTGATGAACAGCGGACTAAGCCTGTCCAACTACAGCCTGGGCTCCATACTCAACTCCAAGTCCAGCTGCAATTTGGATGCGGGTGCCGCCAACCAGATCAGGTCGGATCAGCAGCCCCAGGCGCATCTGCTGGCCAGCAGCCAAGGCAGTCGGCAGGGGCTGTTTAGGAGGCGCGGGTCGAACCACAGCATCACCTTGAAGACGGGGCACACAACCACCTCGTGCGGGGACTTGAACTCCATGCACCAGCTGCAACAGCAGCAGGCGATGCTGAGCGCGGAGAAGTACAATCGCCTCAACATGCGCACCAATTCCACTGGCTCGGGATCGGGCTCGGGATCCAATGTGCCCACACCGAAGCGCGGATTGCTAGAGCGTCGCGGCTCAAATCAGAGCCTTACCCTCAACATGGGCAGCATTTTGGGCGTGGGAGCTGCTACTGAAATCCAAATCCAAGACATGGGGCAACCGAAGGTTACCGTTTGCAGTTGCGCTGCCGCCAACCAAGCTCCGCACCAGCGCAAGTTCTTCAGCACCGAGAACCTAAACAGCAGCAAGGTCAACAATCAGAAGTTCTTCGGCCAGGTGTGCTTTGGATCCGCCTCGGACTTGCAGCCCAATCCGCAAGAGGAAACGGCTGGCGCGGATCCGGGCATTGTCGCCACTTGCACCTGCGCTGGAACCGTGCGCAACATCATGACACGGCCTCTGTCGCCGCAGACAACCAGCGAGGAGTTCAAGATCTACCTGGCCAGCATACAGATGCTGCAGAGTGCCTCCAATCCCCTGAATCAGTTCGATTTGATCCGACTGAACCATGTGTTCGATCACAGCTACCAGACCAACAGGAGTGTGATTGAGCGGCCCCCTGTGCTGGGCTCTAATGCACGGGATCTGGACACGCCCACTGACCTGGTGCCGCCGAGTTCGGAGGACAGCGAACTGCTTGCCTGCTACCAAACTGTGGTGAAGAGAATCGTGCAAACCCTACCGGAAATGGAGGAGAGCGAGCAGAAACGCATCTTCCGGGACCTGCACAAGGAGTTCTGGGACCTACCGCTTAATCACCAGGAGAAGCCGATGGTCTTCGGCTCGCAGACGAAGAATCGCTACAAGACTATTTTGCCCAACGAGCATTCACGCGTGCTGCTCGAAACGGAGTCAAACGAGTTGATTAACCTGCAGGAGGAGGTGAAGCGGACCGCCAGCGAGGACATGCCCTACATCAATGCCAATTACATCAAGGTGAGAAAAATCTCTCTAAAAAATAAGTAAATATCCATGTTGACATCTTTTTTAGGGACCCGACTACGTGTCCAAGTGCTATGTGGCCACGCAAGGACCGTTGCCGAATACCATCTTCGAGTTCTGGCTGATGATCTACCAAAACACACAGCGCTACATACGCCGCTGCGTTGATGGCGGGAGCAGCAGCAGTCCGCACATGGACCGGGCGCAGATCCTTCAGCAGTACTTCCAAAAGATTGTCATGCTCACCAACTTCACGGAGACGAATCGCCAGAAGTGCGCCATCTACTTTCCCGTTGAGCTGAACGAGATCTTTGCGGTGGCCGCCAAGTGCGAGGTGTTCCATCTCAGTGCAGCTGCCCGGGAATACTTTGATCCATATTTGTCGTCCACCTTTGTGCCGGACACTGTGGTGGCTTCCTCCGAGGCGATCGACTATGAGCTAAGTGGCCGGCACATTGGCGTGGAGTCGGTGAAGGTGACACTGGAGGGCGATCTGCTGGAGGCTCTGCCTGCCCAGGGAAGCTTCTTCCTGGTCAAGAACGTGGGCATTGTGCGTAGGAATGGCTACTCGGTGAGGAAGCTGGTGCTGCTCTACTGCATCCGTGTGCCGCAAAGTGCTAGCTATCACCTGCAGAAGATCTACTGCTACCACTACTGGTATCCGGACTGGCCGGATCACCACTCGCCACGGGACATCAACACGCTGCTGGACACCTGCTTGCATGTTCTGAATCTGGGCAAATGCGAGTCGGAGTTTGACAACTACGATGAGAGTAGGAGTGACCGAAATGCCCACTTGGCGGCCCAGCGGCTGGAGATCTACCAGCAGGACATCTTCAATGCGGTGCAGCCGCTTCCCGTGATCCACTGCTCGGCTGGAATCGGGCGCACTGGTTGCTTCACGGCCATCCTGAATGCAGTGCGTCAGTTGCGGCAATCGCTGGCCTACTCGCTGACGGGAATGCTGACCAAATCGCTGACCAGCAGCTCGGCGGAGGAGAGCGATTGTCCAACGGACAGCGACAGCAGCTTCACGTGCAACACCATCCGGCACATCAAGCACATTCTGGATCACCAGGAGGACGAAGCGGAAGCGGAGGCGGTTGAGACGCCCCCATCCTTTGACCGCCTGCCCAAGATGCCGGACATTTTCGTGGACGTGCTGGGCATCGTGTGCAATCTCCGCCTGCAGCGGGGTGGGATGGTCCAGAACTCAGAGCAGTACGAGCTGATCCATCGCGCAATTTGCCTCTACTTAAAGCGCACACTGGCGTTGAAGCGATTTTGAAAGTAGCGGCAAACATAAAATAACATTTTGACGACGAACAGAAGGAGATGAAGAACAAAACACCAATTTACTATTTGTAATCACAACTTTTGTGACCTTTATTTTAATGAAAGCAACCACAACGGACAAGCAACAAGATTAACAAGAAACCATGGCTAAAAGAGTCTCGAAAAAGTTAAATAAGATGGCACTCTCCGTAGAGGATTGACGAGATGCTCTCAAAATTTGCTAAAAATACATATTCTATATATATATAAATGTTTATTAAGTGTTGGATGTATGTGTGTTAAATGTGTACATAAGTGTAAATGTTTCCGACTTTTGGTGTGAACTATGCTTAAACTAAAGTTAATTAACCATTATTATACCTTACCTTACCTTACCAAAACCATACCTTACCATAAAGAACCGCATCTTTACAGAGCTCGCGACCTGTGGCCGCGTTCCTCGGTGAGTTGTCCAACCTGTTTGGGTGCGGAGAAAGCTCAAACCTTTTTCAAGTTGGGCCCCTTCCAGGGTCCTTCTGACTAAAACACCAATTTCCCCAATCCCAAACTGACAGCTCGACCGCCGGACGATGGCCAAAACACGGACAAGAGTTCATTAAAAACACAAGAGAAAAACTCGAAAAAAATGGAAACCCATAAATGAACTTGTATTAACGTTTATGCAATGGAACTAGTCAAATAAAACTTAGAAACATTTTAAATGTAACTTTAAATGTGTAAAATTATAGTTTTATTCAAAAATTAGACCATCCGAGAGGGCCTGGAGTTTGTAGTTTTGTATTTTTGTTTTAAAATTTGTTTTTGTTCTCGTAGTCTTATCGAAAAGTATAATATTGGTCTATAAACCAACAATTTATTATATATTTCTATAAAGATAAATTTATTAATTTACATGTTTTTATGAAATATTTTAAACGAGTTTACTCTTGACCTTGAAAAGCTTTTAAATATTAAACCTATTATGACGCAAAAAGCACCCGCTGGACAAGCTAAGGGTTAAAAGTCGTCAGCTGTTTTTTATGAACAAAGTTCAGCGGTTTCTGGTTTTGTGATTGCCGAATAATTGCGGCTGATTAGATTGTTTATGAAATCTCGAAGGGAGGACAGCTAATTTCGCCATGCTCCGTTCGGGCGGTAGATTAATATTTACCAGGTTCTCCAGCAGCATGAAGGTAAAACTCACCTTTCGAAATCAATTTCCATATTTTAACTGCGACTTTTCCAGGTGAAAGTGCCAGTGAAACAAGGAGTTGTAGTGGGGCAGCAAAAGAAACTGGCCAGTGGACTGGAATACAATAGTTTCTTGGGAGTTCCCTATGCTGAACCACCGCTGGGAGAGCTTCGTTTTCGAGTGGGTAAAACCTGGTCTTCGAAGTGCTCTGTAATATAGAACTATGTAAATTTAAATCCAGAGCCCTCGGCCGCTACTGCAATTTAAGGAGGCTGAACAAGACTGCAGCAAGGAGGGTAATATCTCCCACCAGCGAGATCCGTTCACTTTAGAGGTAGCCGGTTCAGAGAACTGCCTTTTCCTAAATGTCTATGTCCTAAAGCCAGGAATTCTGGGGCTCCTCTGCCTGTAATGGTCTGGATTCACGGAGGAGGGTTCTTCTTTGGCAATGGCAACAGTGACTTGTAAGATTTTTAAGCATATAACCTAATCCCAAATCTAATCTATTTTATCTTCTATCAGTCATTTTCCCGCAAAGCTCATGGAGCAGGAAGTTATTGTGGTCACCCTGAATTACCGGCTTGGTGCTCTCGGATTTCTTAGTTTACCCGAGGAGGGAATTCATGGCAACATGGGACTTAAGGACCAGCGTCTGGCCCTCCAGTGGGTGCAGGATAACATTGCCAGCTTCAACGGCGATCCCAATAACGTAACTCTGTTCGGCGAGAGTGCGGGCGGAGCTTCAGTGCATCTGCACACCTATGCCCGTCATGCTAACCGGCTTTTCCACAAGGCCATCATGCAGAGTGGAACGGCCAACATGGAGTGGGTGTTTCAAAACGACGCGGCAGCTAAAACTCGTCGTCTGGCGGGGCTCCTGGGTGGTGGTGATTTTGGTGGCGACACCAAATCCCTTTTGGCCTTTCTGCAGTCGGAGAAGGCAACACCCACTGGCATTTTGTCGAATACATTGAAAGTCCTCACTCCCGATGAACGGCGACGCCACCTGCCATTTGCATTCAAGCCAGTCGTGGAGGATAGTAGCAGTCCGGATAGCTTCCTGGACCAGAACATCCTGGATCTAATGCACAAAAAAGACTTCCTCGGAGGAATGCCAGTGATCATGGGCTACAATTCGGCCGAGGGACTAGCCATGGTGATCAAGGCCAAGCAGAAAATAGAGGCCTACGAGGACGATTTGGCCAGGATGGTTCCCAAAAATTTAGTGCTGAATCCACAGGCTCCAGAGGCCCAAGAGGCTGCTTCCGACATAAGAGCCTTTTACTTCAACGGGAAAGCTTTGACAAAGGATAATCTGGATAATATGGTGGACCTGTTTAGCGATTATCACTTCAGTATGGATTTGCAGCATGCAGCGGAGATTCACGCCTGCTGCCAGACAAAGTCACCTCTGTACTTCTATCGTTTGGACTACGTGGGCGGTCGCAATATGTACAAGAAAATCTTCCAGAACGAGGATCTCCGTGGAGTGGCACATGCCGATGATATCTGCTATCTGTTTCAGATGGCGGGTGACGAGTCCGAGATGAGAAAGGATGACCTTCTGGTTACGGAACAACTCTGTAAGATGTGGGCGAATTTCGCGCGCGATGGAAAGCCATTGGAAAATTGGACACCTGTCCAGAAACCCCAGCCAGGCAAACAATTCCAGCTCGACTGTCTACTTATCGATCGGGAGCTGAAGATGTGCGCCAACCCTGATGGGGAAAGAATGGACTTCTGGCGCAGCATGTACAGAAGATACAGGAGCAAGTGCTACGAAGCTCTGAGAGCCAAGCTCTAGGTCCATAGTTAGTAAGCAAAAAAGCAATAAAGAAGCAAGTAGATATTTGTAGAAATCGGAATTTTAAAGCGATATTCATCAGAAATTTCCTTTCACAGATATTAAATAATATCTTCTTTAAGAGGGTCTTTCTAAGTAGTTTAAATTAAAATTACTTTGTTTGAAATGATGTGATTTTAATAAATACATTTATTACCAGATCGTAAGCGAAACTGTTTTTGAATAAGTTCTCTCGCAAATGTAGAGCCTTGGTGTTTCGCATGGTCTGTCATTCAAAACATTGTAATTGGATGCAGTTCTTCGGTAACCCAGTTCGTCACAATGTTCATTTCCGTTCTGATTGTTTGGTTCCCCCGGGTACCAAATGTTTAACGTTATTGGCTGACCATTTGAGAACCAACTGTGTTTTCCTTGATGTGACAAATCAGAGCCCGAGGTCCAGTAAACATTATCTATATGATTCTTGAAGAGATACTGATTGATTAAATCCCACTCTTCAAGGGACTCAAAGGCTATAAGATGGGCGTCCATTTGACGGCAGGACTCGGAGGCAGCAAACCAATTTTTTTCCGTCTTGGTCTCAATGTAATAATGATCTTTTCCGATCTTAACGAAAGAACTCGTTGTTAAACTACCATCTTCTACAGTCGGAATAACTTGATCGCATCCTACAAGAGAAAGCAGAACCAATACTGTCCAGAGTGCAATAAACATTTTGCAATTACTGATTAAAACATTACTGAATCTCGATGTTTTTATACTTCGGCCGAGTGGCGCAGTTATCCAAAAATAACTTTTTATCTGAAAAGATAATTTTTTTTTTGGAATTTTTGTGTAAAGATATTAAAAAAAACTATTGCAATTTAGTGAACCAATTTTAATTTGAGTTAGAGTCGAAAAATATGATTAGAATTTTTAAAGATTAGGCTCGAAAAAATATAGATAAAGATAGATAGAATAGATAGAAAGTAAGTAGAAGGTAAATTATCTTTAACTCTTTAAGTATCCAGTTTAAATTCAAGATTTCCCTAGAGGTTGGTGTCCGTGCTGTATAACATTTAAATTTCACCACACCTTTTTCCTGTAAAATTTTCAGCGGGTACCACCAATTCAAAGAGGCGGCAAGAAAGCAATAAAAATCAATATTTCGTAGATATAGTTAAGACTTCGCTTATATCATTAAATTAAAAAAAAACCTGTAATTTCAATATTTAGCCAAAAACAATATCGCGATATAAATATGTCTACTTCACGCAAGAAATATCGATATAGTGATATTTTGACATGTTATCGGCAGCACTAGTTCATCGCCGGCGGTCACACTAACTGCAATTTAGCAATAAACAAATTTACATTTTAATGCAAATGCGATTGCAGGGATTCTAGCTAAACAAAGCCGCGACGGAACAGGAATAAGGACGCGCGCAGGACGTGTGGACGCGGGACAAGTGCCAACATGTTGGGCAAGTGCTGCATCGGGACATTCTGGTCACTAGCCATGTTGGTGGCCTTTTCCACTGCCTACAAAAACGGTAAGAGACTTAAGCATCACGCGCAGAACTGGAAAAGTTACTATTCCTCTTGCTTCGCAGTTCGCCTGCAGGACATCATGTGCTCGGACAAGCTATTCTACACACTGGCCAAGCCCTTCCGTGGGGATCCTACGGTGCGGCTAGACTTCGAAGACACCTCCGGGGCGATCGTCACCCAGACGTGGAATCTGACACTGCCCCACGGTCACGCGGCCAATAGGATCAAGTACGACTGCCAGTTCCGGGTGCTGACCAGCGAGCGACTGCCGCGCGGCATCTACACCATCATCACGCGGCTCAAGTTCCGTCGCGATCCGGTGTCCAAGGAGTGCATCGACTACATCCAGTTCAGTAGCGGCAACCGCTCGCCCAGCGAGCGCATTTGCACGGACATTTCCATTGACGGACCTGCTGGAAGACTGATCTTCGATCAGCGCGACCGCGAGGTCAACGTGCACATCTTCATCGATCGATCGCGCCACATACTGGGCGATCCGCTCGAGCTGCGCATGGTGCTCACGGCCCACTCCGAGTGCCAGTTCAATGGAGACTTCCTCTGCGAGCCCGGCGACCAGTACTCGTGCATTTCGCGGCACTTTGTGCGGGACAACATCACCAACTGCCTGTATCCGTGCCGTGACGAGGGCACCTGCTTCCACGACGCCATCGTGCCGGAGGAGATAGACACGGCCAATGTGGCCATTTCGGCACTGACGTCGCTCATCTTCACCATGCTGGGCGTTGGCTTCTGTGTGTGGATATGCTGGAAGTACTGGAACTGCATTACAGTCCAGCAGCGGGCGCACGAGGCCTCCGCTGCTCGCTTTAACCAGCGGCGAGCCAGGGTAAGTTAAGAATTCTCTTTAAAATGCGATAATCGGTAACTGATTGCTAGTCCTACTTGCAGTCCGATGTGCCCACCATTGAGCTGCCACCAGCGGTCCATTACGATGATAGCGTCCTGCACGAACACGATAACCAGCAGCAACAGCAGCCGGCTACGCCCAAGGATCTACCGCCCAGCTACGAGTCCCTGTTCCCGGAAAGATAAAGATCCGCTGCTCGGTTCGCTCCGCCTTGTGCCAGATCAGCAAGTACTTGGTATCGCACACTTGTTGTATTAGTCCTATTAGGTAATTGAATCTCTATTTGAAACGATTAGCATTCCATGTAAATATGTTAGGACTGATTTTATGTTTTGAGATTAGCGAAAGCGATCAATCTTCAACCTTGTTGATGTGTTCACTTCGAAGCAGATCCACAAAATACTCAACGTTTTACTGATGTATATATTTAAGCTTTATGTTTTTTAGCGATCCGTTTTGGTTTTTAGTATTTGTAACTGTTGAAGCCGCCTTTTGGCAACGCAAATTGTTTACTCACTGATGAAATCTCACTGGTATTACCGTACTCAATGAAATTATATCAATTATTTATCTAAGCAACAATTATTTATAAGCAAAAGCCACACAGTACTAGTCTCTGTAATAGCTAGCGTAAATATTCCAAGGGCCAGCCAGGTCCTGGCCGGGCATACCACATAGTTGTACCTGTTTCTGTACTGCATAGATATATGTTATGTATTTGTACGCCTAGAATACCACGCGCTTGTAGATGTCTTTGTTGTGTGCTGGCCGAATGTGTCAATTGTTCAATCCAGAGTAATATATATTATGTAGGCACACACGCTCACGGGATTATGTACGAACTACAGTATTTACTCCAAACATGTAACTGCAATGTAACTGAAAGATCGGATCAGTGGTCAGTAGGTCTTAAGCCAATTACTTCATATGTATACACACGCAACTCACTCAAATACCGTATATTAACAGATAAATAAACCAACTAAATCTCAACGGAGCATAGCGAAAGTGCGCACGGGAATCACCTCGCATCACCCTCCGCTGATCATCCCCCGTTTTGGGTGTTGGGGTTTCATCACATGGTGACACACTTCATGAATCAGCACGTGCCTTATCCAATAACCTGTCGGACGGGCTATTCGATCCCCCGCACCGTCAACTCATCTGCACGGAAACCTGAGTTTGGTCACGAATAGGAAAAAGGTGTTGGCTTTAACTGCGTCATCTATTCGGTCAATTGAGATTTTTCTTTGTTACCAACTCCGGACTCAAAGATGGATCATGGTGGATGTGGCACGTGCTGGGGTCGTTTGGCCATTGACTCGTCACAATTGACCAAACTGGTTATTGGCATCGTAGCTGCGAGACAATTTGCCGGGCAATCTGTGCCCCCGTTCAATGTCGGCCCGCAATTGTCCAATTGCCTTGGAGTCGCAGTATGCGAAACAATTAGCGAATGTGCAGCCTCTTGGCAACCGGTAGCTGGTCCACGGATATTTCTCTATATATAACGCCCAGGTGCCAATTATAACACGCACACAAAAGAGCCAGACGTTCGTTCGATCGATCTATCTTTTCATCAAGTTCAGGGTCGATTGCAAATCTCTTTTACGGCGCTCATAATTTGGCCACAATCAGCACTTGGCCTTAATTGGTGTCAAGCACCTTGATAAAAAGTTTGGCCACAAAGCCATCTATCATTCCGACTGGAAGACAGACCCCTTGGGTATCCTAGAAATTTCACTCGATCTTCTTCTGACGCTTCCATGTTGTCAAATCACGAAATTCGCACAGCGAATTAGCACTTTTATGTGGGCGTGTAGGTGTGAGTTCACGCCCAAAAATAACCCCAACCAAAGCGACTTCTTTGATCCACTTTTGCAGGCAGCTCCAGCCTCCACGAAGTTATATATTTAAAGCGAACGGTAAATAAGGATGTGCGGTTTAAGGTGTGGCTTGTTTTAAAACCGTCATGTAAAGTATATGTAAGTAAAGGTGAAAAAGGTTTTTACATTATTTTGGGTTTGTAAAATGAAAAGAGTAAATATAGCCAACTAAGTATATAAATTATTTATATTTCTTATCACATATCTGTTATCTATGACATGTTGTCATGACTTTATGACAGATTTCATTTAACAGCTCAAAAATCTATTTTGCATAAACTGCGCAGCAAGAAAGAAGATTTTTTTAACCTGGCAAGATCAATATTTATTTAATCACTTCCATAAACAGTAAATATCAATAAATCGCTCTAAGTACATGTGTACATGATTTGTCGGCAAATTGTTAAAGTTCAAGATAATTCTTCTATTTATTGGAAGTGTGTTTATTTATGCCTGTTTTTATACTTATCAACTATAAATAAAATTTTGTAAATCTCTGCAGAATTTTTTTGAATTGATAATAATAAACTGCGGAACCATTTAAATTGTGGAATATTTTATTTGATTTTTATTTGTGTGCAAATTAAACTTCCCGAAACCTACATCTCCAATACCTTTTTTAATAAATATAATTACATACATTTCACATCGATTGTTAATCCGATTGAACGAAGTTTGAGATGAAATGACTCATTGAAAAAAGAGTTTATGCTTCGGTTTGCTGTGTGTGCGTTTGTAAAAACGCTTGGTAACCACAGGAGCAGAACCAAAGCCACATCCAATCATTCATGGGGTTTGCGGTGGCGACAGTTTTACACGCCACCCCTTGAACGCTGTTGTTTGATGTTTTGGCCAACAATTAGATACGTTGCTCTAACTGGTCTCGCCAATCGCCGGAGTTACTTTCTCGCCGAGCGGAGAGCGCGTGACTCATACGCACGGGGGCCCGCAGAAACACAAAGACGCTGGCAGAAACCACTGGCAGAAAGAGCAGCTCCGGCTAAAAGTTGTGGGCAAACCGAGCGGCTCACTCAGTCTGCGACACACAGTTGAAGCTACAAGATCGATTCGGCGGACAGTTCGTATCGAAGCCTAAGGCCCGCCTCCGTTTCCAATTGCCCGGTGCAATTCTCAGTGAAGTGAACGATTTATGGAAATTCATTGATTGCAATTCCAGCCGACAAGTGTGTGAATTAAAAACAAACCACAGTCCCAGTTACCTGAACCTCAGCGCCATGAAACCCAGCCGGATCCACACAATGCTGCCAATTATGATGGGTGAGTCTCAGCCAGGCCTTCTCTGGATATATGCACAGATATTGTATTGCCATATACCATATACAAAAGCAGGCAGTAAACAAGTCGCGAACAAGCATATGCTAATTATGTGAACGTGAACTTCCACAAACCCTAGCTGATTGCTAGTAATTATACCGTGAATAAACATAGCGAGTAGCTCATTGAGCAGGGAATGTTTGAATGGGTCTGTCGAACGGTCTATAGGTATTTTAAAAGAACTGCCCATATAATTATCTCATAAAAATAGTCAAAGCTCAAACGGAACAGGAAATGTCTGTGATTATTCAAAGCGTTCTCAACACAAATAGTTTTGGCCTCTTAAATATGATTAAATGTCTGTAGAATAAATGTCTCTGTGAGTTTATACAAAATATTGATTCTTTCAAGAAGCTTTGTGATAAAATGTCTTTGAGATTTAGTTTTACAACAACTTTATAACTTCTTCTTTATAATGGAGCTTCCATATATCAACTCTTTCTTTTAACACGATGTCATTAAACTTTATCCAACAAAAATCCCCGCCTCTTATCAAATGCAGGCCATAATAGCCATCATAACCTAATTTGACTGTTTGAGGAACTTCTGGCGTCAGGACCATATCATCTTCATCCAGACATCGTAAACCAGTTAACGAAGTCTTTACGATCCAGTCATCCGCTAATCCCGTTAGATAAGATCCGAGAGCCGGCATGTGATCGCCTAATAAATATCATCCGGGCAAATCAAAATTAAAGGCCCTCGTTTCTGTGGCATTTCACTAAAAGTGGGATGTTGTTTGGTTTCGAGGGGGGCCTGCGATATCTCGACTGGCAATTTTCCCGCAAATTATGGAAACCGGTTAAGCTGAAGTCGCTGGCAAGCCCCAAATGCTAATGACAAATGACGTTATTAAATGGGGCGGTTTACTCTACTAAAGCCACCCAACTTTGGGGGGTAATGGCAACAAATCACGGAAATTCCCGAAATTCGATTTCTTAAGTAGAAAGCCGGTTCAAGGCAATTGGAGTTCGTTTATCTGCGGTTCCGATAATTTGCGGCATGTGGCCAAGACAATAACTCCACTCGCATCCACCGGCTAGGTTTGTTCAGGTGCCACCGCACCACTCGAGCCACTGGAATTGCTGACGTTGACTCCAGCACGTTTTGCTGTTAGTGGCTAATTAGATTTTAATTGCTAATATGTTGTTGTGGTTGCTTATTTTTTTTCACTTCCACTTTGCTTGTTTTGTTTGGCATTTAAATAAGCTTGTGCTGGTTTTGTTTGCATGCGTTTCTTTTTACTGCCACCTTATCAGTATCCACTTGGCACTCTATAAATAACCGAACCCACCCGCACATTCTATCCATTGTTAACTGGAAACTCTCCCCAAGAAACCCACACCCAACCATAGTTATTTTTAGGGACCATAAAACATGTGCTTACATTCTATAGTGAAGTGCAGAAGTGGAGCAGGGCTGTCTGGGTTTACTTTTAATTACTTGGTTACATTTTCAGATAAATCTCAAGATGTTTTCATCTTTTATCAGTGTGGAAAATATTTGCTCTAGACTAGCAGAAAGATTCCATTCATCTCAATTAACATGGGACGAATGTTTCCACATGACCATGTTTTCTAGATGAGTCTGAGATTTATCGTCACTTAGCACAAAGATTCCATTTAATTTTCCCTCGGGTTCGGAGTTCCCACATGACTAAGATAATGCGATTAAAATAAACCCAGAGATTCTATTCATTCAGCTTTCCTATCTATTAAAAACTTCCACTTTTTTGGCCAGACAACAGGGCGTATGAGTTATCAGTTGCGCAACTTTTCCTCTGGGAGGGAAAAAAAGAAAAAAAAATCTATTGCGGGAATGACCAGCTGTCTCTCAACCAGAATCGTCACATCCGCAACCTGGGTCAACAATTTCGTCCGACCGAAATTTCATCAGTTCTGTGGTGAAATTGATAGGAGAAATCAGACCCGCCGTAAAGTAATCATTGACAGACATTGTAAAGATAAAAGAGCAAACTGAAGGTGTGGTGTGCCGTGTGCCCAGCCAGCCATCACCAGTGCGTACCAAAGAAGACCGCACCATCGATGGTGAAATATGGTAACCATACCCACCCAAAGAAGTGTGTGAACTCAGTTGCCAACTCATCGAACTGTCTTTTAAATGAGATAGCAATGTATTTTTATGGCGGCAGCTTAACTGGCTTTTATGGTGTTTGTGTTTTGATGGGAGCGGCAAAAATATTTTGCAATCCCAGTTGCTATAAAGATAAACCCTATGTGGGCTTTTGCCTACCTCACTAGTCGCTGGATCTAGAGATATTCTCAATCCATATCAGGGATCTGGGGATACACCAAAAAGGAAAAAACGCCGCCTCAGACAGAAAGTCGTCATTGAGTCGCTTATCGTCGAGTGGCTTTTGGCCGTAAACTTAAACGGCCGATTGACTGAGCTTATTAAGCGATCCATTTACGAGGGGAACGCCCCGCTGGCAGTGACTATATTTAGATACCCTTATCAGTCGCCGAAGACAAACATCTTTTCATCGCTCCCACCTGAAAGAAAATCCATTCGTTCGCACGCCTCAGAATGGCAAAGTGATAAGCTATCAGTGAGCTCACCACTCGCCACTCCGTCTTGATTTCCTGATATACTATATATACCATAATAATATCGCTAATGCCCCTCGTCCGCTCCGTTCCCTTCTGTTCCGTTGCGATTCGATTTCGATTCGATGCGGTTTGGTTTGGTTCGGCGTGGCTCTTCTATTCCATTTCAGTAATCATCGCCAGCTCGTGCTGCGTACACGGCCAGTCCTATCTGCTCAGTTTGGAGAACGTCCTCAACGAGTCCTCCCACCAGCTGTCCTACAACCTTACCTCCGCGAACGGAACCACCGAGGTGGACTTGTTTCCCGACACCATCCCGAACAACACCCGGATAATTGTCTACAAAAACAGTGAGTGTCTTTGAGAAAACGTGAAAAGTGCCAACTATAAGAGACATAATTATCCTTTAAAAGTCCTTTAAAGTAGTGCTTCTGATAAATACTACAAATTCGATGTTATGAGTAATATCTGCATTGACAACAGTCATTTTCTTTGTTAAATATATAAACAACCGTGACCTTATTTGTGGCTCCTTATCTAAATTAAATAATAACTTGAAGTGGTAACATACGGACAAACGTTTTTAAGATCGCACTTTGATTAAAATGAATTAATTTGCGAGATAGAGTGGCCCTGATAAAAATCATAACAGCACCAATGATAAAGAGTAGTGTATCTAAGGAATATGATGAGCTGAAAGTGAACGTTTTTTAAACGTAGGTTTTATTATGATCGTAATTGCCTGTAAAAGTTCTAGCAAATATTTCTCCGTCTACGAGGCATTGTAAACAGGCTTAAGAAGGTTCAGGAACGCTTTCAATTGAACTCGGTTTCGTAACCCCTGGTAACTACTGGTAATATCTCAATTTTACCGGACCCTTGAAACCTGCACTTAACAGCAATTCCTGCCTAATTGCGGTACCCACAACAGGGGTTAGCCCCTATCTATAGACCATTTTAGCCATTAGCGTAGTTCGATGACGCGACAGTAATGCGAATCGAGCAGTTTCGTCATAAAGTTTATGGCGCAGACCCACAATTCGTGACTAGAAGCACAACAACCGCGATCAGCACTCCGATTGACTGATAACCTGATGTCGAGGCAATAAACTATGGTACTGAGATGAAGCAACCAAAGGCTTTTGGCGAAATAGGCATTCTAGGGATTTCTAAATTGATTCTAATTAATATCTGTCTAGAAGTTGGCTGGACTGTGATCCCAGAACTAATTCACACTTAATACTTTTAGCTCGCGTTGAATCGCCCAACGAACTATCCCAAACGGCGATGGATGTGATCACGATTGTGTGGTATGTGGCCACCTTCTTGGCCCTGGCTGCCTTCTTCATGCTGATGGCCTGTTCGGATCGTCGCTGTCGCGACATGAGGCGTCGCCCCACCGGAAGTCAGCCCACCGAGGGTCTGAGGGCACCACCCACTCCCTCCCCTTCGTACAGTGAATTTGCACCACCCAGCTACGATACCGTTATCAAGATGCAGCATGCGGCCAAAACGAGTGTGTTTGTGATACCGTTCAGCAACAAGTCCGGCGAACTGGGTGCCCCCAACTCACCTCCGCCCGTGACAGCAAGTCCATTGCCACCTGCTGTGACCTGCGACATGATCATCGTCAACGAACTGCAGAAGTCGGCCGACTAACCGATAAGCCATCGGTGAAGACTCAGCCTTCGCCCCTCGACTCTGTGATATTTGCTGTTTAATGGCAATGGGCCAAGTATTAGATGTCGTAAGATCCCACAAAAAAGACTGACAATGAAAGATATCTGTATGTGCATATACGCATTCAAATGCCAGTTCAACTGAAACTAGATGAATAAGTTATTATCTGTAATAAAACAAAAATGTTATCGAAGATGATTCACAGAACGTGATGTTTGGTTTTCCAAGAACTTGGCTTTAAATTAATAACGGGGCTCATGGGGGATATTCCCAGTACAAGGGAAACGTCTGGCAACTCTTTCTCAAAAAGCTTCAAATAATATGCATAACTAAGACAGAAACCGGCAGCTTTTTCTGGGTAAAAGCTCTCGGGGAACACTTGTGTTCAAAACTGATAAGCGCTGAGTTCAGGGGAATTTTTTGTTTTGTGGGGCTCCCACTCGATGCGGATGGATTGACAAGGCCTGAAACTGAACCCTTTAATCCTAATCTGCGGATCTGGAGGTGAAGTGCACTCCGTGTGTTTACCCAAAAAGTAAAATGACGTTTGTTTGACCGCTTCTCTGGCGAAAAAGGGTAAGTTAAGTAAACAAACATTAAGTACTTCCCTTTCCCATTGCCATTTAGCTGTCCAGGGTCAGGCATTTAGTTCATTCATCGATCGCTTCTAGTGAATTTCTTCTCCAGCCGCAATTGTTTAGATCGATCGAAGGTAACATCTGGCCCAAAACAGAATTGCTTATTCTGGGGCACAGCCAGCACACCGCGGCGTATGCGTAATATTTCAATTTTTGTTTATTTTCACAAATTGTTTTCGAAAATTACACAAACAACGTCGATAAGACGTCGCTTTTGGGGAGAACGAATCAGAGGCTGGGGGGAGTGTGTGTGGCAAACCAGATCGGATTGCAGTAAAATCACGTTACGCCCCGCTCAATGCGGTTCATTTGATGCAGACCATCGTGCTTGTTGTTCTTGTTCTTGTCTTTGCTCTTGCTGCCTGCCTGCCTGCCGATGGTCGCTGATTGGCGCTTGTTGCCCGAGTTGAACGCTTGATTGTGGGTCCATTCATTGAGCGATCATTAACTACACCGAAAGCTATCACTACTTTGTTTTGTTTTCAAGAATCTATTTCATCACTTATAAAGGGAATTTCCGAAAAATATATAATGATCTTTTAAATAAGCAAATGTAATTGATAATAATAATGCTATTGATAATAAATAATCAATAGCATTCACTAGTCGATTACTGTAATCGACCATTTCAAGGATTTATCGATTTAAAATCTATTACATTTATTGGTTAATTGATGATTATTAAAAATTAAACTCAAAATTATTTTAAACGAACTTAACGAACTCCTCATTTGTTAGGGGATTTACTCATAAAGTTTCTCGTTATTTCTTCGTGTGTAGAAACAGCGTTAATTATAATGTGAAATCTTAATCAATGACCACACAGTATCTCTTGCAAAACTATCATCTTTTTCTCCGTGTGTAATGGAGAGCGTTGCTGATTGAAGCGGATGGAGCCGATCGGAGTTGGCCAATTTTCTAAACCTTCTCACGCTCTTCAATTGAACCGCACTTCCTCGACTTCCTCCCGTCTCCCCACTCTTACTCTTCCTCTTCTTCCGCCTCTTCCTCTTTCCCCACAGTTAGTTGTGCAAAAACTCTCCCTCTTTCTCCCTCTCGCGCAGTTCCTCTCTCTCTCGCTCTCTCTCGCTATAAGCAAGTATTTTTTTTCGTTGAAAAGCCTCTGTAGATTAATTAGCTGGGATCAGTTCAACACCAACCGTGCCATCGCGAGGAAGTGGATTATCAGAGTGAAGTGAATTGAGAGTACAGCGAATATATCGAATCGAACCCAATAGAATTGATTCTTGGCATATCACGTATACGCCCGGTAGCACAACCGAAAAACCGTTAACATGTCGCTAAGGAAGAGCTTGTTGGGCTGCCTGCTGTTGGTCGGCACTATTTTAATGCTGAGCCAGGTTCAAGCCAACATCGATACAAACGAAGTGGACCCAGATTTTTACAGTAAGTGTGTGCCAGATGTGATTTTGGATCCGCTATAGCTAACCACCCTGTGTAAATCGTAGTGCTGCAGGGCGTCCGTGTGTATCCCAATGATCGCCAGTGCGTTCTGGTTGGCGGACTGTGTGTCCAAACGAAGGACTGCTTGGAACCCACCTCGAACAAGGGTCTGTGCCCCACGAGTGCCGGACAGGGCGTGGAGTGCTGCTATGAGCGTGAGTAGACCTACAAGCCTTTTGCTGTGTGTACCATCCTGCTTAAAACCCCCCAACAAAAACCCCAAAAACCCCATCAGTCCAATCCCAACTACCTGCTTTGCACTCTTAAAAAAACTCTAACCACCCAAAATTGGCATCGTCGTATCCAAAAATCGCCACTAACCATAAAAAAAAAAAATATAAAACCCGATCCATTCTGTGTGTCCCATCGCCCTCAAAAACGTCAAACGTCATCCCGTTGCCGTTGCAGTGCCGGTCAGACCAGCGCCCTGTGCGGAACACTTGGGACAGTGCATGGACCGATGCCACCAGAGGCTCCTGCGACCCGGTACCGATTGCCAGAATGGCCAAGTCTGCTGTGTCCTGATTTAGTTATACTTAACCACACCAAACACATGCCCATGCTGAGAAAAAACATCGCCGAATTTCTTATCATTCAGTTATTCATCGGAAATATTTTTTGTTTCATGACGTTTAAAATATTAAAAATAATTTATTATACTGAAGTCTGACCAAAAAATGTATGATGTCATTTTAAAATTTTGTTTGATTCTTTAAAAATGTATAAGATTAAGTAGAACAATGAATTCATATTTTTCATGTTAAGAAACATTTGATTTAAAACAATACAATTGTTCGCAAAAATTGGTAAAGATATGGCTTTGTTTTTTCTCTGCATGCACGCAAACACACGCACACACACACACACCGTACATAAACATGTATTTATTAAACTCTATATATTAATTATATTGTACGAATACTTTTGTATGAATTCTTAAGTACCCACACATCTCCCGACAATGTGAAATATTTGACTGCTTCCAATAAATGCATTGTAAATATTTTCCAAAACGAATCTCTACTCACTCAAACAGTCGCGTATCGGAGGATTATGTAAGTATGGGTTTGGGTCAGCTGACAGCTCCCAAGTCTGATCCCCTTATCATCTGGATGTTAAGCCGTCACGTGCCCCAAGTACAGCCCCAAATCGAAAAGACGAAGATGGAACAAATGAAAACAATAGCCGAATCATCAGCAAATATAAATGTGGATGATGGGCGAGAGTGGATCATAGGGTGAAAACCGAAAACAAAGCTTATCTTTTCCCGAATATTCAATGTCAAGTTCAGAACCCACCGAAATCAATTCGTTCTTTGGACTGCCTCTCATTTGTGTGTTAAGAATTTTAATTCCAAACAGTGCTAAACAAAAATAAACGACCTTGCCACGCATCACGAAGATATATCCATGTGCCGCGCATGCTTTGTTTTTCTGTGCTCCCCGATATTTGTTTGTATCTTTCGGTTATGCATGATTTCATTGCTAATGTTTGGACGCTTATTCCATTCAGTTATTTATAGTTGGGCGGTCGGTCGGCCGACGGGGTCACTTCAGTTTAGTTTCGATTTGGCCAGCGCTCTTGAGTTGAATGAATTCGTATGCAAGGCGGCATTGAGGCGCCAGCAACGTGTGCCTATATCAATATAGTGTATTATAATCTAATTGTTTCCACTATTCTGGAAAGCGTTTTTTCATCAATGGGAATAACTCAACAGAAAAACATTTTTTTATATGGAAAACGATTTTTATTGTGTATAAACGTGTATGCGGTATAATGTGTAAATCCAGATTTAATCAAAAAAATTGCATGGTAAGTAAATTGAGAAAAAGTTATTAGCTGTGAAGAATGTAATTCAATTTACGATAAAGATTGTAAGTAAAAAAGTTATAAGACAAGAAACGAGGTCAAGTGTCTGGAAATTCCAGAAATTTTTCAGATTTAATTGTTTACCAAGCTCTCTAAACTCAAATTTATTATAAAAGTAATAACTTGTTTGCCTCTTAAATTAAATGAAGTGGAGATATCATATCGATATCAAAACATAAACTCGTTAATATTCAAGCGATTTATGAGCTCTACAAAGTAAGGATCGTAAAAACATATATAGCTCTGGAACTAGTGCAAGTTAAGAATATATCCTGACCTTGCATTGAGTGGATTGCATCACTCTCGCTGCCACGAATTCATTGTCATGGAAATTAACCGGCCAATGCCAATGGCAGTGAAAACACCGGCCTTGTCTGGACACTTCTCGCGATCTATATCAACATCTAGAGCTAAATCGGGTGCACTACGGCCGGAGGGTACTATATGCGCTACTATAAGTACACGTATAGTGTACAATTGAGTAAATCAGTGTACGTTCAATCACCGTACTGCGTCTTAGATTGCATAAGTTGTGCAGTAATGCCGCGAAATCGCTGGCGATTGAACCCGAACCCGAACTCGAACCCAAATCCGAAACCAAAACAAAAACCAAATCCATTCCGAAACCGAAACCGGAGCGAGCCGAGCTTGCCGTAATATTTTTTGTTAAGTTGTTTTAGGTACTTTAGTTTTCTATTTTTTTTATTTTGTTTTTTAGGTAAGTGCGAGCGTTTCGTGCTGGGGACGAGGCTTATCGGAACGGCCCATCATGTCATATAATAAATTATTTATGTGGGTTTTTTTTCTGTATTTTCTTTGCTGGCTTTTCGCTTTTTGCATTTGTTTACGTTTTTGATTTCGTTTTCGTTTTTTGCGAGCTAATCCCGATTTTTGCGTTTATTTGTGTCGCATTTGCACCGAACAGAAACTAATAAAAGTTTGTGTGCGCATTTTCAAGGGGGGTTTTTTGGGTGGGGGAGGGGGAGGGGGAGTGGGGTTTCGGGATAAGGCTCAGATACGCTCATATTTCATGTCATAGTTCGCACTCATTTTTCACTTGACATAAAACTGCGTTGGCGTTTGCGTCTCATATCCTGGGGCCAGTGCAACGCAATTTGCATCTCCATACCGCCCACCGCCCACCGCCCACCGCCCTCGGATCCGCTCCTTCGTCCTTTGCCATTTTATATTTTGCACTTTTTTAATTTTTATTTTCGCATGTGGCTGGGGAGTGTGGAGAGTATAAAAGAAAATGATTTTGTGGCATAAATTAACGCCAAGAGGCACACGGAACACTATTAAAAAATACGGATCCACCAGAGCACACATGCCGGGTTGGTTGGCTGCCTCGTTGGCTGGTTGGCTGGGTCCTGGCCAAAAGGATGTGGCAAGTCAATGGCTTATGGGAAAGCCAGGATATTCACTTCATGGCCGCGTGCACTTCGTGTTGTCATGGGGTCGGAGGAGCTCCTCATGCAATTAATCCTTTTTTACCCCGCCTCGCAGCTCATCCTTTGCAGGAAAATGACTTTTTAAGTTAATTTCTTATGCGCTGAAAGTCTTCATCGGACCACTCCTATCAAACATAAACGAAGGCTCTTCATAACCGTTCAATTTATGGCTCAAACTGCACTTTCCAAATGACGCCTATTAAAATATGTCCGAAATAATAGCATTTCTTTTTCAAATGGCTTTGATAGCAGCTGTTAGCTATTAATTTAATTTATTTCGCATGCTTTTTTAGCAAACTCGTTTTTTGCCAGGATCAACAGGTTAAGCTCGGCGTTGTTTGCTGCCAAATATTTGGGTTAGGTAAACCCGATTTAATGGTCCGCACAATGTCAACACGACATCACATTTTCCTCATCCGCACACAAACAGTGCCTTCAAAAAGTATAAGCTGGTTACTCTGCAGAAAGTTGAAGAGTGCAAAGACTTTTGCCTTTTCTCAAATAATTGACTTACCTAATAGTATAAGCAAAATTTGAAGTATTTATAGTCACTTTCTTTTTCTAGAGTTCAGCAAAGGAACAAAATTTATTTTGTATTTTTTCTTTGAATTTACGAATTATGAATTTTTAAACTCCAATCACTTTTGAAACGCACTTTATATTAGCTTTTCCTTTGTGGCCTCTCGACCATCTTACGAATTTGAAATTTTGATGCAAATTGGTGTGCAAATGCCATAAAATGAAATTACCAAAATCCTTTGACAAATATGGGAAGTCAAGTGGGGGGAATGCTTGGCACCCCTTGTCACCTGAACAATATTCTCCCCCCTTTTTGGATAATACCATTAAAAGCGAGCAAATGAAAGTGAAAATGAAAATGTTTCCATAAGCCAGGTGGGCAAAGGTTTTTGCGGAGGTGTCGTGCCACCTTTTGAAGTACGCAAAATATATAGCATATTCATGCATGCGGAGGTAGACAAGATGGTGATGGTGATGGAGATGGAGATGGAGATGTATTACCCCCGACGAATTCCCCCGCAATTAGCAACAAAATTTTGGTTGTGTTTTAGCCACAGCAAAGTGCTGATCGCCTGGGGCAGAGTCTTCATTTTTTGTAACGGGATTAACCGCAATTTCTTTAATTAAAATTTCCATCACTCCCGTTGCCGGGATGGAGTTTCTAAGCTGGCGAAAGAAAAAGGATTGTAAATTACGCTGTCAGCCAGTCACTCAGTCTGTCAACAACAATTAAAACGGGAAGCAAGAGCAACAAATTAAAAATTCATCTTCCGCATATCCCGTGAATTCTTGTCTTACATCTTTACCATAAACCCCGACTCCTAACCTTCATTCGCATCCTATCCCGGGGTTACTAGATGTGGTCCTTTTTTTAATTTGATTGGCACGGCGTTTCCGGTTTTTCTTTACTCATCACCTCACCACCTCACCACCTCACCGCCTTGCTCCTTGATTAGCTCACTGAAATGTGGAAGGAGTTTTCTGTTCTGTTCTCTGGGGGTTGGGCTAATGATTTTTTTATTTTCGGATATTTGTTCTATTCCGTTTGCTCTGATTCGCCGGCAATACCCTTTTTTTAATTGAAACCTAATTTTCTGCACTTGCCTCATTATTAGGAAAATAAAAAGGAGATGGCCCGGGGTATGCGAAAGTTTTCTTCTACCCAAAAAATGATCTCCTCCCCTGGTTTATGGCTTCTTATATCATGGCTAACCGTTTTGAGTTTTTTTTCCAAACATTTCAAGCTTCAACTCCTGCAACTTTTTGACTTTTGTTGTGTGCAAATAATTTGCAGCTCGTTCGCTGGCGCCATTAACAATGTGGGGAAATGGCAGAAAGTTTTATCTAATTAATGAAACTTCAACGCTACGTCGAGCAGTCAGGACTCTTTGCTTTTGAGGAGCCCCCGAATGACTGGAGCACCGCCTTGATGTCGTATTGTTGACAGTGACGATACTGCTCGGGAAAACTGGAAAAGCTGAAAAGTGGGCGGGGCACAACGGGCACAACGTGGCGTATGATTGCTTTTGTGTAAACAACCAACGCACAGACATACGTACATATAGAAATACATATATATATATACCATATATACGAGTATATCTATGTCGCTTTTACGCTTTTCATTTTCCCATCTTTTTTGCTCCTTTTTATCCCCGTCAAAAGTTTTTTAATTAGCAACAAAAAGTAAAGGGTTAAATATCGCGTCGAAAAGTTTCGGCAAGCTAACAATTAAGTTTCGGCAATGCCGCTGACACGCCCCCTTTTCGACATCAGAGGGGGGCGCTGAGGAAAAAGGGGGCGGGGGCGGAGGCGCGAGTGCAGATAATAAGTATTAAGCAACACTTACTCGCAATTAAGTTTTGCTCCTGCCAACGCCGCGTCCTTCTTTGTTGACTTTTTTCCGGGCTGTAATTACGCGTAATCGCAAAATTAATTCCTGCACATGACTGCACCTCGACGGCTGCTCGACGGACAGGAGAGAGGCATCCTTTCCGGATGGAAAGGTTGCCGTTGCCCGGATTCGTTGAGGATTCCCCGCTCTGGCAATAACCCGCAGCCAAGTCAAGGATGTGGCCGCTTCCCATGGCGAGTGCATTAAGAATCTGGCGGCAGATAAAACCCGGCAATATTCATGAGATTTGTTTTATGATGTGCTAACAATGCGTAAATGT